TGGGTTGGTTCTTGATCAATATGGCAGGGAAGGAGGGAAACCCTGAATGGACTCACCCTCAGTGTAGGCGCTATGCATCGGGACAGCCGCTGCCAGTCCTTGGTATCGTAGCTCTCGGCCCATTCGAATAGGGCGGCCTGGCAGCCAAGGATGTCTTCAAAAGTAAGCTGGGATGTCATCTTCCACGTGTTCGTCGACTCGTGAGCATCTAGCTAGGAAAGAAAAAAGAAAACACAAAACAAATTCTTGAGTTGTGTTGAGTGTCAAGTGCCAGAAGGGTCCTCACTGCTAAGACTGGACAGACTGGACTGGACTGAATGTCAACACGGCCCCAAAAGGGGCACCAGCATCAGGGATTACTCCCCAGCTTTCCCGAACCTGCGCATCGGGAATACTGATGCGGCGCAGCATCTCGGGGTTCGGGTCCTCGGGAATCCAGGTGGCTCGGGAGCGGCCAACCTCCTTCGGCTGCAATGTAACGGTGGACGGTCTAGTTTAGCCCGAAACCCAGCCGCTTGGGTTCGCGACGGGAAAGGTAGTTGCTGCTTTCGGAAATAATCAAGCTGAATAATCCAGGGGCGATTACATGAGTTGCGTAAAAAGCGGAGAGCAAAAACACACAGAGCTCGTGAGGTGATTGTCAGCCACCCGCGTAAAGCTCCTCCCTAAATTAACCCTAACCCTGAGATACCGACTTTGTAGGACGACAACAGCCCATTAGATTGCCAATGGGCTTTTGAAAACTGCTGATGGACGAACTTCCCAAGGAAAAGGAGGAAAAAAAAAGGAACTGTATTACCCCGCTAACCTGTTTTGTTGTAATCGTGCATTTTAGAACTTAACTAGGTACCTTACCTAATTAAATTCTCTTCTACAACAGTCTCAAACTGCAGTTCTAATGCGTCTACAGGTAGATCACTAATTATCCCTGTATCCTCTTCCCACTCTAACCATGATAGTTTTTTCTAAGAAAACCGAAAGAATATGAATTTACGTTACCAAGACTATTCATAATTAATGCAGAAGATGGGCAGATTGAAGGTAGCAAACGTTACTAGCAGTGTTGATCGAAGCAAAACTTCTCAACCAATCATGCAATTCCGATGGCATCTACAAACAAGTTTGTTGTTGATGTCTAGGTAATCGTTCCATCTTTTCCACAAGTACCATTTATAAATACACCTCCTAGGTACCCAAGTATCTATGTAACAGTAGCAACGCGGTCTTGGCTCCCACTATTTCAAATGTCCCATTCCTCCTTGATCATGTCGGCAAGCTAGAAGGAAATCAAAGTCAGTCTCCAGTGAATATTGAAAATCCCAGTACTGAACCGTCCCACATCACAAACCACACCTATCAGAGAAAAGAGAGAGAGGTGGGGAAAGAGAGAGAGACAAACTCACCTTTTCCACCGAAGCATACGTGGCCGCAGTAGGCGCTCCCGACAACGAAAACGGCAGATAACTCACATCCCCCGTCCGCAGGGCCTTCACACCGTACACCTTACGCTGGGCATCGACCACGCCACCCAGCTCGCGTGGCAGCATCGGTGCAGTACAGCACTGGTGCGCGTTCGACACCGACATGGTCTCCCTCGCCACAGCAATAATCTCAGCATCGCTCTGCACGTCCTCGCCAAAGGGCGCCAGTTCCACGGCCCCCAGGGCCCCCGCCATGCTCGGCGCGGCCATCAGCTGGCGCAGCTTGCGCGCCATGAGGACGTTGATGTCGATGTCGAGCGGGTCGGTGGCAGAGCGGTAGTCGATGGTGGGCGGGGCGAGGGGGTTGAGCGAGGAGATGGCCACCGTTCCGCGGCTGAGGGGCTTCATGTGGAAGACGGAGGCTGTGCTGAAGGTGTCCCAGCTGAGGATGCTGACGGCGAGCTTGGTGTTGTTGAACTGCTGGAAGATGGCGGCGCGCTGGGCTTTGTAGCCCGCGAGCACGGTCGGGTCGGTGTCTGCGGGCAGGGAGGAGGCGGCTGGGTGGGCGAGGGCGGATTCGAGGAGGGCGGTGAAGTCGGCGGCCGGGAGGGCGTCGGGGAGGGATACGCCGGCGAAGAGTGGGTTGACGTGCTGTACCATGGTGTAGGCGCTGGGCTGGTGGGCGTCGTAGAGCGCGCGTTGTTCGGCGTTGTAGGTTGTGTTGGTGATGAAGTAGTCGACGTTGGGTGTGATGGGGTTGGTGACTGGAAGAGTGAGCATGAGAACAATATCTATAGGTGTGCCAGGCAGATGAACTCACAGTTGTATGGGATGTTGAACGTGGTCTGGTCCTGCAGGTTGCTGCCCACGCCTGGGAGATCCGAGACCACGGGGATACCGAGATTCTCCAGCAACTTCTTGGGGCCAATGCCAGACAGCTGCAGCAACTGCGGCGTGTGAAGGGCGCCCGCGGCGACGATGACCTCCTTGGACGCCAACACGGTCGACGTGTTGCCCCCAGCGCTGGGGAGGTACTCAACGCCTACCGCCGTGGTTCCGTTGAAGAGCACCTTGGACACGGTGGTGTCGGTCAAGATGTGGTAGTTGGGCCGCCCGTCGATGACCCGGTCGTAGTGCGCCACTCGGGCCGAGCATCGCGTGAGCGTCTGCTGGTCGAGCACCGTCGTCAGCCAATACACGCCCGAGTTGAAGGTCCCGTCATTGGGATCGTCGACAACGGGGATGCCGACTGAGGCCGCGGCGTCGCGGAAGTTGGCTAGAGGTAGTAAAACTCATGTGTCAGTGATTTTTGTCTTTTCTTGGGCATATAAACTCAACTCGGAAGCACGCACTGTTCCCGGGGTAGTAGTAGTTGGCAAACGAGGTCTGAACCGGCCCCTCGGTGCCGCGGGCCGATAGGTCAAAGTGGATGCCGTTGGCTGCGGCGAAGTCGGCATCAGGGGCCGTGAAGTTCTCGCTCTGTATTTCCAAGCCCGTTAGCTCTGTCACTCTGTGAGTTCCGTCACATACCTCTCCTGAGTCTCCTCGCTCTTTTATTTCTTTTCTATCTCACCTTCTTTGAATACTCCAGGATGCTCTCCCAGTTCCAGCCCGGATTACCCAACGCCTCAAACGCATCAAAGTCCGCACTATGGCCTCTGCACATACTTGTCAGTCCCGCACCACTTATGATCTCATCGAAAACTCGAGGAGTCGCCGACACGAACAAAATAAATAGAAAAAAATAGAAAGAAATAGCAAAAACGCACCTCAACCAATTCATCGCATTCGCCGTACTCCCTCCACCCACCACCCTCCCACAAACCACATTCTCGCTCCGATTATTCAGCGCGGTCAGCGGCTCCGTCGTCAGACCGGGCCACAAGTACGGCGTCGGATCCCACTCGCCGGGCACATCAATGCCAGCGCCGCCATCAAACGGACCGGCCTCAATCACCAGCACCTTGATGGCTGGGTTCTCCGTCAGTCGGTCCGCGAGCGTGAGACCCGCGATGCCCCCGCCGGCGATGACGAAGTCGTAGGACTCCTCTTGGGCTTTGCATTTCTTGCCGGCCCCGCCGTGCGCGCCAGCCGCGCCCGCTTGCTCCGCGGCAGCCTTGGTGGTGGTAGTGGTGGTTGTTCCTGTTCCTGGCGAGAAGATGGACGCTCCGGCTGCCGCAGCCGTTGGGCGCCAGGGGGGGAAGGGAAAGGAGCTGGCGCTAGTGGAGGGTAGGAGGAGGGCACTCCCGCTGAGGAGGAGGGCCGTTAGATGTTTGTTCATTGTGCGTGCGTGTGTGTGTGTGTATGTGTGTGTGTGTAGAAGGAGAGAAAGGGAGCAATATTAGTTGTTGAGTCTCGAGGAGATTGAAACTCGGCCGTCCGCAACAAGCTGCCCGTCTCCTGGCCTCGACATTTGTATAATTTGTATACTATCAAACACGCTGCGAACGGAACTGTTTGTCCACACACCACGGAGAGATTATAATCCGCGTCACTATGCCAGCTTACCCGAGAATCCGATTCTACTTGTGCCAAATTTAACTTTGGAATCTTGGATTTGTGTCCAACGCCCAAATTTCCGTCGCTTGTTCGATGGTTCCATTCCGAAAGCGGGTTCCCCGGCGCTTGGTCAGACCACGACACTCACTTTCGGGACGACGGGGTTATGCAGATAAGATAGCAATGAAAAGCATCACAACACGGCTTCTACAGCTCCGCGAACAAGGCAAAGGCACGGAGCTGAGTGTTGCGTGGCGCAGCGCCTCGCGATGATTGGCCCCGGCCCTACCAACATGGCCTAGGATGGAAAGAATTGAATTCGGCCCCCGAAATGCCGCTGCACGGCTGTAGCATTTCGGGGATCGAGGGGAACGAAGCGCGGGTTGAATTTGATCCGTGTCGGTATAAACACGAAAGGCACGCACCAGAGAGGGAATATAAGGAGCCTGACGTTCGCTCCATCTTTGAGCGTTGTTGCGCGACATCTCATTTTCTCCACTGGGTTGATCTACGGTTGCTGTGGAACTTACATTAATGTGTCCAAGTGATACTTCTCTCGAGCAGGTAATGCTTACTATATTATTCATAGCCATCGATCACTTCCAGTATTTTGCAGGCTGGAGAGTGCTCGCTTGTCTTGATGCCCTAGCACCTTAACCTCCCTTAACTGGTCCATCCCGTTTTACCGAACGATTGGATCCATACGCTCCCTACGATTCATACATGCCATGCCGTCTTACGTTTGGTTTCGTGTTTTTGCTCATTCATTGGTCGCGGGCGGGCTGTGGAATGAGCTGGGGATGAACGTCCGATGAACGGGGTGAAGCGGATGTTTCGACAGGAACGGTCGACAGGCGTGTCTCGCCGACGTCACGATCATTACAGCAACCAGAGAAGCCAATTTTCAACTTACAATGCGTTAGCATCCAGAACGAAACAACGTACACATTCTTGGTCCATACCCCCTTTGACTTGTACCCAGGGTTAGGGTTATTAGTGAAACACGTTCTCCGAATAGTTACCCCTTTTCTTCAGAAAGACCTACCGACTGTGAATATCTCCTTTTCCCTCCCTAAGATCCATCAATAGAAGTTGTTTCATTATTGTACACTGGTTTGCAGCTGCCACAGTGCCAGTACTTTACACCCACTCAATTTTCGCCCCCACAAATCCCCCCTCTTTCCGTTGGTTCTTCAAACACCTTTCTGCCTAGAGGTACCTATTTTCCCACTGATTCCCAAGTCAATCCAGCACTACACTTGCCTTCAACATTTTCGTCACCCTTCCATCTTTTTGCAAGTCGCGATTATCTTCAGTTTCAGCACCCGCTCTATCCCGGTACGAGGTATATTCATCTTGGATCGATACCGTCTTGCCTCGCATCATTGTATGGTGACTAGATGACTCCTCACCAATACTCACCGCCATCCCGTCAATCGGCAGTCCTGTCCGCGTCCGGTTTATCACAAAATACATGACGTCTCTCCCGACAGCCAATGCGGGCCGCATCCTGGCAAACCCGATACGCGGCCGTGTCCACATTCACCACGAAAGCGATGATGAGTGCGTTGTTTTCATTCGCTGCAATGGTAGAGAATTTCACATCGAATTGTCGCCTTTCTTCCTTTGCAATTCGCCTCTCCTCACCTCTCGGTACCACCAATTCACCGCGGCGGTCAGAAGCAGAGGGGGGATGGGCGTGGATCAGGAAGAAGGTGACTCGGACGAGGAAGAAGGTCCGGAAGAGATCCAAAGCCGCTTTTATGACTGGCTTATCGCTGCTTTCAGGCCAGTCTTCTCAAAAGTAGCGCCGGGCGTCCCGCCGTCTTTTGATCCTGATATGATCAAAACGGGGGAAGCGAAGCCGCTGCTGTCTGAGTATCTTTTCCCTGAGGTATACCAATGTCGGCTGGAATCAGAAAACGATGAGCCCTTCCCTATTTATATGCCAGGCGAAGAGAGTCAGTTCTTGGAACCTTTCTGCCCTATTTGGCCAGGCCTCACAACAGAACTCGAGCAACATGTTAAATTCTTCGATCCGTCCACGATCGAAGTCTCGTTCGAGCGCCCAAGACAGGCACTTGATGATAAGCCTACTCGAGTCCTAGTCGACTTGGATGGATCGGGCGAAAAGACAACTTGCTTCTTCAAGGAATTCGGGGCTGGGGAGCTCATCTCCCTTGAGAAGGAACTTGAAGCTCATCTCCGACTCCTCAAGTCCAACGTGGTTCCCGAGGCGCGCGTGGTCCGTCTACTTGGCGTTGTAGCAGCAGAGGATGGTAGGGTAGCGGGGCCGCTACTTACTTACGTTGACTGCCGCCGCGAGAACGACGGGATTCTAGACGGCATCTATCTACGTCGTACGCCAATCCCGGTAAGGGAACGTTGGGTGAGCCAGATCAAAGAGGCGGTTCAGCAGCTCCATGAAGGAGGCGTTGTCTGGGGCGATGCGAAGGCCGACAACGTTCTGATCGACAAGAAGAACGGCGCTTGGTTGATCGACTTTGGGGGAGGTTATACTGAAGGCTGGACCGACAAGGAGAAGAGTGGCACGAAGGAGGGGGATCTGCAGGGAGTGGAGAGAATTGTCGATTATCTGTTTAGTGAGGGGTATGAGTCTCCCTCGCCAGGTTACGAATTTGACTCGGCATCGAACTAGGTCGTTCAGGGAGATGGGTCATTCTATCGATTCCAGGTAATGTGCTTACCTAGGTAGGTAGGTAAAAAATATGTGTAGGTTTCACCTCAGTTCCAGACTGTCACCGCATGAAAAAGGTTGCTACAGTTGACGATTGTCTTTTGCAACACAACTCGGCGGCACATATTGTCTTAAATGTCTGTGTTGAGGAAACAGTTATTCCTCGGTCTTCCGATTTTCCCCGGGGCCGAGTCCTCACCTTTTGCGACAGCTGGAGGTACTAAAAGTCTTCAGAACCTGGAAGCTCAACATGAATTACTAATAATCTGCCACGATACATCAATGGTGTTATTTCATGGGTAATTAGGTAGTCGTGTTTTCACTATTTATTCCACCACCATGTCATCCACTCCCAACATGGCCACCGCCGAGCACTTCAACAAGACCGCCGAAAACTACGAAGCCATCACCGGCGGCGGCCCCCGCGAACTCGCGTAGCATGCCATCTCCCTCATCACAGGCCTCAAGCCCCTGACGTCAGAGTCCAAGATCCTCGATAACGCCTGCGGCACCGGCATCGTAACCGACATCATCATCCAATCCGGCATCCAGCCCAGCCCGGAGATCCACGCCGTCGACTTCGCCGAGGGCATGGTCTCCGTCGCCAAGGGCCGCTTCTCCTCCCACTCCAACGTCCACGCGGCCGTCATGCCCGGCGAGGACCTCGCCTTCCCGGACGACACCTTCACCCACTCCATCACCAACCTTGGCCTCATGTTCTTTGCCGACGCCGACAAGGGCGCCAAGGAGATCGCGCGCACGCTTCACCCCGACAGAGTAGCCGTCATCACCGGCTGGGCGAAGCAGGCGCCCTTCAAGCTCATCCAGGAGATCCATAATCAGATCCGCCCCGACGGTCCGCCGTTCAAGTTGCCCGTCCCGGAGATCTGGTTCGATCCTGAGCATACTAAGGCCTTGCTGACAGGTGCCGGGCTTGACGTGCACATGGGTGCAGAGACGACTGATGGGGTCGCTGATATCCTGACCAGGTTCAGCGGCAGGGCATTTGCGACTTACAGCGAGGAGGAAAAGGAGAAAGCCGCTGGGTTGATCAAGAGGATTGTGCAGGAGCGGGCTGTTCCGTTTACCAGACCCTCGGGGTCTGGCGTTGGTATCAAGGTGACGGGGACTATCTTTGTTGTGTGGAGGAGGTCTGAGGGTGTGCCAGCTGTATGAGTTGCGTGCTGATTAGAGAGGTTCCCCTTAGGTATGATCGCCACTCCTTGATTTGATAGTTTGTACGATGTTTTGTAGTATTATAAGCTCGGCCGGATCGTTTGGGTATTTACAACCATACGCGTATCATAGTGGTTTACTATCAGTTAATTACCATACACGCCTTAGACATCTGTAATTATCATGTGTTCTGAGTTACACCCCCCAATGCCTGTCGGGGCCACACAGCCAACCAGATCCCTCGGAGGTTGTTCTGGTCCCGCGGTCACCGTATGACACTACAGCAGTCGCACCAGTCCTGCCTTGCGTTCTGCCCTGCCAAGGAGCCGTGTGAAGAATGCTACATTCCTTAAAAATAGCTTGCCCCATGAATGAATGATGAGCCCGTCATCATATACGAGATTTCTCGCATTCATGTTGGCCAGAAACCGAGCTGAACGGGGCTCATTCGAATGGAGAGTTCCACGATGCAATCGTATTAATGGTAAAAGCGGAATCAAATTCCGCGCCCTTATCGACACTGAATTGAATTGTAACTCAACGGTAAAACTCGGCGAAGATTGAACCTAACCCCAATAATACACATTAACCCATCTCGGCCTTCCTCCCCCGTCTCCTGGACCCCCACTGAATACATTTACTAATGCCCTTTGATCTACTTCACCCATCTCTGAGAACCATCTTTTGATACGGCCTCATATCATCCACAACACTCCCAATCCCATACTGCTGAGCGTATGGCCTTGTTGTGACCATTGCTCCATGTTTGGAGTAAGGTCAGGAGTACTTAAAAGGCTGACCTGTCAAGTTGTCGGGTCGAACTCGGAACTTTCAAAAGAAAGCACTTAGAGCTCCTTATGCATCTTCTGCCCCTTCTTCTGTGCCTCCGCCTCGACCTCACCGGCCTTCTTCTTGGCCGCATCCGACCCGATCCGCAGCTGGCTGGCAACCCAGTCCCAGCCGTCCAGCACATTCTCCCGGACCTTCGCATAGAGCGTCTCGGCGGGGGTGGTCGTGCCATACTTGTAGTACGTGTACTGGCGGCGGGCGAGGGCACGGAGCTCGTTGAGCGTCGACCCTTGCGGCGCGGGAACGCCGTAGCTGTCCAGATACGACTTGAGGTCGCTCTCGCTCCAGGTCTCGAAGACGTTAGCCTTAGCCGTGTCGGTAGCTTTAGAGAGGAACGAGGTGGCCGAGGCGTAGGAACCGCCGCCGGCGGTTGAAGCTGAGGCGTATGCGGACTGGGCGGCTGCGACGAGTTCATCGCGGGTTGCGGTGGATTTGTCGGCGACCTTCTTGGCGGCGGCGTTGCCGCTAGAGGCGAGGTAGCTGCGGAGGTTTTCGATGCTGAGGTCGTCCCAGGTCCAGGCGGTCCATCCGGAGGCTGCCTTATAAGAGTGCTTGCGGACTAGGGCGCGGAGCTCGTTGGTTTTGGTGCCTTGGGGAACGGGCTGAGGAAGAACAGTCAGTCAGTATTGCCATGGTCATGAATTTTACGTCTGACATGAAGAAATAAATACGTACAACGCCACGGGCATCGAGGTAGCCCTTAAGACGGGTGTCAGACCAGGTGTTGATGGCCTTGTCAAAAGCGTCCTGGACAGCCTGAGAAGCGGTGTCCGTCGCTTTGGCAGCAGCCTGGTTGATGTTGGACGTGGCGGCACCAAAGGCTGAGGCTGCAGTGCCAGAAATGGTATCACCGAGGAGCTCAGCGCGGTGCTTGCGGACGAGCTTGCGGAGCTGGTTGAGCTTGGTGCCTTGGGGAACTACGCACGAGGAAACGTTAGCATACACTAGTGCCGCCAAGTTGAGGGTTTATTTACCATTAATGCCGTTCTTGTCACAGAACTCCTTGAGCTGCGACTCGCCCCACGAGTCGATGAGCTTATCGGTCAGCGAGGCGTAGGCCTCTTCGGTGCTCTTCCTGGACCACTCGGCCTGCTCTTGTAGCCGCAGATAGGCAAGCCGAGAGTTGCGGCGCACTGCGGCCACAAGTTTATCGCGCTGTATAACAGGTTAGCGGTGATCCAGGGTGGTCCTAGAGACGAAACGTACAGAAGTGGGCTGGGGGGCCGGGAAACCATGAGTGTCGAGCCACTCCTTCAGGTCGGATTCTACAACAGTTGTCAGCTGAATGTTCACAGAATTCTCGCATTTTGTTGCCAGCATAACTCACCAGTCCAGGTCTCATACAGCCAGTTGCCAGGGTACGCAGCCGCCTCGCCGGCCTTCTGAGCAACGGTCTCATATCTCTCGCGGATCTTCTGAAGCAGCGTATCCCGCTTACGTGGCTGCGGAACCGGAATCCCATGACGATCGGCAAACGCCTTGAGCTGGCTATCAGTCCAGGTATCCAGAATCCAATCCTTGACATTGGCCCACGCATCCTGGGCCTTCTCCTCCGACTCGTACCAGGAGCCCTTGACGCGGGCGAGGAGCGAGTCGCGGGTCTCCTCGGCCGAGTCCTTGGACTCAACGCCTTTCTGCTTCAGGAAGCTGGTGAGCTTCTCGGTGTCCCAAGCGCGGTAGGGCTCGACAATGTTCTGGTCCCAGTTCGTTTGTACGAGCTTCTCCAGGTCTTTGCGGTCGGCGGGCGTGGGGTAGGGCACATCGTGGTCGGACAACCACCGCTCTAACTCCGTCTCGTGCCATTTGTTGTAGGCTGTTTGCAGTTCAATGTGAAGTCAGTTTTGAGTCTGTGTTGAAGGTGATGCATGATGCAGGGCATGGCGGATATGTCCGGGGATGCACTTACCCGCGTTGGAAAACCACGAGCTAGCCACGGCCGCATTGGCCACGAGGGCCAACGAGAGGAGCGTTTTGGCAATCCTCATCTTGGTGTCGGGTTGTTTGTGATAATGTCTTTGACCCAATACAAACTCCGATTTTGCCGTTGGTAGGGAGTATTTTTTGGTAGGTTCGATTTAATAGGCCTCGAGCTTTCAGAGGGTCAAGCTGATGAAAGAAAGCTAGAAATGGCAAATGCAGTGTCGGGAGGGGTCCGTGGTTTTGTGAAAGGAAGGTGTGCTAAGGAAAGAGCCGGAAGGCGTGCTGCTGTGCAGTGGTGTGGCGGGTCAAGGACGTCACTCATGTCTGAAATCGGCAAACAGCACTTGTTTTCCTTGGGGCCCATGCAAGCAACAACCTGTGATCTTCTGATCGTGGGAGCTGGTGAGCTTAGGGAGAGGAAGCTCCGGACCTATGACGTAATCCATGTTGCTGTACCAGGACCCGAAGCTTCTGGACCATCGGTCTCCCAGTCACCGCAAGTGCAGCTTTCACCGACTCCATCGATTGGTTACAATGACCCCCAGCAGAAAGAATTCCATTGTAAATGGTGGGCCTGCATCATCTTTGAACCTGCATGGCCCATCATTGACTGTACAAAGAAACATGACGTCACGATGGTGGCTCACTAACCCTAACCCTAACTTGAGCAATATTGCTAGAGCAAAGGGGCACAACTACAAGTCCAGAAGCGAGCCCAGCAAGGGAAGTTCACCAGTACCATGCTGACGGCCCAGCCCATCAATAACGATGGAAGACACATTGGACGTGGAAATAACACAGGTTTCGCTATTCCGAGTCCTGCAAATGTGGAATTGTAGATGCAGGGCTAGTGACTAGAGCAGCGGGAGCATGTCTAGGAAATCAAGTTCAAACAAATTATCCCAGAAAATGCCCTAGGGAAACACATAGACGTACCTTTCTAGTACACAAGTTGCAAACCTCTGCCTCGCATCATGGGTTTCACACTTGGGTATGTCAATTAAAGCTGAGATCAACTTCGTGTGTTAGTATTTGCTGGTGGAAGATGTACCTTAACAGCTGTAGTGGTGGGATCTAACATGGGACAAACTAAATATAGTTCCCTACCTGGTAATCATGTCAATTCCACAGAGTGAGGCACAAAGAAGAAGGAAAAGAAAGAAACTAAAAATGCTCACCAACTAACCACGGTTCTCGCTAAAGTGGGTAATTGGTTACAAAAACCCCTAGAGGGGGGTTTTACTTCGCGGTCGGCCGAATTGGCGGGCGAGAACTGCAGGTACCGCTTCCTGCTACTTCGACCTGGAATTGAACCCATGACCTCCGGGGGGAGGGCATGAGGGAAATCCAGATCACGGATTCCGACCTCCTAACCACTTGACCAAGTTGCCTTGTGGGGGAGGTCGGTGACTGTGAGGGCGTTGGACCTTCTACATATACTGCCTGCGGGTTCCTGCCCGTAGGAGGAAGCGTGATGAAATTCAACCAGGTGGCAGGGCCATGATATTACTCTTTTGTTTGCCTCGAGAAAAAATCGGATGCTGTTTATTGACAATTACCATAAGGTAGGTATTGGCCATTCTCACTACAGCCCAGTTGCCCACCCGATCGGGGCATGCTCCCTTTACTCATACCCATGCAGCCCTCAGTAAACAGTCGATAATGTGTCTTCCCAACCTTGGTGTTTTGCATCCTTCCGTTGAACAATCCCGTCCTTCCATTCCGTCAAACCCAACTCCTGAAAAAAAGGTTCCTTCCCCCGTCCACAATCTCCAATGATCCAACGTTATCTTTCCATGATCCGCATTCTTCCCCTTACCACCACCTCAAACAAAATCAGTTCCCGTCCCATTCCCCAAAACCTTCTCCCCCGCATCCAAATCCCTATGACACGGGTCCGTCCCTATCCATCCACACGTTAGTCAGTCAGTCACAAACACCTCACAAACACTCACACAAACCCCCGCCACAAAAGAATAAGCACAAAAGCAAAAAGAAAACTCACCATAATCACAAACAACCCCACAATCCCTAAACTCCCTCATCAGCGCCATCCGCGCCGCCTCCGCCTGACACCGAAAACTCCCAAACCGAAACTCCACCAACACCCGCTTGCCGTCCTCACTCTGTCCCCGACTGAGAATCGCATCGATCTGGTACGAGAGCTTGGTATCCAGATATGCGCACAGAAACGCCGCGTTGACGATGTGTGGGGGGCCAGCGATTAGGAGGACGCGCGAGCGCGGGCGGGGGGGTGTGATTGTCCGTGGCGAGGTTGGCCCGGTTGGTGTTGGGGCTGTGAGGGTTGTGGTAGTGGTGGTGATGGAGAGGGTGGTATTGAGGTTTGGGTCTGGGTCGTCTTGTCGGTCGACTTCGGCGGAACGGATGCGGTTCCAGGTTACGCGGGCGAGGAGATGGGGGTTGCGAGGGGTTGAGAAGTAGGCGGGGGCGAAGCGGTTGTAGAAGATTTCTGTGGGTGTTGGTGATACGTTAGTAGTTCGTGGTGTTTCTTTGTGACGAAGATGATGAGAAGAAGAAAGAGGAAGAAAGAAAGAGAGAAAGACAGAGAGAGAAAGACAGAGAGAGAAAGAAAGAAACTCACCAGCAGCCCTCCTCTCAAAAAACACCAGTTTCGCCGCACTCAACTGATGACCCCTCGCCGGATCCGGCGGGTTAATATGCGTCGCATACACCCTCCCCACATTCCTAATTCCCGACAGCAACTCATGTGTCGTCAAATCCGGCGCCAATCCAACCAGAAACAGACTACAATTTGCCTCGGCAGGGATCGCAGCCGACTGGTTGCGCGCCACGGACGGGTCGCCGCGGTAGTTAGGTGAGAAACCCCGCAGCAGGAGACTGTAGACGTCGTGCTGTGTGGGAGGCTGTTGGCTGTGGTGTGGATATTGGTGTTGGTGGGTGACGCTGCGGCAGTTCATGGGGTGGTAGTAGGTAGATGAGGGGGGACTGAGAAGGCATGGATCGGTTAGGGCTGTGGTCGGGGTTGTAATTGGAACTAGCGCGGAGTCATGATGTTGGGAGACGACCTCATGCGATGGCGGTGTCAGGCCTGTCGGGTAGGGTAGCCAAGGTTCTGGAGGTATGATGTTGTTGTTGTTGATATTTGGGATGAGTTGCCCAGGCATGTTGTTGCTGACAACCACCTTTTCTCCAACAGAGCCCGGCACATTGTCTGGGGTAATATCCCGAAGCGGTTCTCGATGGGGCTGGGTAAACGACCTAGGGCGAAGGCCCCCGCCACGAGGAGCCTGGTGTTCAGACCGGTACACGTCAAGAACCGACTGCTGCCCTCCCGGCCCCGGCCCGAGAGACCATGACGAGGCTTCAGTGCCTCTTGGCGTCGGCGCGTCCCTCCACGGGGTAAACGAAAGGTGACGAAGCTCCTCACCGAGCATCTTGTCGTTATCGTTGCTGGTAAGGTCTGTGTAGTCGAAAGCAGTTGTATTGATCTTACTCGGTGTTGTAACACCAGATGTATCCTGCTCGGAAGTTAGGTTGTCGTGGTCATGCCCTGCTGGTGTTGGTGGTAAATACCGAAATGTCCTTTCGGTGTTATTGCGATCGTCAATTAATTGCGGAGTAGACCACGGAGTAGAAGCAGGACCGGGAGAACTAGTAGAAGAAGCAGCAGGAGGAGTGAACCCAAGCCGCGGCGAGTCGGGAGAACCGCCAGAGGGGGGAGAGAACACCCGGGACGTGGGGTGCCCGAGAAAGAGTCTCGGCGGCGTCCATGCTGGCGGGAGACCAGCGTTGCTGTGACCCGGCCGACGGGCGGGGAATCCGCCGCCGGGTACCCGCTCGGCCCTGTCGCCCCCGTCACCCAGGTATGCTGTGTCGGCCTTCTGTTGATGTTGTTCAGCCAGGCCGGCAACAGCAGCCCCCGTCAACCCCAACTGTTCCTGTTCAGCAGCAGCAACAGCAGCAGCAGCACTACCCTTTGCTCGACCCTCGCCCGACCCGCCCAAACCAGCCCACTTTAACGGAGACTCATCCAACCCGCGACGGGCTACATTATCCAGACGCGTCCTCTCTTTATTCCCCAACCAAAGTCGTCGGTCGCCTCTCGAATCAGACCGAGCCCGCGGCCCCGGCAACGGCAGCTGTGTCGGTTCTGAACTCTCATCCCGGTCCTGATCCTGCGTCTCATCCCGACCCTCCTCTTCTTTATCATAAGGGCTATGGGACAATCCCGCCTTGCCCAACACCAACCTGTCGCGCCGCGGCGAGGGCCCCCGCGGGGTGGTATCAGGCGTGGTATCATGTTTCGTGATGCTGCCGTCGTCGGCGCTGACGTACCGAGGTGTTGAGAGCAGAGTTGAACGGAAGGAGTCTGGTGTTTGAGGGCTTGAACTTGGGGAGGAGGCCATCGTAGGAACATCCAAGCCGGGTGAGTATGTATGTGGTGAGGTTTGTGTATGTGGGAGTGTTGTTGGGCGAGTCTCGCTACCTAGGGTGGGAAGAGGACGAAGGAGAATGAGGAGGGGGAAACTATGGTTTGGGGTTAAAAGGTCGCAGCGAAAGTGTTGATATAATTAAGTACGTTCTTATTAGAATGTGGTGGATACTAAGCCATCGTTGTTGTTGTTTCTAAGAAGGGCGGTGGTTGTGGGTGGTCTTTATGATGATGTCTTTATCATGTCTCTGCTTGGGTAATGGAATCAAAATGAATTCACCAGAGACTGAGAGTCATTGTCAGCAGGCAGGTAGCAAAGGGGAACAATCCAAATACTTGCTACAGCATGCTTCAAAACTTATCCAAACCTCAGTCATGAGTCAAAGCAAAAATGCTCGAAAGCAAATGAATGGTAATTAGGTAGCCACAACATTAGCACTCAACTAAGATGAGTCGCGCCGCAAGGCTGAGCGCTGAAGGCATATTCTAGCTGGCATGCTTTTAGCAAAGGAGATACTACCCAGCTTGATCACACATTCAAAAATATGACGACCAACAAACAAGCTGAGAACTACAAGGAGTCAGAATAGGTGGCTAACTCCACAGGTTTCGCGCCTGGTCCAGCGGCTATTATAAGAACCCACTTGTAGCGTCTTAATCAGCCAACAAAGCTCGAAATAATTAGATGCGATCACATGTCGTTGCATAATCCATGTTCTTGTTGAATAGTTCCAGTGTAAATGGACCGCAAGGACGACATTCAATGAAAACACATCGTCTCAATGTTTGCTCTTTGCTACAGGCAGACAGAGGGGTTTGATGGTGTCGCATCCTTTAGTCAAGAGATCTGAACTAAACTAAACACTGGGGACGGTAAGATTGTATTGCTGAGTAAATGGTCAGTTGTCCATCCCACCATCAAATGGCGATTAAATAATTATCCCGTCACGGCCCCCCACCAGAGGCCAAAAGACAGTCTATAATAGTAGCAATACAGCTCCCAGTCGCTCACTCTCGGCTCCTTCTTCCCAACCGCATAAAGGTTCTCGTAACGATCGCCCATGACCCATTTCTCAGCGCGTTCCTTGAGCGCCGCCTCACCCTCGTGTACAGCAGTGCCAGGTATTCCAGCTTCTTCCGCGTCCTCAAGCAGGACAAACAACCCCCGCGATTCGTCCCACCTCAATTCGTCCGAGAGCTCAGCGTAGAACCCAGCCAAGCCACCCTGCGCGAGCTGTTTCAGCGGCCGGATGAGATCCAGGTAGGCTTCCAGGATGGTTTCTCGCTCCTGGGGCGAAATGGCCCGGTAGGTCGCCCATTGGCTCACTGGGGCTGTTGTTACTAGCCGCAGGGTGAGGGCTGGTAACGTGAGGAGGTCGTATTCAACCAGCCAATTTATCGTGGACTGCCAATCCTGTATAGCGGGGTGGTCTTTGCCGCCGGGCCAGGCACGGGGGTGGTAGGCGGGGTAGACGACATGGAGAAGACGGAGGTATCGGAGGGCTGAAGGGGGCACGACATCACGTAGGAACTCAGAGATGGCGAGCCGGGGGTAGGGGTAAGCCGGGTGCTCCTCCTCTTCTTCTTGTTGTTCTTGTTCTTCTTCTCCTTCCGCTTCTTCATCACCTTCCTCGCGATGTCCGCGGCGGCTTTCAAGAGGAGGAGGACGAGGAAGAGGAAAGCGGTTTAGAAAGGGGTGATGATCGTGGATCACAAAGCGGTTCTTGGAAAAGAAGACGAACCGAGCATCTTCACACAGGGCGCGGTTGATGAGAAACAGATCCGGGCCAGGCGGGGCCCAACAATTGCAGCGTGGTGTATACGCCGAGTGCCGACGGCCACAGAAACAACCGTGGGGAGGGTCGTGGTCCTTATACCGGCAGTAGGAAAAGTCCTCTGTGTACGTGTACTGATCCTGGTTTTCCACGCGGGCGTAGAACGCGTTATTCCGTGTCACGGAAATGGTACCAAAAGCGCGATCTTGGCGGCTCCAGAACACCTGTCTTCGAGGCGTGACGAGGTCGGTGTACTCTAGGATGCGAATGCGGAGTTCGCAGGGCAGAGTGGCTAGGGTAGTGGCAGCTGGGTTATTACCGAGCGGATCGTACGACGATGGCATTGGAATACCCGAGGCGTGACAGGCGGCATTCTGGGCCAGTTGCTGGAAGCGGCTGTCGGGGGCTTGGGCCAGCCGAATGTGACATTCCCGGAGGTATGAAGGGGGTAAAGTGAGGATGGGCGCCACGATAGCCCGAGCGAGGTCTAACCCGTGTGGGTGCGAGGGTTCGATATCGCAAACTAAGTACAGGGCAAGGCGGCCTGCTACCGTCTGGGAGAAGATGTGTTCTGCGGCCGAGTGCCATTTTTGCACGATCATTTCCGAATAGTCCGATGCCTCAACTGAATCTGCCGACGTAGTCTCCTGGTACTGGCCGAGGAGAGGGGGCTGGTGGGCGCCGGCGTGCTCCTGCACGCACCGGGCTCTCCCGGACTCGCTATCGGCCAAATTACCTGCGAAGCAACACGTTGTAGTGCTACCGAGGCCAGCGGACTGGTGGCAACTCGCCTGGTTCAAGATAATCTTTAGACTAGATAGAAAATGGAGGGGGACGGCAGTTAGAGCGTGAAGCGCTCTCAGGCCGGCCTCCTCAAGATCTGGCGGTAGCGGGTAACCGGAGGGCTGGGAGAAGTAGATGACAAACGGATTGAGCGAGTAGATAAGCGCTGCGGCCTCGGCGTATATGAGGCGGCAAGACAGGAGCAGGGCATGGACGTTGGCGCCACTCTCCATGGGGATCCAAGGCCGATTGTAGGAATCAAACCAAGGATACGAAAAATCCCACCTGCTGAGGTCGCAGCGGTGCGGGATACCGTCCCATGATACCAGTCCGAGGTACCCATAGATGCGCCGTCGAATATGTTTAGGGAGACGAAGAAGCGGTGGCACCACGGAAGTTGAGTTTGACAGTTCAGGACCTTCAAGGGTTAGGCGAGTCAGCAATCCTGGAATGCCTCTCGTGGTAACCGCGCTGGAGTCGCGCTGGGGCATTTTAGCTGAAGCTGTTGTGACTTGTGTTGCAGCAGCCCTGACAATAAGTGCGCCCGCTTGGATATTTGTTTCAGAAGTCGAGAATTCAGCCCTGGGGCGTCGGGTCAAGTTTCTGCAACTTTATCGGCCATAAGGTCTCGAGGGCTCCGGGCAATTGGCCTACAGTTGTTATTTGGTAAATACTGTATGATTGACGAAAACGGGGCCGGATTGGGCTACCCCGCCCGAACCATCTGGCGGCCGTTGCTAAATCGGGTGCCTAATTAGGTAGTTACATGTTAGCTAGTTACCTAGGTAGCTTTCCTGGCGACTGCGTTTCATAAAAAATTCACCGCAACTTGTCTTGCGGTACATTTGCTACCACGTCGAGATTTCAGCTGGAGAACCGAAGAATAACCTTAACCTCCGGACCTTTCCATCGGATTACCTAATACCTCTCGGAGAGGACCATTTGGATTCTGCTAAGACGGTGGGACCTTCCGCCAGGGACAATTTAGGTAGGTAGGTAGGTAGTTGGAAGGTTCAATGCGGACTTCGGATTCAGGTGTTACAAAGGAGCAAGCGCCATGCTTCATCAGCAGTTGGCCATCTTTTGCTTCATTAATCGTCCATGCCAAAAAGATGACCAATTACAACCTTGTTGTTAGTCACGACTTTCCAACCATCACCAACGGCCGAATACCTTGGCAACCTATTACCTAGCAAGAGAACTACAACCTCGTCAGAAACACTGTAACACACTGCCAATTATTGCCCACCAACTCAATCTGGGTACAAACACTTACTACTGCTGGTCCGGGAACAACATAATTGGTAATAGCGCCATTGTAGATCTAGCCCCATTAGCAACAACACCTATGACACTTTCCATGCCCAACGAGTACTTTAAAAGTTGACTTACATTGACCGTCAGGCCTGGGTCGTCAGCCTTGATGGCACCTGGGATCGGGGCAGTCGGGGACGGCGTGGCGCTCCCGCCGCCGGTAACCTTGACTTGGGCGCAGCTAATGTAAAACTTTTGAGGTGTTAATCGAGATACAGAAAGTTCATCGGGGGGCGGAACAAACCTGAGGAGCAGCGCCCGGGTTGTGCAAACCAATCTGCTGAATACGCAGAAGGTACTCGCCGTCGGAAATGCATTTGGGGATGTTGGACGTGTAGGAATCTATACCGTGTTAGTCAACCAACCCCCCTTAGAAAGTAAGAAAAAAGAAAAAGTAAACTAATAACTCACCTCTCAGCGGCCAGTTCGACCCCTCCGGACCCCAATCCCAAATCTTAAACCAGTCTCCACTACCATCATAATCCGCCACGACCCCATCACCCGTTGCTTTCGACATATACAACGAGACAGGGCCCGCATGGTACACCGCCGTATCCAAGGTGAAGGTAAACTCCCCGCCCGCGGCAATCTCCACCGTCTCAGTCCCGTTGCTGACCTGTCCGCCGACGTTGCAGCGCAGGTCCGTCGAGCTGAGGTCCGTCACGGGGCCGTTCTGCAGCCAGGACGGGTTGGAGTTGCGCCGGACGTACTCCCACGCGGGGTACTTTGTGCCGCCGACGGTGAGTTGCTGGAAGATGTAGTGGGCAGAGACGGCCGGGAGGAGCCCGAGGAGGGCTGGGAGGATGGACTTCATAATGGATCGTGGGGGAAGAGTCTTGTCGGTTCGGTAGTTTGGTGGTAGTGGAGCGGGGCGGGTTTAGGGACTGGAGCGAAAAAAAGATCGATTGACGAGGGGAGATGGACAGATTTAAGCATTTGGTATTCATCTTTTTTGGCCCTGTATTTCTTGCAAATGTCCCATCTAACATTCCCATTTCCGGGCGCACACCATCGACTTCGCGCTTGGCTCATAGGCACGCAACCTCCGATATTATTTCTTCGCTTGGCAGACGGACTCGTCCTTCCGCAAACCCAACGAATCACACAACCACACTTTATTACTCGGCAGTTGGATCCCCGAATTTGTAAGTTCAAGTCGAATCGGGCCGTGAAACACCCCGCATACAGTTAGATTGAGGACATATTTAGTTGATGGTATCATAGCCAAGGTCTCAAGCGAGGAAGAGTGAAGAGGAATCCGGGTTGACGATTCCGGCGGAGTCTTGGCATTGAAGGCATGGCCGAGATATGTGTTTTTGCGCAGCTAACAAACTTGCGAACGTGGGGGCTGTTCCGCTGTTGACTTTTACATTTTAATAGCTTTCCAGTCTTTCCCATATCTCAAATGAAGTTGACATAAGGACTGATGATCATCTGTGAACTTAGTCTGGCCTCAATCCTACTATAGTACTCGAACCGCGCCTCGGCAATCTTGGTGATGGTGATATTACCAGTTTGACGTTTTGTTTTCCGTTTGCCTTACATAGATCGTGATAATCAATGTTCTGGGGGTCAAATTTCCACCACGGTGATCGTCGCCGGGAAGTATCGGGAACCTAGCCTCGAGCCGGAGCTGGAGCTGGACCCACTTAAACCGGAGCTCCCGGACCCACCCGGGTCCGAGGAGGTCGCCAGCGGTGCAAGGTCACCTGATGGTGTCGTATGGGTTTATTTCTAGGGTAGAAATTGGCATGACAGGATAATAACGGAAGTGACGAAAAATAGAGAAATAATTGCTTCTCTGAGGCGCATTTTGGCTCTGTCGCGCACATGTTTTTGGCTCGCGACTTGTTTGCACGCACAGGACGGGGCACGACTTGATGTCGAGGCCCGGTTCGAAACATGGGGTAGGCAGATAGGTTGTCCTGCAAGGCCCTTATCATGCACCAGCTGCCCCGAACCCGCATTCATTTTACTTTTTAGCTTGCAGGTTGCACTTGCCCTAAATCCAAAGGCAGATCTCGCACTCCTTCGACCCACCAGTGATCACCCCTTGCATACCGTGAAGCTCCTGGAGCTTGATCTTGAACCGTTGCCTGCGGCCTGCATATGGGCTACAGCCCAACTGCAACAGGGGTAGTTACAGGGGCTACCTCTTGGTGCAGATCTGCGAGACGATGCCATTCACTGCACTGACATGGAACATTTTCTTCCATTTTTCGACTTCGCCGATCTCGAAAACATTTGTTTGTTCCCTGATTCCACTGGCATGTGGAACGAATTTCGCCCTTCCATCGCGCCTTCCGCCCATCCATCATCCTTTCTTGGCATTACGGTTCGCCCCAGAGATTCCCTTGTGCCGTCGAATCACGTCGTTTAGCAGCCACTCGCGGCCACCTGCTGAGCCACGCCATGACAGCACCGCCCGGGCTGCCTCGCAGCAGGCCCTCGTCAATGTTGTCGAACCGGCGCTTGCGGAACCTGCAATTGAATCATCGTTCTCCAACTTGAACATCACAGCCCCAGTGGCTCGTCCTTCCAGCCGCCTGTACTTAATGAGAGCTGCTGCTGTTTTGTGCACGCACAGAGCGGTCCAATTTGCTTTCCGATCTCAAAGAAAAAGTCCAGCTTAAAATTACCCCTCCCCCGCACCTGAACTTGACGAACCCACATCGTCAGCCCCAGGGCGTTGAACTCGCGTTTAAGTTTTGAGCTCGAATTATCAACAATCGGATTTAGGATCTACCCATAACACATTTCTTCGAGATGTCTTATCAGGGGTATTCGCCATACAACCGTGAGTAAACACTAAAAAATTGCATTTCCACGGCCGGGTGCTGCTTTCGGCGCGAGCTCACACCCGATTAGAACCACCTCCCCAACAAGGGGGATACTACCAGCAACCCCCGCCCCCTCAACAACAATACGGCGCCCCTCCACCACCACCGGGCCAATACTATCAACAACCAGCCGGCGGTTACGGACAACCGCCCCCACCTCCCCAGCAACCGTACGGCGCTCCCCCGCCCGCTCAACCCTACGGTGCCCCTCCCCCGGGCCAGTACGGAGCATACGGCGCCCCGCCTCCTCCCCAGCAGCCCTACGGAGCGCAGCATGGATATTCGCCAGCTCCTCCTCCTCAACCGCCTTACGGCCACCCCCCGCCGGGCGCGCCACCCCAGGGATACGGACAACCGCCTCCCCCACCGCAGCAATACGGCGCTCCGTACGGCCAGCAATTCCCGCCGGCCCCGCCGTCCCTCGGGTACGGACCCCCGCAGATTATCGCGTGGAATGGCGATGACGACGCGCGCGGTCTTCGCTCGGCCATGAAGGGCTTCGGCACCGACGAGAAGGCGCTGATCCGGATCCTGGCCAACAAAGATCCCCTGCAAATCCACACCGTCCGCGACGCCTACTCTCGCCTGCACCGGCGCGATCTGGTCGCCGACATCAAGAGCGAGACAAGCAGCTGGTTTGAGGCCGGGCTGGTCTCGCTCGCCCGCGGCCCGCTGCTGAGCGATGTGCATCTGCTGCACGACGCCATGTCCGGCATCGGCACCAAGGAGGACGCGCTCAACGATGTGTTGCTGGGGCGCACCAACGCTGATCTGAACGCCATCAAGAGCGAGTACCACCGGACCTTCCATCGCCGGCTGGAGGACGACGTGCGCGGCGACCTGAGCATGAAGACGGAGCGGCACTTTATGATTGTCCTGCAGGCCGTACGGGCGGAGGAGTCCGCGCCGGTGGTCAAGGCCGAGATTGACCGGGATGTTAACGACTTGTACAATGCGACCGAGGCGAAGATGGGGACCGACGAGATGAAGGTGTGCAGCATCTTGAGCACGCGGAACGATAGCCAGCTGCGTGCGATTGCGTACGAGTATCAGCTCAAATATGCTCGGAGTCTGGAGCATGTCATTCGCAAGGTGAGTTCATAGGAGGCGGATTTCCCTGTGTCTTATCAGACACTCGAGGAAATACGGTGTTGCTGACCGAGGTCCCAAAACAGGAATTCTCTGGCCATATGGAAGACGCACTCCTCTTCCAACTGCGCAGTGGTGTCGACAAATACATGCACCACGCCGCGCTTCTTGAGGACGCCATGGCCGGCGCCGGCACCAAGGATTATCTCCTCGTCAGCCGTATTGTTCGCTTCCGTATGTTCTCCCCAACCTTGCCCCTACTCTCCTGACCTGTTTCGTATCTGGCCGGCTAACAATGTGTTTTGCTAGACTGGGACCGCAACCACATGGCCAACGTCGTTGGCGCTTACGAGAAACGGTACCATCGCAGCCTGTCGAGCAGGATCAAGGGGGAGACGAGCGGTGATTACGAACGGTTGATGCTGGCGTGTATTGGAGAGCGCGTGTAGTGCGGTCTGGGATATACCAAACGGAGCATCCTTTCTACGGAACAAATATCCGGTGTTTTGCGATGGGCCATTGGGCGAGTGTTTATGTGCCCAAATATCCATAATGTTCATGATGAGGATGTAAGGCTATTGCCAAATGCAGAGAAAGAACGGCAGGTGAAACAGACATCCAATGCCAAGATTTGCTCGGCAACAAAAATTGGTTGCGGCGGTGATCCCTGCTAAACACTGCGAAAGTTGGCGCTGCAGGCAAACGGATCTGGAGTCATATTCATGATAAAAAATAAATCCCTGTCACAGCTACGGGTGGAGAAGATAATTAACTAACGTTAGCACCGGGCGCATGTCAATACACATGATGAATCACAAAACAATGGACAGCCGAGTCGCGTCTCGAAAACTTGCCATCCCAGTGAATAATCTGAAACATGGGCATGAGCCGGGCTATAAATGTGCATGAGAAATTATCCTAATTGGGAACATAACGTACAATCGCCAACAGCTTTCATGATCGATAAAGACCACAGAATTGGCTGACGGGGTTTAATTATCACGTTTATTTTTATTAAACTAGCACACACGCACCCACACCCCATTTAACCGAGAAAAAGTTTGCAAGGATAACAAATAATAGTAATGCTACTTTCACTTCTTTGTCTGTTCTTTTTTATTTTAACCTTTTACCTCCCGCCTTCCCGTCCCCATCCCCAGGTACGACGAGCATGCAGCCACCTTAGATTCTTCTCACACCGCATCTTGAATAAGGTATCCTTGCATCACGCCTCAATTGTTCTTTTTTCTTTTTCTGGCGTACCTTATCCTTTTCAGCTACATAAACGTCGCGTCCTCCAAAACCGGTTGACAGTCTCGGGTACTCCTACCGACATTGGTGCCAATCCGAAGCCTCATAAATTGCCTTTTCATCTCTTCTTTTTCTTTCTGCATGAGACGTTGCAGCGCCAGGCACACAAGGTGAGAGAGACTTGCACCATCCCAAACCCTACGCACCAAAACACATATTTGGTCCCATCAAGAGGCTAGGTGGTGGTAACGCGGGGCACGGACGCCATCATTGGTACTTCAACGGACCTGCCCATGGAGGGTGCAGGCCAACCTCATGAATCGGGGGAGCCTCGGGCACAAATGGCGACTGGGGTATCAACAACCACGCCGCCGCCGCCGCCGCTTGTCAATCCGGATCAGCCAGACCCTCGTGCACTCAGTACCGCAGCGCCGGGTACATCTCCACGGGTAGCATCTCCTGCAGCACAAGGAGCGGATGTAGCAGTTGCAGCGGCAACTACGGCCCCAGCCGTCGGTATCCCAATTCCATCCTCCAACCCTCCTGTGAGCTTGGCTATGGAGAATGGCGGCACCAATATCGAGAGCCGAGAAGCATGGCCGGAACGGCCTCCGAGGCCCAATTTGGATACACCACGGTCTGCGAGCCCACAGGTCCAGCTTCAAACGACGGCTGCCAACACAGAGAGTGTATCACATCAGCAACCGATTTCACCAACTGCACGGGCAGCCCCAGAGGTATCACCAGTTCGAGAAAGTTCGCCGATTGTGAAGGAGGAATACTTGGGCCCAGCGGTGCAGGGGGGGCAACAGCAAAGCTTAATGGTGAATATGCAGGCCGACACGGGCCACCTGCAACCGGCAAATTCGGCAACTGCTGAAGCGCCTGAAACTGCGGCTCTTTCCCCATCAACACAGCAGGTTCCGGGTCCTCCTCAGGCATCGCAGCTCCACCAAAACACACTGCCCGGCCCATCGGGTCTTCCTGCACGGCTTCCATCACCACCACGCGTTCCGGCGCCGAGTTTTTCGCCTTCGTCCGCTCCGCCACCTCCGCATCCGCTCCCTGCTCCGGGCCCGGTAGTGCCCGGACATTTGCATCACAGCGTTCCGCAGCGACTTCCTACGCTATCGGGGCCGCAATTGGGGCCGCATCAAGCCTCGCAGCAATACCCGCCGCATTCCCAGCATTCCCGTCAACCACCGCCGCCGCTCGTGCATGTCTCTAGCTCCCAGCCCGCTCCACATCTGCAAACGCATGGGCACTTGCATCATTCTCCCCAGTACGAGCACGGATACCACCATCAGCAGCAGCAGCAGCAGCCGCAGCAATACCACCAGCAGCACTACCAGCATCAGCACCCACATCATCATCACCAACATCAACATCAACACCAACCGCCGCCTCACCATCACCACCAACCCTCACCATCGTCAACCGCACCCACACCCGCACCCGGAACTCCGCTGACGCCGATTCCGCCATCGCAGCAGTATTTTCCTCCTAATCCAGCGCAGCAGGCCTGGCCACACCGTCAACCCCAACCCCAACCCCAACCCCAACCCCAACCCGAACCCCCAGTTCGGGTGCAGTTCGTCCTTGAGCAGCGGCCCCCAGAGCAAGCTCATGAATACAACAATCAAGCTCCCCCGCTGGTGCCGAGCGTAAGACAACAACAACATCATCATCATCATCAGCAGCAGCAGCAGCAGCAGCAAACACCAACAGTAGCAGCAGTAGTAGCATCAGTACCCGTTCACATAGCATCCCTTTCAAAACCCATCATCATGGATCCACCAAGCGTCCGGAAGGGCGGCCAGCAGGGTGGTGGCCAAGCCGGACAGCCCAACGAGACGCCTGTGTTTCCGTCGCCGACGATGCAGAATCAGGCTGCGCCGAACCCCAAGTTCGTGGACGATTACACACGCATCAACTTTGCTATTCAACAGAGCATACCCGAGGCCGTTCGCCGTGTTGTACGGGACCGGTGGGAAAAGTGCCTTTTGGGTTCTGAGTTTCACCAAGCGTTTGTTGTAAGTTGAGTCTTGTGGAGGGTCTATCATCTGGCTGATATGGTTTCGTTCCGTCGGGTTTCCTTTTCCCGTTCTTTCCCTTTTCATTTCTTTTCTTGATTTTACCCAGTTTCCTAACTTATTCCGCTTTCCTCCTTCGTGGTTGTTTTTGTCTTTCCACAATTTCTACATGCGCGCAACCTCCCGGACACACACCATCCACTTATCCCACCTTTCTATTTCCTAACTTCATTCACCTCAACAATCCGTGTATCGTCCCGTGTTCCCCCCTACACTTCACTATGGCCGACGATTCGCGGAAGTCGCCGTATTCTCTACCACCCAAATCCTGGCTAACCAACTCGCAGCTCAATGCCGCCATCCACCATGCGAGCGCCACTATTACGCAACGCGCCGTTCGAGACTTTGGCGGGAAGCTAGTTGACACGGCGAGACGCGACATCGTGGCCCATTTCTCAGCTGAGGCACTGGATGATGTCGCCGACTTAATCATCTGCAAGGCCAGCGACAAGTTTCTGGACAAGTGCCTCGAAAAGCGCCTCTTAACCATTGGGGCCAAGCCGCTCATCAACGCTCTCGCCGCCGCAGAGCGGCTGGGGTACGAGCCCAGCGACATGGTCCAGGTTGAGCCAAATGAACGTGTCCTCCCCCAGGCCCCTCCAAGCCAGCCGGCACCCACAAACCCGGCGCAGAGTCATCCAGTGGCTCAGTGTCTGAAGTGTTTCCGGACGTTTGCGTATCCATCGGCCCATGAATATGTAAGTGGGGCCTCTACAGACCGATATTGTCCGTAACGTACTCACCTTCATCTAGCACGCTACGCACGATGTTTGCAGCCAAATCCCACCAGACAACAATGGCTTCGAGCACGCATGTATACATTGCGGTAAAGGCTTTACGAATGTTGTTGATCTGCAACGAGTATGTGTTAACGTTCCTCATGCCAATGTGAACCGCTTGCAGAGCCCCAGCTGACCCATCGTCCAGCATACCGAGCAGCAAGTCTGCACCACCCCCAGGCCGGCCCAAACTCCTCAACCCCGCCTAAACCAAGCGGGAACAGTTGTCACACGAAGTCCGTCCTCGGTCCATACCCCCGGTGCCGCAACAATTGAGCTCCATCTTCCCTCCACCATACCCAGCGCCAAGCCGACACCCCCCACTGCAGGCACCGGCCTCCCTGGAGACCCGTACGGACATTTGACACCGGATCAAATCCAAAGCATGAATGACGATCTCCGTGCCGCCGAGGAGCAGTTTGCACCGCGCTTCGCCGAAGCCAACGAGATTGCAGACAGCGGACAACGCAGGGTCAAGTTGGAGGGTCTCCGAAACAGTTTTGGCACCAAGCAGTCCCTTATCCGTAAGAAATACGGCGTCCGGTTGCGCGAGAGACGGACCAAGGCCGAGATTGAGGCGGAAAGGGCACGAGTCATGGGCAGACAGCGGCGGAACGAAGCTTCGAGACCTCCACCAACACCCGGTTCAGGTCCTGCGCTCACCGCTCCCGTTGCTCCTGCTGCCGGAAGTGGATGGACGGCAGCGAATACCCCGCGCACCAGCGCCGTCTGGGAAGAACACGACGCGAAACGCCGGCGTCTAAGCGAGGCCGGCGGGCATCACTCCCCGTCCCGGACACTCGCCGACGACACGCCCACGCGCAAGGTCAGCGGTTCATATCCCACAGCCGCAACAACCTCGTCCCGACCAACAACAACCTACGAGCAGTCCGGCGCACGAATCCAAATCCACATACCCACCGCCAATTCTCAACAACAACAACAACAACAACAACAATCCGGTGGCAGCGCTCATCCCAATGGCGTCTCCGGCACCGCCTCGCGAACCGCCACGCCGGATGGGTCGCACAGCGGTACGAACGCCGACAGCGAGAACAGGCAGCAGCAGCAGCAGCATGGGCACGGTCGTCCCGGCCTCTCCTCCGCGCCTGTAGTCATCGACGACGATGACGACTCCTCTTCGGGCGACGACGAGGATATCCCGTCGACGCTGCCTTCTCATGTGCGGAAGAGTTTGGGCGCGTCGGCTAGCCCGTCGGTTGTGCAGAAGACGCCTTAGACAGACGAGCAAACTATGAGTTCCGCTTACGGGCGATATTGTGAGGGGTTTGCGTGACCTTGCTAGGGTTTCTCTCCGATTTTCTTCCGTCTTGTCTTCTAGTTTCTCATATATCTTATCTAGTTTTCTTTTCCATACCACTCTCTCTCACCCTATCTCATGATCAAGTTGGGGGCCAAATTCTCATTTGATACCGGATGGGGGTTCAGTTTCGTTCAACAGTTACTACACGTGCGCGCCGAGTTCGTTGCGGTTGATAAATACCCCAGATTCGTTTTATTTTCTTCCCTTACTCTCTCGCCTTTTCTTTACTCAATCTCATCCTAGATATAAAAAGGGAAGAGTAATAAAAGGAAAGTGGATTACCACATACTTTCCCAATCCCCGTCCTGTCTCTCTATTTACATACACGAGACGTCGAGCCTGTTTCTGCTTAAGTCACAAGTGGCCTGGTTATCCCGTTTGATACCGGCGGACTTTTGCTCTGGACTCGACCACGGGGGTAACTGCGGTCTCTTTTTTCCCTCGAAATATGGTGGAAGTTAAAGAGGATGGATGGATACTGAGGTTACCAGCCAGGTTGCCAAAAGTGCAATGGCCGAAGGGTTCTTAGGGAATAAAAGACTCACATTACCGCCTCTGGGCAACGGAAAAGGGGTGAATAGTATGTATGAATCAACAGTGACTCGAACGCTCTGCTCTCTCCGATATCTCGATCAGTCGGCAGGTCATGCCATTACCGCCCCTTGCTATGTCCACCGAAACACCCAAGCATTGGGGCTCAAACGACACAACCAGCATACAGCAGGCACACAACATATCAACATACATTGTCCCATTTCATCTGCAACTCCACAAAGGGTAGTGTACGTAGTAGCACGTAATAGATGACATTGAAAGTAACAAGCGAAAAACAACAGAACCTCACACATACATCAGCCAAACTGCTGGGGATTTACAACCGAACCGGAACAAACCTAACCACCCCAAACCAAACCAGCAACTCCCACGCTCAAAGCCCAAGGTGGGCAGAAATAAAATAAAAAAAAGGCCTTCCTTCCATTCCTTACTGTGCAGGATGAAAATGAACAGAAACATGACATGGCATGACATCGATAACCCCGCACTCCCCACGCTCATAACCCGCCCCCCCTACATCTCAAGGTTTGTACCTGCCCCCTACTTCGTTACCCTCCTCACCCACAACGTCGTAGGCTCCCACTCCGCCTCCCGATCCAACCTCTTATACGCCCGATGCAGCTTCAACCCCAACTCATACTCCTCCCGCTGCACGTCCGCCAACTCCTGCCTTAGCACCTCCACTTTCTTCTTCTCATCCTCCCGCTTACGGACCACCGCCGCAGAATTCATCAGCTTGTCCGTCGGCATCAGCTCGGTCATCTGCGCGATGGAGCGGTTGATATTGATACGCCGGTTGGCGAGGGAGCGCAGCTGGGCGTTGAGCAAGCCCACACGGTCGCGGGCCTGGTCGGCGGTTTGTTCCGGGGGTGGAGCGGGGAGGGATTTGTTGATGTCGGAGGCGCGGGAGGAGGGGCGGTCGATGGCGAGGGCGCGGGCGAGGGCTGGGTTCATGGCGCTGGCGAATTGTTGGAGTTCTTGTTGTTGTTCGGGGTCGGTGGAAGGGCTGCGGGACTCGGCGGCGCCGCCGGGGGGGACGGAAAAGGGGGAGGTCATGAATTGGTCGATGGGGGAGGTGACGGGGCTGTGGTCGGATGTGGGCCGAACCGGTCCGCCGGGAGTGCCCGTGTACTGGTGTTGGTAGTCGGAAGGTAGAGAAGGGACCGGAGGGTGGTCGTCGTTGAAGTGGTCGTCCGGGTCGTCCGTGCGCGTCGTTCCAGCCGTGCTGGTCGCATAGGTAGTGATGCTGAAGCGCGAAGGGGGCTGGACGTAGGGTTCTTCTTCCTCCACGGCCTCTACGACGTCGTGGATGGCCCCCGGTGATTGGTGCACAATGTCCGTCGAGTAGACGGACGAGACCGAGACCTGGTGTTGATGGTGATAGTGCGCGGGGTGATGCGGGTCGGTGTGAACGGGAGGTGGTTTCCGGCGGAGCTGGTTGATGGACTCGGGAGAGTTGTTGAAGGTTGGGGAAGGTTGAGCAGGGGCAGAAACACCGGTGCCAACCCCGTACTGAGCATCCCGCACGAGTTCTCGGGCCGCGGCCACGGCAGGAGCGTCGGCCTGCACTGGAGTCCCGGATAGGGGTGGACTGGGATACCTTTGCTGCTGCTGCTGTGTCGTCTGAAATTGCGTCTGTGCGGTTTGGGCCGCGGGGGTTTGGGACGAGGGCATGATTCTCCGAGCGGCCTCTTGCGGGGCAGACCTAGCTGGTGGTGTTTCAGACGGGGGTGGGCTGATCGGCGGGGTCTGGCCGCGGCGGACCGGGCCATCTACGGCGCTGCTGTTGTTCACTCGAGCCCCTCCAACGACTGCTGGTCCTGGCCCGGCCGAAGGTGGCATGTTCCTCCTGCTGCTCTTCTCGGGGATCTTCAACGGGGCTACTGCACGCGTGTCGTGCACCGGGTCGACAATCGCGGTCCGGCCACTCGCACCACGCCAGCCGGGCCGCGTAGAAGTAAAAGCACCGGCAGCCGGGTCTGTGTTGCCATCCCTTGCAGCTGCAGCAGCTGCGCCAGCCTTTTTAGCCATCCTCCTCCACCGATCGCCGAACGAGGGCGGCCCTGCTGTCGGCCCAACGGACTGCTGAGGGTCCGACCATCCAGCACTCTGCGACGCAGTGGCCAAGCCTTGAGCAAACTCGGCCGGGTTGGCGACCTGGGATGGGTAGCCCTGAGCGTTGCCAGTCTGTTCTCCGGTGAGTGGATCCCACCTGGGTGCATTTCGAGGCTGTTGATCTTGATACTGCTGCTGCTGTTGTTGTTGTGGCTGCTGCTGCTGCTGCTGCTGCTGCTGTTGAAATTGTTTTTGTTGTTGCTGTTGCGGTTGCTGCAGCTGTGTCCCACGATGGTTCTCTCGCGCCGCAATATCCGACTGTCTCCTACGCTCGCGGCGCATCACCGGGATGCTTGTATTCCCCCGGCTCTGCGGAACCGGAACCTGCGAGGCCTGGCGCATGTCAGACGACGTATGTGCATGATGCGAATGGTGCGTATACTGCGGCTCTCGGCCCGACCTATCAGTGCTCTGGTGTGCTACGTGACGGTACGCAGGTGCTTCCTCCTCATCGATCGGCGAGACATCACCAGGCAGGTAGCGGTCGACGTGACCGGCTTCGACTTCGGGCGAGCTAGGCGGGGAGATCTCATCAGCCGCTCCCGGGCCGCCGCCGTAGCGGTAGTCGTATGTGGTCGCCAGGTTTGCGTTGTAAGATGCCACTGGGGCTGCTAGTGGGGGACTGTAGTCGTCGTCGTCTGATGAGTACACAGACGAGGGAGGGCGGAGGTTGATGTTGGCCGTGCGCACCGTGATGCGATTCGGGTTGCGACGAGGTGGTTCCTTGACGGCAGGGGCGGTTTCGCTGAAAGTCGGGGCGTGGAAATGTCAGCAAAAAAGTACTGCACTCGATAACCAAGCGATGCTCTCGTCATGCATTCGCCCGCTTTGTTGGCCAGCGACAGACAGCGCAGCAATCCAAAAGTCGCGTCCCAACACACAGAAAAGAGTGGCTGCTGCAGGCGACGTGCGACTCGGGCACCAGGCAGGCTGCTTTGGGCCTTTTCCCAGGTTTCCAGTCCCAGGTGCAAGTGCCCAGAACGTGGGCCGTTGGAGGGTGATCAGGGATCGAATAGAGGGGTCGTTGCAAGAAGCGGAATTGCAGGGCCGACCTGGGCAAACTGGGGGCATGAACGACCTGAGTGGCCGGCTCCACGCCCACTGTTCCAAGCCTTGCCCAAACAGGCAAGCTGCAGCCAAAGTCCGCCGGGGCACAGCCCAGACCACCACAACCGCACCGGGGGTCCCCCGCAGCAGGCAGCCTGAAGACTCAGCGCCCAGCCCTGCAATCTGGAGATGGGCCATCCGCTTCCATCCAAAAGTTCAAGATGCTAGAGAAAATATAAAGAAATTGACCACTCACTATCTCGAAGCATAAAACTCTCGTGGAGGTCGCGGAGGCGCCGGTCCACCTTTGATCGAATAGCTGTATCCCTTGGGTGTCGCACCGTAGCCTATCCCGAGGCCCACGCGTAACCTGTCGTCGTCGAGAGGGTGCCCACCGTGTCTCCCAGAGCCATATGAAGTGTGAGACCCATGGGAACCGTGGGGAATGATTTTGAGTCTGTCCCACATCTTGAAAGGGGAGGCCAATCGTGCGATGAGCCGAAAGGTCCTTTGAGCACCAAATACAAAAAAAATCCTATCTCTTTCTCTCCTCGTTTCTTTCTGTCCCCTTCTCTTCCTTCAATCCGCCTGCCGTCCCTGGTTGACTCCCGAAATTATGAGGGTGGAGGTCGTTCGCAAGCGAGGTGCAAGCCGGGAGGCGTCTTCCGTTGTGGGCTTGCAGGCGAGTCCTGAGTGGTGAGTCGTCGTTACGTCTGCCGTCATCGACTAACAACGAACGCCCTTGGCTGCCAGCCAGTGCAAGTGTGGGTAGGGCTTCTGGATATAGGGATGAGTAGAGAAGGATGGGTGTTCCTTTGCCGTTTAAGTGAGCGAGACCTTTCGGTGTCTTTGTTGGGTGGCTCGGCCGAGGCAGCAGGGCAGAGCAGGGCAAACAACTTTGCTTAGTCTAAGCGACACGGCAGCGTATTATGATGATGATGGGGGATCTTCAACTTGAAGGGGGGAACTACCAGCTCCTTATCATCCAGCCAGTCCAGAAGGAGCCGAGCGCGGGTATGTCGGGACGTTGTTTATTTTCTTGACCGCCCGCCCCAGATCCAATATGGCTGATTGGGATAATTGGCCCGCGGCCGTTATTTTGCAACCTATTTCCCACGTGGGAAACTGCTGTCTGTCTCGAGGCCGCTGCGGGGACCCTGCTCAGGGGCCCGAAAAGTCAAGCGACGGACCGAGGAAGAGCTTGTTGTCGTGTTCCCCTCCTTCTGCTTTGTTTTCACTCAGAATGCGAGTGCACCAGTCATTCGAGCCTGCTCCCTTCGATCTGGCGGGGAGAGTGGAGGGGTTCGCCGCGGCGGCGCCGGCGGCGGGTGGTGCAGGTGGTCGTGTTAGTTGGCCGCCAGCGCGGCTGGGAGGCGTTGTAACGCGTTGAGGGAAGCCGGCAAGATTCGTTGGTCCTCGCCGCATGCTGCGGTCGGGATCCCGGTCCTGAATGATGCCAAGAACACACCACCGAGCCTCGAAAGATGCTGGCTGCCGGTGCCGATGGAACGTTGGTTTGTCTCTTCGTCATTCGCGTCGTCGTCCTTCCATCGACTACGAAGTACAGGCGTCCTTCAGCCAGCGAAGCGGGGAGCCGGGGAGCCGGGACTCTCCCCTTTTGTTATATCCCCTAAGAACCTAAGCATGAATGTTTGAAAGGCTCCAAAGAACCCAAACAAGACCCTCTCTCCCTTCACAAAGACCAAGGCGATCCAAGTTCCGCTCCTAGACAGGCTCGCTTCACTGGGACGGCATTCAAGCCTTGCTTCAGCTTGCACATCAATCACCTTTCAGCCGCTTATGCAAACTTTTGGCATCTGCCCTTGACGATGGGGCCACCGTGCCGTCGAGGCACAGCAAACTAAGCAGAAGAAAAAACAGAAAAACATTTCTCCCGGGCCACACAACAAGTCGGAATGTGGGAAAGGCCTTTTCCAACCTTGCCTCGGCAGACAATGGCCGCCGACAACACATCTCTCTCCACCTCATATCCATCCCTTGGGTCCTCGGGCCTCGGTGGGATAAAGTGGTTGCCTGCGGCCGGGAGTCCCGTCTTTTGATGTGTTGGCCGAGGATTGTCGGTGAGTGAGATGGAAAAGAGACGACGGAAAGACAAGACGACACTCTTTTCGTTTTTCCACGGTTCTCCATCCACCGTCGCTCACGGTTTGTTCAGTCGGGCGTACCTGAAGTTGAGTGGGACAGCAAAGCAAAGCCGTGAGCGGCTTGCAGTCGGGGCACTGGAGAAGCGCCGTTTCAGGGCAGTGATTGCATGCAGCAGGGCAGGTGGTTGCAGAGGCTCTGATTGCCTGTCGTATTTTTGGAAGAATGATTGTCAGGGGGGAAGCCCCGCTGTTTCATCTCAGCCGATGGGGCCCGAGCTTTCTTGCTTGCTTGCTTGCCGGCCGGGCTCCGCTGGCCTATCGTTAACGGCGACCCACTGTATCCGTCCACTGGTCCAACCTTCAACCCGTTTGGAGATGCGGGCAACGGACAGTGGTCCGTAACTCCAGAGCCGTCGATGGCTTCCTTGCCCAAGGCCAGATCGGCCCTTAGAGGCCGACTTTCGACATATTCCATTGTTAAGGAGCTTCATAGGGCCGCTGACGAAGGTGCCGTGTTTCTCGCGACGTAAGTGAGTGTCGTTGACAACGTTATTACCCACGCGTCACTAAACGGACGTCCAGAAACCAAAACAACAAGAAGTGCATTTTCAAGAGTATCAAAGGCCATTGGCGCTTACAGAATGAAGCCGACATTCTCAAAAAGTACCAGGACCAGACACCGTTTTTCCGCCCACTGCTAGATGAAATTGTTGAACCATCAGACCCGCCTTCGATTGTTCTAAAGCACCTTGATAATGACCTCCTGACCGAGTCCAACCGGAAGAGGCTCTCGCGTCCCGAGATCAAGCAGGTTGCGAAGTGCGTGCTCCAGGCTCTGCACATTCTACACAAGGATGGGCTGGTCCATACGGGTAGGTCTTCGGTTGCTGTTTGCGAGTCTCGATGCCAGGTAAAGCTCCGAAAGTCTCACACGTAGCGTGATACAGATGTCAAGCTGGACAACATCTTTGTCAATTACGGCCAAACCCAACGGTTCAGCACCATACAGCTCGGCGATTGCGGTGGAGTAGTGTCTGAGAATTCCGACTTCGCTAAAGAGGGCCACCTGATCGGTGCGGGTTACACTCGGAGCCCAGAAGCTACGTTCCAGCTGCCATGGGGGACCGCTACGGATATATGGTCATTTGGCAACGCTGTAAAACACGGATCATTGCCCGTGCCTAGGTGGGCAGGTACTCATGCACATGGCTCTAGATCCTCAGTCTCCTCTATGGCGGCGATTACCATCTCTTTAACCCCGGCATCCAGGGAGTTAAGCCCGACGACAACGAATACGAAGTTACGGTACTAAAACGCATGTACAAGTTTTTTGGAATCTTCCCGCAGTCATACGAAGACTTCCATGACCGTTCGACTATCACCATTGTCAACTACATCAACAACCTAGGCCCGCCCGAGAAGCCGTTTCACCGCGTGACTACGAGGGAAGTCCCCCCAGCAGACATCAAGTTCATATGCGGGATCATGAAGTTGGATCCTTGTGACCGACCGACGACGAAGCAGTTGCTTGCTGATAAGTGGTTCACCGAGGAATCCGAAGACACCAGAGATCCGCTCCCAGAGAAACCTCAAGCTGTCGATGCGTAACTCACCGGTAAAACACTGCACGGAATGATCACTCTAGGAAGGTGAAAAGCAGAGTTATTATTGGAAACTGGAGTGGAAGTGTATGTACTCAACGGCGGCCTGTGCCTGGTCATGAAGCAGATGGGAAGGTCTTGGTTCGGGACAAAGCCACTGTAGCCGACGTCCTAACCGTTGAGTCAAAATGTCGGTACCGATCAACTTCTCAGTGATCCGGCGCAACGGATGGATCTCACCGGCAACAAACCTGCCGGGGTCGATATCGACTGGCTGAGAGAGAGCGAAAACGCCGCGGCTGATCAGGAACCATCATTTTCCCGGCGTGATCACCGGCCAGGATTCGCGTAGCAGATAGTTTCTCAGAAGTTCTAATTGAACCCTAACCCTCCATTTCCTGCTTGGAACTTTCAACTCCAACTCTTCTGCATCACGAGACAAAACAGCTCCAGAGGAGGTGATGGCGGGGCAAACAGCTGACCGAGGGATCGATTAAGCAAACCAAACTCAGGTGGACGTGCGGCACAAGCATACGGCTTCTGGGTATTCTGCATGCTTGTTTCCTAAAAAGAATCCGAAGAATGCTGGTTGGCCCCAAAACGGCAAGAACCGGACCCAACGCGTGCGGAAGGAAGCCACCGCCTCGGCTTGGTATGACACGCAGTCCAGAGGAATTCTCGCATGCCACTTACTAAGTCGGTAAGTACTCTCTTTTTTTCGTCTGTTCTATTCCTAGTGCCTTGCGCTCTCCCTTCCCAGCTCGCTCCCGTCTCTGTGCCCTCCCGAAAGCAGCCCGACGGCGCAGAAGCAATCAACGATGGATGGCGCATGGCTTATTTTCTTTCACCGCCTCGACTTTTTCAACATTCCATTGCTGCCCGACCGCGGTGCCTGTGTAAGACTCTATCGCTGACCGCAATTCCTTCCAGAACACTTGGCTCATGGTTCTATGCATGTTCCTTCCTTCAACAGTTCACGAGACGGGAAGCTGTGCCGCATCTGGGTGACGCATGATGCAGGACGCGTGACTCGCGGTTGTTTATTTTAGGCAAGATACAAAAAAAACAAGAAAGAAATTCATCCGACGCATGTATCTTGTTAATTGCTTGTGTCATTGGCGGTGACGACGGCAGCAACCTCAAGCTAGATGAGCGCGATAAACTCCTCAAGATCCTGCAGAAATAGCTCGGGTTGCTCCAGTGCCGCGAAGTGACCGCCCTGAAGGATCGTGTCAGCGTCATATGTCTTCTTCCACCGCCTTGGCTCATCCGCGAAGACACATCAGATGCGAGAAGACTTGCCTTATCGTGTTGCTTGTACAACACAAGGGTCGGGAACAGCTTCTCAGCCCACGACCGTGGGAGCGCCATAATCTCGGACGGGTACGACGAGTACCCGAACGGCTTCGTCGAGGGCACGGATGGGAAGATCGTTCCATTGGGGCTGTATGCCCATATAGCGCGCCCGAACGAGTTGGTGTACCAGTAGTAGGACACCACGGACAAGACGGTGTTGAGCGGGACCGGATAACGGCTATCGCTCCACTCTTGGAACTTCTCACCCATCCTTTTTCTTCCATGTTAGTCGACAAGTGTCCATCGTCTTATCGATCCGAATGGGGGGGAAGGGGGGGGGGCATCAACTCACCAAGCCAGCATCGCCAGCGGGTTTGTGCCCAGAACAAGGGCAATCGTAGACGGTCGGGTTGAGTGCATGGTGGCATACGCTCTGCCTCTCCCGCCCCAGACGGCTGCTCTAGCTACGAGCGCCTGTTCCTCGGGCTTGACGGTGAATTTGGCGACAGACTCACGCTGCTCTGGGGTCAGAAACGAGAAATTCACTACACCCCGCGATCAGTCACGTTCCATCCCTCAGTTCGCAAAGCAAGAGCATGTATCATAAAGCATGCAGGGCATCGCTATACGGCCTACCATGAAGCGCTTTGCACCCTTCCGACTGCGCAGCCACCAACGGCCCGATAATCGCCCCAAGATCCCCGCCTTGCACCACATACCCATCTCCCAGCCCCAACCCCTTCATCAGCCCATCCAACGCGGCGGCCGCAAGTTCCCGGCTCAACTCCCGTTCGCTCACCCCTTCACGCGTCGAGAAGCCAAAGTCGGGCAGGCTCGGCACGACGACATGGTAGGGGAGCGTCTCGGGGGTGTATTGAGCCGCCAGACGGTCGAGGGCAGGCGCGAATTCGAACCAAGCGCCGGGCCAGCCGTGGAGGAGGAGGATGGGGGTGGCGGTGGGGGAACGGGAGAAGAGAGCGGCGAAGTGGAGGTGGAAGGTTTCTTTTTCTGTCTTTTCTCCCGTGGTATGTTCAACATTGACATCTGCCGTGAACTGCGGGTACCGGTTGAACTTTTTCTGTTCTTCTTCCCATGAGTATCTGCCCTCACTGGTATTGTTACTGTCCCGACCAGCCCAGACTTCCCGTGCATTCACCAACCAGTCGCGCGACACGCCGACCGAGGTAGACACATCGGTGGCGTCGGTATGGGTGTTGTAGAACGAGGGTGCCGCGATCTCGGCGTCATTGATCAGATTGGCGAGTCGTTCTTGCTGGGTCTTGGGGATGTTGATGGTAAAGGGGGTCGGCGCCGGCGTTGAGACGCCCGGGGGTAGGGTGCCGAAGTCATGGAGGGACATTGTGCTGGTGGTTGAGGTAAGTCGGCGGATGACGTGGTGTCCGAGATGCGCGTGCGAGAGGAGAATGACTTTTGTTCCTCGGATGATGACCACGATGTTGAGAGTCGTTAGTGGGCGATGCTGGGTATTTATCCCCCAACGCCCTTCATAGACCAACTCAGCCAAGCTAATGTGCGTTAATGTACGTAAGACGAAAGCCAAGGAGCTGACAATATCTCAAATTCCCTCTCAAAACGATCAGAACGATCTGAAGAACTACTGTGATGGTACTGCAGTATGGTGCGTGTATCACGGTTACGAAAGGTGCGGTCGTTAGGTCGCTCGCTTACACGGGCCGGACGTCGGGCTCGGCCGGGAAGCGGGAAGCGGGGTTCGGCCGGAGCGGGCGGAGTTTAGTAAGACCCGACTAATTACGGGAGTTACGCTGCGGGCTGCGGTGGAGGACGTTATAAATCCGCAGCTACACTGGTTATGGGATTGTGACAGTTTCCCGTGTTTTCTTACTTTGGTTGAGGTGTTGAAATGAGATGCAGACAACTGGGCGGCCAAACAATGGATGTGGGGTATTGCTGTAAGAACGAAGCGGTATGTGGCGGCGTTGTCCCTCGAGCTCCCTATTTGTCTGTTCCGATTTCCCCTTTATGGAAAATCTGGCTACCGAGAGACAGAAGAAGCATTTAAAGCATGTCGTGTCATGACGTAGCCAGAGATCGCCCAACGTAGCTGATACCTCTAAGTATAAGTAAAAAGAAGTCATAACTCAACATCGCGTATCTTCATTAAGTACTACCTCATTTGTATCATATCATTCAGCCTGAAATATCCAACCCCACCACCTTCCCCCCTAACCCTAACCCCCCATCCTCCGGCGACGAGTCCGTGTCGTACGCGGCTACCGCTCTATTGCGATGCCGACTCCCCACCGACGCGCTCGGCGCATGTCGATGCCGACTCTGACTCCGACTACCACCACCACCCTCAACACGTTCCAGTACCGCGGGTTCAACAACCACCGTCGTGACGAGGTCCATCTGTATCCCCATGCCGTCCTCCCTCCCACCAAGACTCCCGCCGGCCTGGTGGTGTCCGTGTCCATTCCCTCCTGATCCTGCTGCTCCCCGGCGGCCATTTGCGCCATGGAGTTCACTCGTAGCGCCCACGCCAGCTCGGCCACGGCCGAGGGGTCGCCAGCCCATACGTCGTTTCACAAGACCACCCAGTTTCCTGCCGCCTCCAGGCCCGTTGTTGTTGTTATTCCCATTGCCGTTCTTGCTTCTCCCGCTCCCATTTCTCCCAAACCCCGTCCCTTTCCCATCACCCTCATTCCCATTCATCCCACCCCTATTATTCCCCTCCCCATTACTACTATTCCCCCCCTCCACCCACACCATATTCCCCCACTTCCTCCCGGGCGGCGTGCGCATAAAAGCAAACGTATCCAGCCCCGTATCCTCCGTGTCGACATCCCCACCAAACAGCAACTGTCGCCGCGTCACGCCCCATAACAGCACGTCCAGCCAGCCGTTGCTGGTGATCAGCGCGCCGGCCGTGCAGAAGTAGGATAGTGGGACCGGCACGCCGGCCATGGTGGCGATGCGGCCGAGGGCGAGCGGGGCCGTGCAGAGGATGTAGATGAGGGGGTAGAGGAGGAAGGCTTTGTGGTGGCCTCCGCTGAGTTGGATGGCGGTGTCGTTGGTGGCGTCTCTGTGGTGGGGTTGGGAGGGGTGGTGGTGGTGGTGGTTGTCGTCGTTGGTGTGGTCGTGGTGGGCGGATGGGAGAGGGGTGGTGAAATGGAGGGGGGAGGGTTTGGTGGGTTGGCTGGGGTGGTCATGGTCATGGTCATGGTCGTGATCGTGGTCGGGATCGTCGAGGGTGCCAAGGGTGGTAGTGGCTATGGAGGCGTTGGTAGTGACGGTGTGGATGTTGGTGCGGGAATCGGAGTTGACGGCATACGCTTCAGCCGTGGGTAGCAGGGCACCGTGGCCGTTGGCGCCCTTGGAGTGCGCTCGGCGGCTGGCTCTGTGAAGTGAGAGGAAGATGAGGGTGTACAGGATGCCGGTGATGGCTAGGGCGAGGAAGATCCAGAGGTAGTGGATATAGAGGCGGAGTCCTTCGTATTGGACGTTGATCCAGCACTGGGAAGCGTGTAAGTAAGGGGATGAGCTCAGAAGGGTATAAAACGACGACATAGAAAAGAAAAAGGAGATCAGCATACCCAAGCTGTGGCCCGCACAAAGAAGCCGCCCGTCGTCTTGCCGTTGTCGGTGATGGCAATACCAATTATAATTAAAACAAAGTTGAAAATCCACAGTGACACCACCACAATGTAGATGGCCATCTGCGGCGGCCGGTACTCCCACACCACGGCCAGGTACGTATGCACCGCAATGGCCGTGATGAAGAAGCTCGACGCCAGGTCGCCTGTCTGAATGAGCCACCCCTGGGCCCAGCACGTCGTCGTCCCGACAAAGATCCCGTCACGCCCATACCACACCGCGTTAAGCATGAATGAGCCGGCTTGGTGGATGTCGGCCAACAGGAGGTTGAAGATTAGGATGAGGAACTGGTTCGGGTGTGACTTGGCTGGCCTCGGTGGTTCCGGGTTGCTACCGTCCCCGGCAAAGTGCCGTTGGGCGAGTCCCAGGGACAGGTCAACCGGCGCCGTGAAATCCGAACCTTTGGTGCCGACGGCGCGGGCGCCCCGCCGTGTCCGGAAGTACCATCGTGTGAACTTGAGGGTGAGATAGATCAATGCCACGCTCGACGTCACAAACGAGAGACACGCCAAAGCCGCGATCGCTGGGAGACCTCGGCGGAGCACCGGCGGGAGCGGCGTGATGGTGGCGCTGGCCGAGTCCAGGGGGGAAATGTCGGCGTCTGCCATGCTCGGCAAGTAGTGTGGTGTGTATATGTCGACGACACATACGGGGAGGAGCTGCTCAGCAGACTCCCTAAGTTGTCATCTTGATGTCGCTCTTTGGTGGTTAGATGATGAGGTCGGGAAGAGAAGAAAACCGTATACCAGATCGAAGAGGTAGAATAACTCAGGCCGAGTCAAGCAAGTCCCGGGGGAGGGTTACCGTGTGGCCGGACTGGCCGGGCGAGAGGGTCGGGGCTCTAATGCTAGGGTCCTTGGGAGAACCTAGATCGGCGAAAGCTCCGATCGGTAGAACCCGGGGAAGGTTACTATGGTAAGGCGACGGCACATCACTTTCTCACCCATCCCGCTGCTGACAAAAACCGCATGGCCAGGGGCATGCATGTTTCCAGACGTCCGGAATGTGCGGTTGTTAACTTGTCAGTCAATTCATAGCCCCCAATGTCCGCCCCCCCTTATCTCAGCTTCCATTCCGCTTTCCCCCTCTCCCGTCTGCTTCTCGAACAATGTGCACGTCGGTGGCGAGAGAGCCTGGCCACACACCATCACGACCCCGACACCACTATTTGCGGTCATGCGGCGGGGAGATCATGCAGAGTTTCTGGGTCCCTCCCAATCGATGGGCTGACTCGCGCCCTTTACCCTCCGGTGAAACCTCAACACGCTGTTGCTGTGCCCCTTCGGGCATGCCATGGAACGGTAGCACCGGACCCAGCCCAACCACAGTGGTTTTTGGACGGATCGAACTTCACCAATCTTTTTCAGCCCCCGTTTGACCCTTTTTTCTTCGCTGCAAAAATGACCGAGGGATCGTCGGGGGGTGGGGACGCTCAGACCTCGAAAACCGCAGCGCCGAAAGCATGCGGCAGGTGGAACGAGTCTTGGCACGTCACAGAGCGTATTCTAGGCGGATCTTTCCAGCACCGAAGCAACCATATTCCATGTCTTCTTCTTCTTTTCGGAAGGAGCAGTGGGGTGGCTTTCGGCGACAGGGTGCTTTTCGGCTGTTTCGAGAGGGGGGCTGCCGTGAATTCAGGCGAAAATCGAGACCAATCCTCGTCCTTCATTGACTGGCAACACTGGGTCGAGCTTCCAACTCACGGAAAAATTCCTGCGGGGCTTCCGGGCTTGCGGGGCTCCTCGAGGCTGCCACGAGGACGCACCGCGCAATAATCTTTGTTCCAGGGGATCCTTGAAGAGTCCATCGCTGCGGCGATCCGGAAACTGTGGGGAACCTGGTAACGTTAAACCTCCAGCTTCCATGGAATGGAGGGGAGAAGAGAGAAGCCCAGGAATCAGAATCCCAGATCGTCGGGTGTGTTGAGAACACACGCTTACAAAAACGAGCCATCGGCATTCTCCTTGATGCGGCACGGAGCCGATGGGATGTGCCCGTAATAACGTTAATGTTGCAGTGAGACGTCAATTTGGAGGGGCCTGGACGGCAAGTGTTTTCTCAGCATCTCAGCTTCTGAGCCTCGCTGTGGCACGGGCGGCATCGTCCTTGTGGGGCCATGCACCCACATTTTTCAAGATTGACCAATAACATTTTCCCATAGTAACCACGCACGTGCCGTGACAACGACAACGGAAGTTGCTCGACCCACATCCACACTCCACGTGTACATAAGCACGGGCTTCAAAACCAACTTTGGAAACAGGACAACGTCTTATTGAAGGAAAACACCAAAGGTTGGTTTTATAATCCCTTGCTTGTTTCTCTACCAGTATGGTATTAAACCATAGTTTTGTCCTCCTTGCAATTTGTGCCCAATCACTACTCAACCTTCACCTGCAATCAACTCTTTACTCCCCCCTCCAATTCCCCCCATCTCGCCAGGGCCAGTGCAATCAATCCTCCCAGTGGACGAGTATGGCACAGCTGTATGTTGAGCGTGATGGCTGGGCGGCTCTCCGGTTAATTATGTACCAACACCCTGCCACCTGCAGCAACCGAACAAACATGCAAGGGCGGCGGTAACCAGGAAATTGGCAAACGACCAACCCTCGAATCCCAAGTGTGCGGGTCGCCCCAGTAGGCACAGCTACCTCAGCCCTCGCACGGAGCTTTATGCCATGTTCTGATTCCCAAAAGGGCAACCTCCTCCCGCCCGGCGGGAACGGCGGCTAGCAGGACAGGAGGCTGATGCCAACCCCGTCGAACCTGTTAAACTCCGGCACGGAATTTCGAGTCTCCCAGGTCTTGGGAGAACGTAGATTGGCAGGGCCGGCCCTTCCGGCTCATCGCCGGGACCGCCAACTGCCGGAGGAGGAATCACATGGGGATCTGGCTCGGCGAGGGTGACCGTCCACGCGTTAAGAAAGGCCTGGCCACGCTGGTCCATGACCTGAATCGTCCCCTTTAGCGTCATCTCCAGTAGGTTTTCGCCGGGGATGAAGGGGATTTCGGTGGCGTAAGGCAGGCTGTAGCCGCATTCGTCCAAGGGCAGAGGCCGGTATATGCGTCTGCGGGATTCGGCGAGGGAAAGATAATCCTTGAGGGCCGGCACTAGGTCGGTCTTGATGCGGTTGACGACGGCGGCGAGGTAGTCGCGGATCATCTGTTGGAAGTCCGGTAGCGTCTTGTTGAGTAACTGGAGGAATTCGTACTCCGGGGAGCCCGGCTCGCTGGCGTGCGGGGATTTCTTGACATTGGCGACAAATTTGGCGTCCAGGTCGTACCTCCCGTCGTTGAAGGTTGCCGTCTGTGGGACGTACCTCATCAAGATGCCGCGCTTCCAGGAGTAGACTGGGTTCCAAAAGTCAAGCATCATGATGGTGTAGAAGGTATGCTGAGTGAAAAGCCCGACGTAACGTGGTTGGCTATAGTCGCTGTTGTCTTTGATGATGTTCTGGATCTTGACCACGCCTTGTGCGTCCTCGAATGAAGACTGCAGGAAGTTGAACGGCGACGGGCCCTCGCCTGCGAGGGCTATTTTGTAGCCTATGTCCTTCCGGTCGGGTCTATCTCGCTTGTCGCCACCAAGAGACCGCCAAGGCAGCGTGAAATCAGGCTGGGTGGATGCGTCCCTATCCGGGATTCAGCTCTTGGATCAACGAGAGTCCAAGGGAAGTCGCTGCCGTGGTGTAGTCACTCTCGTTGAAGGTTACATCCATCTGGATATCCGAGGGCTGGGCACACGATTGAGGAAACCCAATCAGCACATGCTAACCCCCTGAATCGGTTCGCGGACTTGGGGAGGGATCTTGCTTACAATCAAGTGAAACTTCTGATGCAGTTCATTGTCGTAAAAGTGGCTGTATGGCAAATGATACCCCTTTGATTCAGGTGCCTTGGTCGTCGCGCCGATGTTGATGGTTGTTGTCAAGAACATGTGAGCCGTCCAGCGTGAAATATTTGTTGGGTTCTTCAGGGGCTTGAAAGGACGCTGTGTGGTATTCATGAAATCATTCTGGAACCTACTGTAGGTCCAGTTGGCAACGCCTGATGACACAGCGGACTCGAGCTCGGCAGGGTTGGGGTTGACGCCCGATAAAAGCCCCAGTCCGGGTATGGTAGTATAGGGGGCCTTCTCAAGCGTTGCAACGTTGTCCGGACTAAAACACGACTGGAAGGAGTTCGAGAGAGTATACCAGTGGGGCCACGGCCTAACGGGATGGTAATTATCGTAGTCAACACAAATCAACGAAGCATCAAGAGCAAGATATAATCGTGAACGATGCTGGTTTTACCTCCGTAGTTCCTTCATGATGCAGGCCCCGTTCACATGGCCGTTGAAGGGGCCAAGATACTCACTCTCACCAAACGCGTCCATTGATTTTCCAAAGTAGTTCCAGAACGATTCGGAGCCGGCGCCATTCACAATATCGTTCTGGAACACCGTCCTTCGTAAGCCATGTACGCAACGGCGTCGTCCAGGAGAGATCCTGGGCCACTTAGGAGAACGAATCGTAGAAATGAGGAGTACGAACCTGATAAAACTTGAATTCTGAACCATTCCAAGACACCACTTGCAGGAAGGATTCATTTCGGTCTTCCGAGTACAAGGAGCTCGATCCCACGATGCATAGTGTCCACTCCGCTGGGGACGAATTGAAGAAGCTTTTACCCCCTTGGCAAACCAGCGTCACTACGCGGATGTGTGGATTAAACCAAGACGGTGGTTTCTGGCCGGCCGGGATGAAGCTTCCGTCGGCCACCGTGAAAGTCAACATCTTGTACTGAGGTGGATCGTCCTGTGAGCCAGCTTCCAGCAGTTAGTGTTTGCCTGCTGTGAATCAAGCTAGGAAGGCGGTGGAGGCGCGGGGTTCTCACTCCAGAAAGGCATGACAAGAGCATCGTATGACCGGTGCGAACCGTAGTCCCCTTCCTGTAGCCGCCGTCCGAAGTAATCGGTGAAATTGGCTTCCAAGAAGGCAGCGTCAGCTTGGGTGTCAACATCACGACTACCATCTCGAGTGAATTTCCGCCAGTACATAGGGGCAGACATGGCGGTGCGGAAACCCAATGAAACCGGAATAATGATATGGAGATGTGATTGCAGAGGTTTGAACGACTTAACAAGGTATCAGAGTGGTCTAGAGAGGACTACGAGAGGAAATCCGGGCATGGTTTGGTCGCGGGAGGAGAGGAGTGTAATGAATATTTATGTAATCAATGTCATTTTCATGACCACCATGTTACATAGTCGACACTTGAGACCATGAGATCATCAATAGAGAAGACTGAATGAGAGGGGCCGGTAAGGATAACAAGTGGGGGTTAATCTACGCCCTTGGTGCAAAGAAACTCCCCAATCATCTCATGCAGAAGCTTGCACCTTTACTCCACAAAGTCCTCGTATCGGTAAGTACCAGCTGTCCTCTACTGCTACTAACATCCATCGAAGTTTTGATTAAGCGCGGGAACGGCGGGCAAGGCGGGAAGTGCGGGAACGCCTGCAGGCCGCCCCCTATAGGTAGCGAGGAGTCTGATAACTCGGGTTGCCGATCAAGAAGGCCTGGTGAGCGTCAGTCACAGTGCGTTGAAACTCTCTCGTCTCACTTCTCGCAGTTTGAGTCTTTGAACAAAGCCATCTGAGTGGCGCGCCATCTGTGGCCCAACTGAGATCAGTGGACTTGCAGAAAATGACCTATCCGGGAGTTCACAATCATGAATCAGGTTATGGTCCTAGAAAACCGGCTCAAGCAGACCAGTTTCACATGTCGGTGGTCAATAATGGCCCGCCTACGAGACAGGTGTAATCATAATGTAATTATGAGAGTTACCAAAGGTGCAAGTTGGAGTAATTGGACCGGAGAATGAAACCTGAATTAATCGTGTATAAATGCAGGTGTGTTTGCCGGCCTTGTGGTTTCTGAAATTCAACCAGACACCGTTTCCCTTTCCCCAACAGTTCTGGGCTCTTCATCCTTCGTTTGCGTCCACGGCTGCGGTTTAGTCGACGCTTTCAACATGGCTCCCCAAGACGTAACCCCTGAGCGCCTCCCCGCATTCAATCCTCCAGGCTGGCCGTTTGTCGACGATAATTTGAATGCCAAACAGAAGGCAGCGTGGTCGAAGCAAGTGTCGACCTGGATGCAAAGCCAGATAACGGCTAAGGATCCGGACGATGGTTCACCATTGACAGGCGGTGGGGGGGTCCTCCGAACTCCGCTCAAGCAGTTCTTCAACGGCACCGTCACTCCTTACATAACGACACAACCTCCTACAACCGTCTCTTGGAATGCATTCCCTGGACTTGTATGATTTCACACCCCGATCTCTTTTTGAAAATCGGATATTCTAACAGGGTTTGACAGATCGCAAGACAAGACCCCAACAACCGTTGGCTAAAGGTCGAAGGCCACCGAGATCTCATGGACGAGTATCTGGAGTGGACCACAAAAATTGACTCCAATAAAAGGGTCCAATACATTGTTTTCACCTGTGAAGGCTTTGAGGTGAGGCACCTAGCAGCTCTGTAACAGTTTCATTCGCCCCCCCCCCCCCCCCCCCCAAAAAGAAGAAGAAAATATGCTAATGATAGTTATACGGTAGTACTTCTCCTTCCTGGGACGCGAGAACCCATACGGTCTGGTCGACCTGTACAGAAAATCGAATCCTGATTTCGCTGATCAGATCAAGAAGGAGGACTTGCTTGACAAGGATGGCAAATATCAACCGTACAACAAGTGGAATGGAGTACTCGCCAACATTCCGGGCCAACCGGAGACAGGCCTTACGTCAGTGAATCCCGGATCTATTATGCATCTTGCTCAAGTGAACAACACTCTAAGTGCAGAGGTCGATATCGCCGGACAAGCCACCGTCCTCCGCAAGAACCCGGACGGCCAGCCCATTACGGACCAAACCACGCTTTGCAACTGTTCCAAGTATGGGAACGCATACCGGAACTCGGATCCCACGGTGAGTTTTTCTTTTTCTTTTTCTGGTCCCGGCTGTCTCAACGAGAGAACTTGATCCTCCCCGGATCTGAGTTTATTCGGAACTGACCGCCGAGTTATAGATTGGCATTGGCGTCAACACACTCGCCCGGAACGGTAACCTCATCTCGGTCGCCGACCCCGTGGCGATCTACATGGTGGAATTCAACACAGCCAACTTCCGGCTCGACGTCGACGGCAGTTCCCAGGATCTGCAGGATATCCCGGACGGCACCTTCACCTGGGTGCGGGGCGACATCAACAAGAAGATGGGTCTTCGTCTCAAGGTCGAAATCCCGAAAGGTACCATGGGTACAGGCCAGAATGAAGGCCGGGAGTTAACCGTCAGCGATATCTTCGACACCAACACTAGCAAATACATCGAGTTTGGCGGCCAGTTTGCCGACTATGTCACCATGGGTGTCAGCGCCGTGGTTATCAAGGGCGACAACGCTGCCCCGGCGGAATTCTGCCCAGCGGTTCCCAAACCCAAAGATGGTGACCACGAAGGCATTGATGGTCTTGCTGTGGGTGCTGGCCCTAAGAAAACCCCGCAGGGTCTCCATACTGCCCGGAGGCTGTAATCGCTGGGAGGCCCGGGTGTCGAGTCGCCTGCGGGTTTGTTTGCAAAAGGGGCATGTAGTGTTGTAGCAACTCGAGACGTCACGCCTTGGGGGGAGACTGGCGGGGTATGGTTGGGCCTCCATTCTTACTAGATTTATCTAGGCTTCGACTAGTTTGGTTTTTGGTCTTTCCACCAAAAGTTTTACAATAAGATCCGTTTCCGCTACCATGCGTTCATACACATCTTCGTAACATTGTGCGCCACGAAATTGCACGAATCGAAATAATCGAATTGGTCCCATTAAGGACCTGCCAAAATGTACCGGAAAAAGCGGAAAAAGAAGAGAGGGGGCATTGCTCAACCTCGACATCTTGAGTCAGAGACTGTGACACGCTGTCTGTTGGCAATTGCCACTCAACAATGCATTATGCGTACTTTGGGCGAGATGACGAGTCTTTGATCAATTGAGTCATTGACGGAAAACGAGGCCAGTCTCGTTTGAATTTTAGTCATGTGAGCTTTCACGTGTCGTCGCATGTGATTTTTAACTTCCAGCATCGCATCATCAGCCCCGCACCAATGAGAAGAGGAAAATATGGTGCAATCCGCGCTAGTCCGAGATTGGCGTTAGGTTGGAAAGAGGTGCTCGGAACGTCGACGACGTCAAGTCCTTTTCTCCTCTTCCATCTCTGTTTATGTCCTGCAAGTTGCTGTTGACTTTCGAGCATCCTCTCCGTCTCATGGGGATTCTGGCGGTGTCACGTTTGCCGTATTTTCACCATAGTTCGGCCAAGTCGACCTCAACACCAACACGCAACGCAACCCACATCCTCCTCCTTACCGCTTTAGGAAAACATCGGGCGCACAATTGGAATCGATTCACCAGCGATGAGCGGAAAGCGACGACATGTTGAGAGAAGTAAAGTTTCATTCTGTCACAAATCCCTATGTATTTGGAGAATCCTCCGACTATAATATACCTCGCCCCAAACTCCGCGCGCAAAGTTGCCCGCATTTACTGTAAAAAAAAAGCCTCAAAACCACCCCTTTCCTTCGCATCACAACTTCTTCCCATACGCGGAGTAGTTTCCGCAGTTCTTGATATGGCTCTTCTTCCCCGTCTCGGGATTGAAGATATGGCAACCCCCCTTCGCGACATTCGGTGGCGTGTACAAGTGTAGAGACACAGCGAAGGTGCTGCCTCGGTTCGACACCCGGTGAACGCCGAGCTCGTCCGCCATGTACGCCACCGCATTTTCTTGGTGCACCTTCTCGGAGATGACGCGCATTGGCTTCTCTTCTTGCCCGCTCTCGGGGAAGTCATATCTCGTTTCTGTCAGATCACCGTGCAGGATCTTCATCAGGCAGTGGGCGTTGCCGTGGTCGTGGATCGGGCTCCCTTTGCCGGGAGACCACACAAGGACGAGCTGTTTGTTTTGCATCGCATGTTAGTCGTCAGGGGTAAAGTAAACAAACTCAATCCCGCAAGTGCGGGTCCAGGTTCGGGGATTTCTCTTCTTTTCTCCTTTGCTACGACTAGTACGGGGCGACGAGACCTACCAAGTTACTCTTTCCATTCCCTTCGTCGACCAAGTTTCGGGTATACCCACGACTCTCGTCACCCATGGCGAACCTCGCCCACTCCCGTGGATCTGAGGCATAGTCGCGCATCAGCTGCGTGAGGTGCTCCACGTCAACGTCATCCGAGGTCAGGCCAGACGACGGACCCAGGGCGTCCTTGAGTGCGAGGACCAGCTCGTCGAACCTATTGGCACTCGGGTTCATCCGGCATGAGGAGGACGCCGCTGCTGTCGGCCCACTGCTCGTGGAGACGGGGCTCTTGATCAGACCGACTGCCATGTTGGAATGGTGGACGGTGATGATGATGGATGGTTAGGAGGATGTGTGTAGGCACCAAGAACAGAGTGGTGGTAGATGGGTTGAGGGGGTCCGATGACGCTGAGGGCTGGTGGGTCCCTGCGATCAAAGTTCAGTTGGCTGAAGGCTGTCGTTGTCGTTGTCGTGATGGTCGATGATGATGTCGTGATCAAAGGAAACAATAGGGGCTGTTGGGACGATGGCTGGTTACCGGAGAAAAGGGGGGAAAACGTGGAAATGGCGGTGTCAGCCAACAGGAGAGGGAATGGAGACGGGTTGTCGGTCGAATCTTGGCGCTAGCCGTTGTGCGGCGTCGGGTGTGCCCGGCCGGGATCCCTCAGGGCTTTCACCGGGGCAAGCGGGGTGGCGCTGCGTTATCTGACGGCGCCGTCCGGTACCGCGGGAGTCGCGAGTGGGTCACCAAAAACCATGTGACCTAAGGAAAAGCGAGGGTATGGCCGCTCCTAGTAGCTAGGCAACCTGTTGGTTCGGACAACGGAAGCAAGGTAGGTGTTGGCATGAATAAGAGAAACTACCAGTTGAAGGTGCTGGCAGCTGGCAACTTTGTTGAATGTTTCACGGCGGGAACGGGTTTGGGCGGGTTGACGCGGGTTTGGCAGGCTTCAGTCCGGGGGGTTGAGAACTACCTCGCTGAACTTGGTACCTGTCCAGGGTTATCAGTGCACTTTTGTCTTTGTTAGGCAACTCATTTAGCAGGGCTAGGTTGAAGATGACATCACAGGGGGGGAACAATTGAATGAACACCATTCGGGACTGTTGTTACCCAAAACTCTGTTTTTACCGTTGAATCTTAAATGCCAATTTTTTGAACTTGCGAACACAGTCCCCAGTTGACCCAATTGAATTGCGGCTAGTTTCGCCCCACATTTGGCGCCTCTGCGCTTGAGTTGAGGGAAAGTGCAGGACGGACGAAGTAAGTATCGTTCGATCGTTCGATGATGGCGCTTACTCGGGCTCTCAGGGAACTTCAGCCGTGTATTTGTTGAGGAGTGAACAGAAGCACGGACCGCCACAGCGCCAGAAATCCGTCCGGAAAATAAAGACGGTGGTAGGGTTCAAAAGCTAGGTAGTTGCGGAAAAGCGTGGATGGACTACCAGGCATATATCAGTCGGTCGATCGCATTTTCCTTCCTTTTCTGTAAGATCGCATTCCTTTCCCAATCGCCCCGGCGGGCAAAGGCGGGCCCGTCTTCTGCGTTCAAAACTCTTCCGTAATAGCACGCGGCCACGTGGAAAACGGGAGACTCGAGTTTAGACGCCTCACCGTTGAAATCTCCGATGCGCCCCCACGCTTCACCTTCTCTCGCATTCTACACTCTACGCACATGCCAGGCGTGGCCCGCTCCCAGATCCAATTTTCAGGTTCGTGTAAAGAGGCGGCTTGCCTCGATTCGTTCGCTTCTTATCACCCCATAGGCCACGTTAAGCGGCAAAACTCCGAAAATAAAGCTAAAATAAACCCAAGAAAGGCAAAAGTAAATAGATCTGAGCCCCTTTGTCCTTTTATCTCCTATCCTCTAACTCTAAGCCCCCATCCTCGTCGCCAACATCCTCCGTCCCGTCTAGTATCCCATGCCCTCCAAGCCCTCTCGGCCTCCCCACACCACCCACCACCCCCTCCCGTTCCCGTTCCCGTTCCCGTTCCCTCTCCCCCTCCCACGAATCACTCAACCTCACACGCCCACCGCTCACCCGCCCCACCGTATCCGACACCCACCCTGCCGCGGCCTTGATCATGCCCCACACCCTCTCCTGCCCTTCTTCTTCCTCTTCCTGCCGCCGCCGCCGCAGGTCTGCAGACGTAAAGCGCCGATGGCTCGGGTGATTGTTGTCACGATGACCACTACCAGTCTGGTGGTGGTCAGCAGCCGCCTCGGCGGCTTCGGCCTCGGCGGACGCTTCCGCCTTGAACTGGTACTTGAGGCAGTCCTTGACGGTGACCAAACCGGCAAGCCGGCCGCGGTGCTCGATGAGGATGACGCGCGGGCCGATCTTGCGGAAGAGCTCCATGACTGTTTCCAGCGGGAGCCGGGGGTGGACGGTCACCGGGGTGGTGTCGATGTAAGGGGCGAAGTCGATGGTGGTCGAGGTTGAGGTGGCGTAGTCCAACGGAGAGGTAGCGGCAGGGGTTGAGATGGGCGGGAATGGAGAGGAAGGGGAAGGTGGGAAAGCAGAGGAGGGGGTCAGCGGGTGCATGGTACCGCCGAAGCCAGCGGCTGTGGTGGAGGCGGAGGCGGAAGGGACGGAAAAGGTGCATTTGGAGAGTGGGCTGAGGGTGCGCTCGCGTTTGGCGCGGTCGACGGCGTAGCGAAGCTCGGTGCGGCCGATGTAGCCAATGAGGATGCGTGAAGTGTCGTCCTCGACGATGGGGAAGCCCTGGTAGTTGTCCTTGAGGAGCAGGCGTTCGACGGTTTTGAGGGTCATCCCTGTGGCTGGGATAGAGATGACGTCGGAGATCATAGCCTGAGACACCGAGACGCCGAAATTGTGTTCCTCTTTGTGGTCCAGAAATGGCATACCACTGAACCAGATCATACGATCAGCGATCCCGCCTTTCCCGAACAGGTCGCTAACGGCTTTGGTGACGCCAACGACGATCATCGTTGGGAGGATGTAAGTGAGTGCTCCAGTTAACTCGAACATGATAACGACGACGGAAACAGTGAGGTGCATGATACCGCTGAGCGCAGCAGCAGCGCCCAGAAACGCATACGTCCCGGGAGTAATGCATGGAACGTCTGGTGCGCACGAGGAGAAGAAGACGCTCTTCGGGTTCGCCTCGTGGATGGCTTGGACAATAATGCCGACCGTCCGTCCAAATGACGCCCCCACGGCCATGGACGGCACAAAGATCCCGGCGGGGACTTTGCACCCGTAAGAGATGATGACAAAAAATATCCTGATCACAGTCGCCAGGATGAGGGAAACAACGTTCCAAAATCGATGCTGGGTGTCGCAAAGCCCATGGTAGTCCTCAGCCCCCTCGCATTCCCGGAAGAGGACTTTCATGCTCTCCGTCATTTCCATCCTCAGGAACGCATTGGGGTAGCAAACAATGGCAGTAGCCAGCGCCAGCATGGTGGCCTCAAGGACGGCGTAGCCGGCTAGGTACTTTTTGCGGAACGCCTGCACTTTGAGGTTCCATTTCATGACGAATGCGCCGTAGAGCCCGCCAAAGACACCAATAATGATGTAGAACACAACCTCGAAAAAATGCCAAGACCGGTCATACTTGACCTGGAACATGACCAATTGGCCGGTCCGGAAAGGGTTCATGGCAGCTAGAACAGCGGTGGCCACGAGGGCGCAAAAGTAGCTGCGCCAGAGCGTTTTGAGCGGGAAGTAACTCGACATTTCCTCGAGGGAGAAAAGAACCCCGCCGATAGGACTGCCAAACGCGACAGCTACGCCAGCAGCGGCACAGGCGCTCAAGACTTCTCGGGTCTTGGAGGCGTTTCGGCGGTACTTGTTGAAAAGTCGAGAAATAACATTGCCGGTGCAAACGGCATAATGGACACTCGGCCCTTCTTTGCCGACTGAGAGCCCGGACCCGATGGCAAGGGGGAGGGCTAGAGACTTAATGACCAGTGTCCAAAAGCCGAGGAAGCCTTTCATGACGAAGCCGGCGATGATGCACTTGATCTCAGAAATGCCCGAGCCGGCAGCGTAAGGGGCGTACGACTTGACCAGGCTAGCGGCTGTAAGGGCGAACAAAGTCTAGGAAGGTCTCAGTCAGGGGTTCTCTTAGCTTCACTTAGACGAGGGTGGACAAACCGCGAAAATGATGTAGACGATGTAATTAAATGGTTCAAATATCGTCCACTGATGCCAATCAGAACAGCCTAGGTAGCAGAGGCATTAGCACACCACCCCATAAGCAAAAGTATCATCAACAAGACAGCGCTTGCTTACCATCTTCCTCTCCCCAACAGCAAAAGTCCTCGTTCAAGTAAAACTTGCTCGAGCAGTACCCCAGCTTGATGTCGGCCAGCCACTCGGTAATGATATTCAGGAACGCCGCATTTAGCCCAATGGTCGCGCCGATGATGGTCACGACAATCCAGCCTTGGGCGGCATCATACGCCTCGCGAATCTTCAGTCGCCAGCCGGAGTGCCCCCCGCCGTAGAGGCCCGCCTGCCGTTTCCTCCTCGCCTTTCTTCGCAGCTGCTCGCGCGCCGCATCCTGGACCCAGTCTTGGTCGGGTTAGTTTGGTTGTGGTCTATCTCGGGCTGGGCAGGCCATATGGCTCGTGGAGGAGCTGGTGCATACCAATGGTTGTAAAGTCCTACAACACCAAGTCTTGTTAGCTGTGACAACCTCACCCCGGCGTTCCGAGCCATGCCATGCGCCATGCGCAAAGGGAGACACCGTACCTCATATCGCTGGATCTTAGCAATCTCCTCGTCGATTTGGTGCTGCGCAGCAATACCGCCGCCATCCTGGGTCTCGCCGCGTTCGGCGATGGATACGGCCGACGACAAGCGCGAGCCCACCGACGGCCGGCTCGTCGGCTGCGGGTCGACAGAGAGCGAGGTCGACCGCGATGGTGGGAAGTTCATGGTGCGTTCCCTCCGGTTCGCTCCGCTCCCACTGGCCGCCCGACGCCGTGATAGTGGATGTCTCGTCCTCGGTCGCTATGTGTGCCGCATTGGATTCCGGTCTGGTGCGATCGTATTAGTGGTACGCTGTCGTTTTGACGCTTCTCGGAACTAGGCGCAAGAGGTGGGCTTGTCGAGCGCATTGCTTCTGTCAAATGCTGTCGGCGAGGCTGACGTCGCCGGCCAGGCTGAGGGGTGCTGAAGGGGCCCTGTCGTCGCACTGGGGAGCCTTGGTTTTACTGGGCTTTCTAGGGGGACCGGGGTATGTTTGGGGGCGCCAAGCAGCGGTCAACAAGGGTCAATTGATGTGGGGCTTGTGCATGTGCTGGTCGCGTCTCACGCGTCCACTTTTAATGACCGGCTTTTCCTCACCACATCTGTTACTTACACCTGCGGACGACTTGAAACCCATCAATAAACACTTTCAGCCCAATTTCAGTTTAGCAAACACGGCTACCCCAACGTTCCTTCATAATTTATGAAATCAATCTAGACAACCTCAGAAACCCCGACGATTCACAGCCCTGACTTAGGCTTGAGCCCACTCCTCTTACGCCGCCTCGGAAGAACGCTTCAATTTCGTACAAAATGCCGTACAACACCACCGCTATCCCTCCCCGCAAGGAGGTGACCGGTCAAACCCAACTGCCTCGTGAGCCCTCCGGATCTCACTCCATTGTGACCTCAGCCGTTTCTAACAAGTTTTCAGTGACAAGGGTCAAGAAGATCATTGCGGTCGACCCAGACATCAACATCTGCTCTAACAATGCAGCTTTTGTAATTACTCTGGCGACAGTACGGTCTTTCTTGTTCTTCATTACCCGATTTAATCCGTAAATTCGGTCCGACTAACCACTCCTCATCAGGAAATGTTCGTGCAGTACCTCACCAGCACAGCCCAGAACATGGCCAAGACGGAGCGCAAGCCCCGGCGAAACATCCAGTACAAAGACATGGGTAAGCTTTCTGAGCCTGTATCCCTTCCTTCGCTCGCGATTGTCTAACCCCCCTCCCAGCCAATGCCGTAGCCCTTCAAGACAACCTCGAATTCCTCGAGGACATCATCCCCAAAACCACCTCCTACAAAGACATCAAAGGCAAGGCCGCTGCCGCCCGTGCACGAGTCAATGGCGATAAGTCCGCCGCTGCTGCCGCCGCCGCGGGCGCCTCTACCTGTGAGGACGACCGTCCGACTGACGGCGTCCTGCCTAATGGCAAGCGGGCCAAGTCGTCGTCTGCGGGCGTTACTAATGGGTCAGCGACGAACGGTGCGTCCCGCAGTAGTGGAGCTGGAAGCAGCAAGGTCCTCTCGTCGGACGCGGTCGATCCGAATGACCAGCTGGAATTGGAGATGAGGCAAGCGCAGGAGCATGATGGAGATGTCGATATGACGGGTTAATGGTTGGCGTACCGGTCGCTTGTTTCTAGTGGTGGAAGAGCGGGTTGGTTGACAAATGAGGGGATTGATATGTGATCATGAAACGCGCTGGTGATCTTTGATATGCCCATTATATTTCGTACAGCCATCCCGATGGCAAGTTGGGTGGCATAGAGCCAACAGCTAGGGTCTCCCAATGTACTCCCCTCGCGCGCATAGACACATATTCCTCCGTCCATCCATCCATCCATCCATCCATACATACATATTCCGCTCTCCCATGCTTCCCTTTCGATCACTCTTCCATTGCATCCTCCACCATGATCCCCGGCGGCAGCCGCCCTTCGTTGAGTGCCTTCTCCAGCCTAATAATCTCCTCCAAGCTCTCCGCCTTCTTGATCATCTCCTCCAGCTTCTTGCGCTCCTTCTCAGTGAGCTTGAGCCGCGACAGCTTAGACGCTTGCGAAGCGCCGGCGGGGCCGTTCGCCGAGCCCACGTCGAATGTCTTGCTCTTGACGCCCATTATCTGCGTCTGTGTCAGCACAGCGCTCCATTCCGAACGCGAGAATAGCACAGGGTAAACTTGAATGCATAATAACCCACCTGCGAAGCCAAGTCCGTTGGCGCCTCGGCCGAGCCAAATAGCTCCTTTGCCTTTTCCCTCTCGGCATCCTTGACCTTTTGGTAATCAAGAAACCGGACCGTAGGACACCTCCAAAGCACCCAGTATCGATAATGCTGTACAACCCCAAGTCAGCAACCCAATCTCAACCCCAACCACCACATAACCACAGCTAATAATGATATCTCCGGGTCACATACCTCCTTCTTCGTCACCGGATTATCGACCAGCACCAGATGGGTCAACCTCGCAAACCGACCCAGCACATCCAGATCAGACAGCTCAGCCAGGTGGTTGGCAGCCAACACGAGGTTGCGCAGACCCGGGACGGCAGCAGGGAGCGTGGACTGGACGGCGGCGATACGGTTGCGGGCCAGCAGCAGGGTGCGCACGCGCGGTGACAGCGGGAAGTTGCCGAGCACTTGGATGTCGTTGTCGGTCAGGTCTATCGCATCGTGGGGCTGGTTTCCGGTCGAGAGTTAGTTTTGTTAACAACATTTGACACAGAGACGACTGTTTTAGGGTTGGACAAAAAGAGAAGGGAGGGGTGGACGTACGCCGGCAACGCCCAGGTTCTCAATAGCGGGAATTCGGTGACCTGTAAATGCGGCGCGAAACCAATAGATAAACAAACGTTGAGATCATCCGTCATTCTGTATGGGTGTGTGGGTGGTTTCAATGCGAACATGGGTGTTCACACAGCTCGAAGCCTTGATTTGGACACAAAGATCAATGTGCAAGTATCTGCTCTTTTCAACGCACCTCGGAGATCCAGCTCTCGCTCCTTGAGCGGGTTGAGGTAGGATAGGGAGTTGTTGATGAGGTCTGCCGTGAGCCTCATTTTGGGGGTATTCCTTTTTTTTTTCTTCTTTTTAGTCGTGGATTAAATCTCGAATGGGGGGTAGAGAGGTCAGTCGTAGGGATTCGAAGATTGTCAATTCGTAGGGTCGGGTTCGTCGCAATCTGGTCGCCGTTTGGTGTTTGGTGTTTGGTTTTTGGGTTTTGGGTTTTGGGTTTTGGTGTTTGGTTTTTGGATTGCCAACCTGGAATTCAGGTTCACGTCGGCGCAAGTTCAAGGTCCACAAGGCTGAACGCGAAAAATAATGTGGGGAATCTGTGGACATCCTAGACCCTAACCCTGACGGGCATTCAGTACCTCAACCTGCCGTGCTGTGTAGTTAAAGCACTCGACGAGACTCCAAGGCGAGGGTACTGATATATCGGCGAAATAACAGGTGTATAAATTCTCAAAGTCGAAGTCAGCCAACCAAACCACCATCACGCCATAAGTATCCATGTCCCACATTCCACCAAAACTCCGATCTTCATCCCTCTCATACGATGTCTAGGTAATGAGGAATAACTCCTGGCCCCAACCTCGATAACACTCATCCACCGTTTTACCTGCCTCAAGCCGGTCACTGGAAAACAAAAACCACCCCACTCCGATCCACCGATACCGTCATCACATACGGCGACTCCAGCACAGCCACATCCACCACCGCGTCCAAGTGACTCCTCAGCAACTGCTGCTGTTCCAGTGAGACCACCGTCGATTTAGGCGCCCTCGGTCTCCTACTCCCACTACTTCCCCTCCCACCCGCAGCGCCATTCACCACATTCCCAGCACTACCACTACCAGCAGCAGCAGCCACAAGCCTCGGCCAACGCTCAATATTCAATGACATCGACGGCGTCGGTTGTGTAGCGGTAAACGTGGGCTTCCCTTCGTCCGGACGCAGGCCGCTGAACACGGTGCTATTCTCGATGCGTGACAGGTCCCAGAAGCGGAGTTTCTTGTCGGCCCCCGCCGTAACGACATAGGCATGGCGCACCTCACCGCTCTCACCGACGGTACCCGTCCCGACGGCCATGGCGCGCACGCCGCGGTCGGTGTTGCCTGTGGCGGCCGGTTCGAGGTCAGTCGCGAAGCGGTTGAGCATGATGCCTTCGGGCCGGTCCTCGTCGACTTCCCAGGGCTCGTAGCTGGTGATGTTGTTGCTGCCTTTGGGTAGGGTGTCTCGATGATGAGTGGAGGACGAGGTGATAGCCGGGTTGCTGCCATTGTTGTTATTGCTGCTGCTGCTGCTGCCGCCAACGCGGTAGACTTCCCGGCAGAGGGTGCGTTCCAGGTCCCAGACGGTCACTTCTCCCTGGCCCGTCCCGCCCGCCACACACACCCACCGCCCGCGACCCTTAGTCGGGTGGATGGCTAAGCGGTAGATAGACCCCTTTCCAGGGACACCCCAAGCCTTAAGACGCATTTTGAACCGCAGGTCCCAAAGATCCAGCACGCCGTGAGAAGTACCCAAACACAACCAATACTTCTTACGATCCACACAGAAGCACGTCGGCGTGCCATGATGGACCGGATTCTCCAACTTGTATAGCAACGTCATCGTCCTCAAATCTATCGCGCGCATAACCGACTTATTCGTCGCCAGAATTAACACCGAGTTGCCGTCTTGCTTAAAGTGCTCGCACCACACGGCGTGTTCCCCCACACCTTCATCGCCTAGCTGGTACTGGCGCAGCAGCCGCAAGCGCGGATACCGAAAGCTGTTGCCGCTGAGGATCGTGTCGACCTTAACGATGTGCACGGTGCCATCGCTAGCACAACTGATAAACGTGTGGGTGTTCTCGACGAAACAGAGGGCCACCACGCGCGCGCCCGCAGCATGCTTGTGGGTGAGCCGTGACCGGTGTGTGATGTTGCGTTCCAGGCGTGCCGTATCCCACACTTTCACAGTGCCGTCATCACCGCCTGTGAGAAAGAACTGGTGGTCCGGGGATACCACGATGCGGTTGATGGCCCCAACATGTTCCGAGAACGTCGCAACGAGCTTGCCTGACGGTTTCCAGGCGTACTCGCCGCCCAGCTGGGACATGGCGGATGACACAGTTGATTTGGACGTCTTCTGGCGTCCCAGCGGTGTGACCATGGGACCGTAGTCGTAGATATCGTGGGGAAAGTTGTCCACATACATCTCATCCAGCATCTTGATAATATTCGGGTCGTTACCCTGGTACGTATGATTCGCCCGTGGCCGTGTGTTCGCGTGAAGCACGGCCGAGTCCGCCTCTGGATGTGACGATCGCCGTGGTGTTGGAGCTTGGCTGAATGGCCCTTCGACCTCCCCAAACGCGTTGGCCTCCGTAGTACCCGTCTCCGGAACTGACTTCGCGCTGTCCTTGCGGTTCATAAGGTTCATGGCGCTCGACTGGTGTCTCAGTCCTCTTCTCGTTGCGTATGGAGCGTCGTGAACAGACCCATCGTCGCTCAAGGGCGATAAGGTACTAGCTTTTCCGCGTCCGGCGGCCGGTCCCTGAGAAGCATCCCTGGATCCCTGGCCTGTCACCGGGGACCCGACTGCGTCATCCTCCAAGGGGCGTCTGCTTTCTGCTGACATGGGCGATATATTATCCTTACTGCCCAGCCGAGACCGGTGATTGTTTAACGCTGCCCGCCTCTTCTTCCCCACAGGATCATCAATCGACATGGATGCGTCGAGAAGAGCGTCCTTGATTGTCCGCGGCGCAGTCGCATCGGGCTCGGTAGTAATTGTCGGCTGGGCCGATGCTTCCTCAATGAAAATTATAGTCAGGGGATTTATCCCGAGCTCACGGAGCGAAATGATACTGTTGAGGGCGGCCGTGTTCCCAGTGTCTTGCGCAGCGGCCGAGTCTCGAGCCTTAATCTGACTTAGCCGCCAAATAAACTCTCTCAAGGCGAGTAACTTCGGCTCGTCTTCCGCCGAAAGCCCTAGGTTTCGTAGCTTGTTTAACCATTGCTCGTCCTCATCGTTCCTCCCCCCCTTTGTCAACGCCTGAGAACTAGAATCCGCCCGGGAAGACATAGGCTTGGAGACCACATCGCGCAGTTTCTTAAACGGCTTCCAGAAATCTCCTCTGTCAGTCTTGGATGCCCATAGCAACGCTTGGTCAAACACCGATCGTGACAGAGGCCTTTGAAGTGCGTCCAGCAGCTCCAGCTCAGAGAAAGAGGGAATCCGGTGGGGCTTCAGGTACGGTACCAGCTGCGGCACCACCTGGACCCTAAGATACGCCGGGCTGAGAAAGCGCCCGCCAGCAGAGATGAACTGCGTGGCCGACTCGCGAATCCACAGGTTCGGATGCATGGTGAACCGCCCAATGACCCCAATGAGGTCAAGGTACGTCTGCTTCGTGAGCAGCCCAAGATCTGCCAACTCTGCCAGCGAACGTACCGCCCCATGAACAACATGCTCTTCGGGATCAGTGATGGCTTGGACCATCAAAGGTAGCATAAACTTCTCCACGTTGTTGCTCCCCAGGAACGCCGAGATACCCACAATCGTCTCGAAGAACGCACACTTCAACATCCAGTCCCGATCGTTCAGGTATGTATTAAGATGCGTCAAGATAATGTCGTTCGCCTGGAATGCTCCGAAAAAGATGCAGAGGTCTGGGACCGAGCTGAGGAACGCTCGCCGAACAAATGGGTCCGAGTCTTCAATCAGAGCCTTGGTGTGGTTCTCAAAGACCTCCGTCAACTCCCGCCGGGCATTGTCAAACAGCCCAGCAAACGCCGCCTCGGCCTCGTTTCCCGGTTCAACCTCCGGATCCGCGAGCGCCGCCGACCCATCAGCCCTCAGCGTAGCCGCCATGGCCAGAAACCGGTCTGCTGTGACAGCCAGTTTCCCGAGGCACGACGCGTACGTCGCTCGGACGAGGGGATTAAAGGTCCTCTGGGCGTCAAGCAGCAGCGGCTCCATGCGCGGCATGATATAATCGAGAAAGATCTGTGAGTTCACGGGCGTGATGACCTTGACCAAATCTAGCAGCTGCGTGACGGCCCGTATCGCCGAAACCAACACCATGTCATTCTTGTCCTTAAGCAAGGAGACGAGGTAGGGCAAGACGCGGTCCAACTTCGCCTCGTCGGTCAACCGCTCTGCAAAAGCGAGTAGGATATCGCAAGCCTTGACCCGAGCGGCGGCATGCGCGGTATTCCGGAGGGATGACACGATCAATGTCAGAAAGATGAGAGTTCCGTCATCGGCAGATGGCTTCTTGTCTGCGGATACGCGATGCTCGTTGTTTGGGATGTTCAGACGGACGGGGAAGTTCTCCAACCCAAGCCTCGGAGCCAGCTGCCGCTCATCGGTTGAGGCGTCGTCATTCTGGTAGCCGAGAAAATAAGCAATCTTGTCAAAGTCCAGCCATACTCTCTCGATGCGCTGATCCGCCTCCGTAACAATTCTCGCCGTAGACGCCCCTGCGTAGTGCGCCGACGACAGATCCGTGATGAGCTCCATGTACTGGTGAAGGAAGCTGTAAAAGTACTCGGGGAAAACCTTCCCCTTCCAAAAGTCCAGGTACTGCTCCGCCGAGTATCGCTTTTGCGGGTCTAGTTGAATCATTTGCGCGATCATTTCCCGTAGGTCTTTGTCCGGGATCTTGCTGAGATGCGTGATGGCCGGATCATACTCGCCTTTGCGGTACGAGTATAACTGGCTCAAACTGAAGATGGGCGTCTCAAGAAATAGTTCGGCGATGACACAGCCTGCGCTGAAAACGTCCATCGCCCAAGTCACCTTCGCATCCGGGTCCGCCTCCTCGCCGGGTGGCAGAAACCTCTCGGGTGCCAGGTAGCACGTCCTCCTCCCCGATGTGTCAAAGAAATACGAGAAATCCCCGGGGTTGTCTTCCGGTAGCATAACGCGCTTAAAGGATGACGAAAAGTCGGAGAGGTATAACCAGTTCCACGACGTCACCAGTATGTTCTCCGTTTTGACATCGCCATGGTAGACGCCCTTGCTATGACAGTCGCGAAGTGCACACAGCAGCTGGAACGCTAGCCACTTCTTTTCGATGTCTTCCAAAAACGGTCGCGTGCTCAGTCGATCGTATAACGAATTGTAGAGGAACTGGCGGACGAGATATCCGTTCGTCTCGGTTTCGACGGCGCGTTCGTACGGCAGGGCGTTTGGTACGTCGGTCAAAACTCGTCGTTCGTCTGGAGAAAATCACCAACGACACTCATTAGCACGCTTTCTCAACATCACATCTACTCAAAGACCACCACAGCCACCTCTTGGAAGAGTTGGGAAATAGCTCACGAATGACGGCCTCCTTATACTTCTCCAACGACATCGGATACGGCTTAATGAGCACTTTCGCCAACACAACCCCATCATGATGTCGCGCCCGAACACTCTTCATAAACCCGCCAGTACCAACCGACCGTTCGTAAACGAGGTCAGCCAGCTCCGGCACATCGATACCCGCACCGCCCGCGCGCGGCGTGGCGAGGGAGAAATTCTGACCCATCTCCGCTCACTTCCTGCTCTCTCTCGCGCAATGCACGACAAGCGCCCCAGACAAAACACAGCCCGGGCTGTCCTATCTCGGCAGTGTATCCGTCCGTCCAACTACCTTAGGCGCAAGATCAGGGGGAGAGCGTAACGCATCTTGGGTCGCGGCGCGTAAGTCTAGGGTAGGTACCGTTAGGAGAATTGCGATCGCACGATACGTTAGCGGGGGCTGTCGAGAATGAACGATGGATGGACCTTGTCGGGGTGGGCAGCGTTTGAGGTAAGGTAGCCGCGAATGTGCGAAAACTATTGAAGTGGGCCGCAACCGGTGGTGTTTCGTGCAAAGCAACGGAGAAGCGCACAAGCTCGCAGGCAGAAGTACTTTGCGCTACTAGTGTAGAAGAAGGTTAGGACTTGCGAATCACAAAGCTTTCAAGACATCCACGGATCAAGCTGTCGTCAGACGGCCGAGCTGAAGGGCGAGGGAGCCTGTAATGGGAGATAAGATAAGCCCTATAGGCCCACGCTTTGGACCTACAGCGCACGGCCCGGCAGAATCCGAGCGGGCTCAGGTACGGACATAGACAACTACGCAGTACCTACCAGGTTAGGTCGTACCTTCGTACCTTGGGCCATCACAAGACCTCAAAACCTGGTGACTGCAAAGTCACCAGCAACAAGCAATGCACTTTACAAAATCATTATCACGAGTCTGCAACGGTACACCGGACCGTAATAATCACTCCCAAGTTGATAGCTTAGCTACTGGCTACTCTCTCATTTAAATCTAAAATAGAAAACTGTGTCTCTGCCAGTAGACGAAGAATATCTGCAGGATATGCATAGGGTTGATCGGAAAAAACGAATGGTTGTTTGCTTGCCGGGTCTTCGAATAGCTGCAGGTCGCTCAATCGCTAAGCCCGAGTGTCGCATTCTAGGTCTCCTCGAGGCTCCTCCCTTGGAAAGTCCAAGTCCCGTTGACAATGAGCATCTTCCAATGTCCCGCGCCAGCTGTTGATCTACCCACGCCGCACCTCAACACATCGCCTCGTCCGACTGCAAAGTCCGGGTATATTTGAAAAGACGAAATGAAGAAATGAGAAGGAAAAATAAGCGTTGCCTCGAAGGCATGGTGGGTGGGCCTGAAGAGAGGTCCCAAGTCTTGAAGAGAAAAACATCGTCGTCTGCAAACGCCACGGTCTCGGCCGAAACCTCCAGCTCTATGGACTGACCGGTGGTAAACACCATACGCACCCGGCAGCTCTAAAAACCTGCTCCTCGCAACCACCAGGGAAAGGCAAAGAGTCGTCGCAAAAGAGAAAAAAAACACAAAAGCCGAAAAAACGCCCAGGACAATGCCGCACGAAAACAGGCAGGTGTTCATCGAGCATCGTCGGGAAATTCGAATCGAGAATTGAGTCATCATCATTAAAGTGCGCCCTAAGTGTTACGGCGCCACCATGTACGGGTTTGCACTGGACGTGTCGGTTGAGCCGTCGCCGTCAATGGTCTTCTTCCAATGCTCCGGTGAGCACACACAAACCAGTGGGAATGCCTTGATTTCCCCGGTGATAGGTGGTGAGTCGTCGCGTCCACGTCCGGATGTGTTCGATACACCGCTGTCTCGTTGTGCTTGTCGGCGAGCTTCCCATTGCTCAGCACGTTCATCGACCATAATACCCGTAGCCCAACCATCGTCCCAAATGCCCACAACCTTGAGCATGTCACCCCGGTCTAATGAGAACTCGTCGCTAGCCCGAGGCTGGTATGCCCAGAGAACGGCAACCCGGCTGCCGGGGTAAATATCGTCCTGGGAATAATAGTCTTTGAAGAAGGGGAGCTGCTCGGATTGTTGACTGGCGAGCCCCTGGGGAGACGAAATACCTCCAGAGCTGGGCGACTGAGGATCATCTCCTGCCAAAACGGAACTGCTCGAGAGAGATCCATTGCGCTTTAGCATTGTTGGGGGTGGTCGAAGCACGCTAGTACCACGCTCGGATGGAGTTCTAGACCGGAAACCATCCGAGGAAGAATGGTCATCGCCCCTCCTCCTGCTCCCACGATATGTGCCCACGGTTCCGGGTACCGAGGATCCAGTCAAATCCCGCGTGTGGCGCGACGGGCTCTCGCGAGAGTGGCCTTCCAGAGCAGACATCCGGGCTATCCTTCCGCCAGGCAAGACCTCATAACCAGAGGGCGCCCCACTCTGCCCAACCTGCGTGGTCGGTGGCCCTTGTCGAGCAGGCGATGGCTGATTGAAAATGCTACCGGACCTGCTGTGGCTCCTCCTCCGACGGTAGAGCAACAAGGCCAGGATCAACGCCGCGAGGAGGGCCGCGCCCACAATAGAGCCAACCGCAATACCCGCAATCTGACCGGCTGACAACCCATTATGGGCGGAACCCTCATTTGGAGTGGGAGTCGCGGTGGCAGTGACGGTCGGCAAACTAATGGGAGTTATTGTTGGGAGGACGACCCCCGCGCAACGTGTCTCGGCGTTGGCGCCATAGCAGCAGGTATCAGTCGAGTTGATTCCACCCTTGGCGCAATATGAACAGAGTCCCACCGTGCTGTTCCCGTAACCGCAATTGTCGGGCTCGTTTTCGACACCCTTGATGCAGTCCTGGCTATTTAACGAGTTGCTAGGCAAGGCACAATTGGTGAAGTCAGCCCGGATTTGCGACTGTGCATTGCTTCCGGGGCGGGGGCAAATCGAACTATCTGAGACGAGATATGCCTCAGCTTGTGCATATTGGGCCTGGAAATCAGGTCAGCTAATCAGGAGTAATACACCAGAAGTGAAGACAACTTACGCATGTCTCGGCGCAAAGGGGGCGCGATTCTGCTGCTGAAAGTTCGCAGGGCGTGATCGAGTTCTGAATAATAGCATTACAGATTATCGTGGTGGTGTACCGAGCGTAGACATCGCTACTGTTAGTGAAATCGATTCCCCCACAGCCAAGGAGAGTCGAAAACTTTTCCTGCACGTATTCATTTTGCACGTGAGCCGTCAAGAGTGAATCAAGCTTATCTACATTCGAGGCGAACTGCAGAAAGGGGCTATCAAAAGGTCAGCCGTCGGCAAACCCGAGGTACCAAACAACGACGAGTCCACTTACAACAACCCAACCACATTCGGGTCGGTGGTGGATACGGATGAAGATTGAAAAGCAGAACAGGCATGGGAGCCTTCAAGTGAGAGACAGGATGCCATGGCTGTCGGAGAGCCTCAGGTCCGAGAAAATAGGCGGCTTCTGGAGCGAGATTGCCTCGGTTTCGGTTGGATAATGGAGATTCCACGTGGCTCTCCAATCGCGAAACGAGCCCACGGTGATGGGGTGGTCGAGAAATCTCGGGTAGAAACTGTGTACTTGAGTCTACTCCAACGGCGCTTTCATGATCGTTGCCGCGTTTCGTTCTCGTTCTCGGACGCAGCGGGTTTCCAGGAAACAACTGAGAAATCCGTTGCCGAGACGCTGCGACACGTTGGATCGCCTAGGTGAGGTTGACAGCGCAAAAATCCGAATGGGGCGCTCCGGATGATATGTCGATGGATCGGAAGTATCGTGCAGGCAGCGGGGCAACACTCGAAGACGCAGAGTGAGATATATCCGTGTTGTTCCGCGACGAGAAATCGGATGGGAAGGTGGTGTGAGCAGCGGTAGGAAGGAGAGTCGGAGTTTGAGAATCCCAGCCCAGATCCACCACCACAGTCAACACACAGTTCTTTCCTCCCAAGACAAGAGCGACTCCAGCAAGACCCGGCCCCGGTCGATCCCAGAAAGCATTAATGACGGGCAGTGCCCGGCCCGACAAATGACGGCGATGCGACGCGACTTCACCAGCAGCTTCGAGCCGTGATACCCGCGAACAGTGACGCGGAAAAGAGTGGCTTGTAATCGGAAGGTTCGGTCGTCGACGGCAGGGTGAGGCTAGGCCTTGGTGTGAGTGAGGAAGCGCGACCAGACGAAGAAAAGAGTTGGTTGAAATGATTGAAACGAATGTGAATAACGAGAGCAAGAAGCAAAAGGCCGCTCCTGGTGGTGTGGGAGCACCGTGGGGTCCAGTGTTACCCCTCTCACAGGACTTGAAGAAGCGGGTGAAGAGAACGGGAAGATTTGGGATAACTCGTGAAAACGTGCGAGTTGCACATACATCAGCAAAAACACAACGGGAGATTGGTGGCAGGCCCCACGATCAAATTTCGCTTAAAGTCGACGAAGGTCCGGGGTGCACGTGGGTCTTTCCCTCAAGGTCGGAAAGCTCTGCAGGGTTTCCCGTGGCAGGAGAGAGGGACCAGGGGTGAGCTGTCGAAGCTTGCGCCAGGTTTGACACTCTTATCAGAAGCCCACAGTTTAATTTTAGGACACCGTAACCCAAGGGAAAAGCTATCGTCCTCATACGGGTCGCCACAAATAACCTGCACCCTTTTCCGACAACTTCATGGCTTTATTGCCGCCCATCTCTTCTTCGTGTTTCACAAAACAATGGGCAGAAGACCCGCCAACCTGGACGAAGGCCAGAGGGTTACATTCTCCCCTTCGGAGCAATTATCAAGAAGCGCCCCACTTGTATGCGAACGAAACGGCAACTGGGCGGTGGAGTACGACACCCAGGGCCCGGGTCCTGGCAGCACGCCATTGGTGAACCGGCCGGACTGGGGCCGCAGCCACGCAGACACGGGCCGGGAACATGCGCAAACGAGAAAAGAGCCGCGATCCAGGTATCTTTCCATTCTCGTTCCTCAAACATCGACCAAACATGGCCTCGAGAATCTTGCATGGGCATCCGCTTGGCATCCAACTTTCGCAATGAGCCATGAGAATGACAGGGGAGCCAACAGACCCGCCAACCCGACAACTTCATCAAACTCTTCAATGGCGGCCGGCGGGGCATCGAAGACTGCATTCATCGACTTGACTCATTGTCCAGAGCAGGTGAACACGGTTATGCCAGTGTATCTGTTGACAACGGATTGGCTCAGCGGAAGATATCCCTGCGGCGACGGAAAAGATTTCGTATAAACCCACATAACCCTTCGCCCCCAGACTACCTAGGTACTCTTTGACCAAAGTACGGAGTCCGAACGTACACAAACAACAAAACGCAAAGGCCGCACCACGCCCGCGCCAAACAAACCATCCCACGAACCGCGGGGTCGGCAGTCTGCTGCGGTAAACCCCCTCACACCCTCCCGCTCAGGCCGTTTCCCAGCCGCCTTGACCTTGTCTCGCGAATCGGAAACGCACATATTTTCCCGATTTAGCTCTTGTGCGACGTTTCTTCCCACTAAAAAAGTCACCAAGCATCCCAATGGCAGTGGCGGCAAAGATCATCTGGATCTTACCTCTCATCGATGGGGTCAGACCACATCATGCGAACTTATTAGTATTGACTCCGTTCCCGGCTGGCTTACCGAGGTGATGTTCGTTTTAAGCTTCCCCGCAAACAACTCAAAATTCGAGTACCCCGGTGGCCACAGCATGCCTCGTCTGGGGAGTCTCAGACATGTGTCGATCCTATGCCGTGCTCTTCGGAAACTTTATGCAGTCTCGAGTCCCCACTGCTCCAACCCCGGATTTTCGTAACGAGCCAAGCAAGCGTCAATGGGCAGAGTGTAGAACTAAAATATTTCGCATAACATCGACACGGGATGGATGTGGTACTCAACTAAGGCACCCTTGGTGACATTGGCATGGTTGAGGGGGTGTGCGAGGAGGCCGTGTTACCGGTAGTTATGACAGACTTCTTTTTGTCTCGTGGGCAATCGAAATCATCCAGCCAACCGAAGCAGGGATCCGGGTCAACTTGACATTAGTTGCGGGGTGCCGGCCTCCGGCCTTATGTCTACGACAGCTACATAGTAGGTCGGATGGTAGGTATGTTCCTAGGTCAGGCGGGAGGTAAGTACCACATAATTACCTGAGGACTCCAGCAGAATAGTTCGGCCAATAAGTAGGGTTCAAGCAAACGCCGAACGACAAGTCTATTAATCTATCTTGCACGTAGACAGAGCAGCAGAAGCCAATGAATACTTCCTGCCTTCTCGCAGGCTCTCTGTCGCAACTAGGAACAAAAGGTGCGAGAAGAAAAAGGATATAATTCGCCCAAGGTAGGTATAACAATCTCAACCCTGTTTCGCTTTCCTGCCTACCCTCACCCAAACTCCTTCAGTCGCGTCCTCTGATTCATATTTCCTCAACGCAGCCCTGGCTGCCTGCTTGTACCGCTCATGCTCCTCTTCGTCGTGTTTCGCCACTTCTTCCACAGCATCAACCCAGTCGTCCCAGTTGACTACGGTCTCGCCGTCTGGACCCTGGCGGCTCGAAGATTCGTATCCAAAGTCACCAGAGCACACATGAAATTGTCCCATATAACCGCCGCCCTCTTTCTTAAACTGTTCTATCTCAGCCTCGTCCCCGCTGGTCATTATTTTCTGCAAATGGTCGAGACATGTCAGCGTACGGCAGCCAGGCTAACTCTGAGCAAGGGGAAACACTTACCAATGCCACCATAAGGTGTCGCCGACCAATGTCGTCAATATCCGGGGGCTCAACGTAGATGAATGAGTCGTTTTGCCATTGGAAGAGTTTCCGTAGGTTGAAGAGGCTCCGCGTCCGCGCGATTACCCTCTCCTTACGCGATTTCGGTTTACCACCGTCGACTGTGGCGCCGCCCACGACTGGGAACTCTTCATTCTCGTCTTCCGTACTCCTCCCCTCATCTCCCTGTTGAAGCCCGAGTGACTGCGTTGGCTGGCCCTGGCCATTAGATGTGACCGCCCCTTGATGCACGGTAACCTCGCCTCTGGTGACTCGTCCTGCGGCCACTTCGACCAGGCTGCGCCTAGAGTAGTGGCCCGGTGCCTTGCAGCCGCTCGGCACATAAAATAGCCGGTCAAAACGTGAGATGGTATAGGTGTACACAACCACCAGCTCGATCACGTAGTTGAAACAGTAGTAGCACACCTTGCTGTGGTACCAGGCGGGGTCGCTGACGGGGCGTGGGAAGAAGGCGATAATGGCCCGGAAAAAGGCGCCGACAGATAGCAGGCTGGCCGTGAAAATGAGAAGCCCAAACTTGATGCGGGAGTCGCCCTCGCCGAACTTGTCAACATTATGCGATCCCCGGCGTGCCAGCGACGCAACCGCAATCAGGGGAATGGGAAGAACCGCATATATGGCCAGGTATGTTCCACACATCAGCTGGACTGTCCGGTCCGCCCGCAACGTCTTCGCAGCCTCCGCCGCATCATCACCACCACCCGGCTGCGGCGGGGGCACAAACGCCGCTTGCACTGTCGCCACGATGACCATTATCAACACCAACACCGCACTCCCATACAACCCCCGCAGGATCCCCGTCGCTCCCTTACTCCACCCAAAAAGGGGATAGGACGACCTGAGCGCCGTCTGCACAAACATCCAGTTCGTCACAAACAACAACATCACCCCCGCGGCTGTAAAGATCTGCGACACCATCCCCAACCTGATATCCGTCCGATGACTCGCCCACACCACGCGCAGCACCAGCGCCGCGGTGCGGGCCATGCAGAAGAAGAAGATGAAGATGGGGAAGATGAATTTGTAGGACTTCTTCCGGTTGCGCTGGTAGATGGTCATGTTGATGACTGCGCCAATGACGAAAAGCACAGCCAGGGCCAAGCAGATGGGAATGTCGGGTATGGGGGACGGGACCAGGCCGAGAATCGCGGTGGTTGGGGGGTAGGGGCCGCTGGTTTGGGGTGGTGCTGTCGAGGAAGGGCCGGCGGGCTGTTGTATGCGAAAGGGGCGTTAGTGAATTTAGATTCTCTATCCTGGTGCTGAAGGATTGGGAGAATACGGGAAAGCCATGATGGGCAGGTGTTGACGATGATGATTTCTGTGTGGAGGTTCAAGCCGGAGAGCACAGGAGAGACATACCGCAGAGCTGGAAGCAGTCGCGGATGCCGTGGCCGCCGTAGCGGACAGCGTGCCCGAGATGCTCGAGCTGGACATCTTCTTCCCGGCGTGGGCGTGGAAACGAAAAGTCCTATGCGATCGTAAGGATTCAGGAACGGGCAGTCGAAACGATATTTGAGAAAGGAGAGTGTGGGGGAACAAGAGCACAACGACTCAACACCATACGCATCACGGGTGTGTGCGCTATGAAGCAGAGAATGTGGCACGCAGCTTGATTGATGAGTGTCACCTGGAATTTCGCCGATATCTAACAAGTGCTTAGGCCAACCCGGCCTGTCCGTTCTCAACACATTTCGTAGGCTATCAGGGTGCGTTCATTTACTCGAGCCTATCGGGCCATGTGTAAAAACGGACTCCCGAGGTTGTGGGAGGAAATTTGGCGCAGCACAAGACACGGTGGATTCAAGTCCACGTCATAGTCATGCGACGGTGCGCGCTTGAGGCACGAGGTTATGTCGAGCGATGAGGGCATGAGGTGTCAATGCGAAAACTGCGAATAGAAAGATTGACGGTGTTAAGAATAGGGGCACACCAAGATTTTGTGACTATCAAAAAGCGGGCACGGATCTATTTCGAGCTGGAATATCCTCACATTGTAAAATCAAACTTTTCGCAAGTGTAACACCCGATGAAGCATCATTTACCTAGCCTCGTGGACGTATGGCACCATGTAGACTATACATGTTTTGCGGAGCAATATGCTGGGGCACTTACGGGGGATTGACGCAAGGTATCGCCGAGATTGGGGAGAAGATTTGGATATTATCGAACTGCTACACAATATCCTGCGGGGACCAGCGGGTCGGGTTCGATTTCAATCACACAATACTGACCGCCTAGTCCGTTACAACACATGCCCTGCATCTCACGAAGCGATAACTATGCGGTGTTAAAGTGCACGTACACGTCCGTGTGGTTGCAGGATGTTACGCAGTCATCGATACATATATAGGGCAAGGGATGCCCATGGTCCATAACACACCAGCCACCTTCAGATCGAGAACAATATGGGGATCATCTCGAGAAGAGGTACTGGGAACGTATCTCCCTACCGATGGGGGTCCGTTTATCTCGCACTACACACATAATACGGAGTTTACAAGTAACAGACACCGGATAATATCTCAAGACCAAGCTGCCACCACATGCTCCGTCCTCCTCAGCCTCCATCAAAGGTCTAGCAGAGTGGGACGAGGAACCTCCCGAGGCACACGGGATGAGCAACTGTTCTACTTGTTTTGCTGTTCGACACATCATATGTACCTCGACAAGCCAAGCGCCCCTTTCAACCGAAATCCGTCCACTGGTAAGGCCCCCACCGATGGAAGACACGGGGGATGCCCGGCCCTAGTCGAGTTTCGATGCATCGTTTGACATCCGACCCATCTTGCATTCCGCCCGCTCGCTTTAAGTCAGACTTCCCGCTGCTATATGCATGTGCGCGACCAGACGCGGACACCGATCGCCGGCGTTTGTCATTACAAGAAGTAGTCGGGCGTCCCTGGGGGGTGGTGAGTAAACCTGAGCTATCTTCCGTGGGGCTCGAAAAGGAAAAAGACTTACGCCTAGAGACCATAGGCTCGCCTGCTCTCGGGCACGGGTCAAACTGCAAGCTAGGATGATTTTTAGTCGGGAATGGCGGAAGGTAGAGTTGGATAGAATACTTACAACGTGTATTTCAAGTGCTCATCAATTTCCATTATCGCTGCCTGGTTACCACACCTGTAGCAATAGTTGGGGGCTAGAGCATATGTTAGGGTTATCGGGTCGGGGACAAATAGGGGGGGGGGAGATAATGCGATGAATAGCCGGTACACACCCGAGAAAATGGTCACCACATTCCGGTCCTGGGACCAGTTGTACCCCTCCATCACCAGCTGATGCGCCCGGGCAATCAAGGTCAGTCCGTTGTTATGATTGAAAGCCTCTGATATGTCCTGGCCGAATGTGTACCCGGCACCACGGGGAGAAATGCCCCAGCCGCACCGGTCGTCGGGGTCGGACCACAGGAGATCACACATCGGGCCTTCGTGAGGCACCTCCTGGACCCGGTCCAAGGCCCGGATGTTATCGAGGGTATCAATGCTCGGCGACAGGCCGCCGTGCAGGCAAAAGATCTGGTTGTCGATCAAAGCAGTGAGAGGAAGGTAGTCGAAGAGGTCGGTAAAATACTTCCACACGTTGGCGTTTCCATACTTGCGCAGGCACTCGTCATAGAACCCGTACACCTGAGTGATCTGGCGCGATTCATGGTTGCCGCGCAGGATGGTGATGCGCAACGGGTATCGGATCTTCAGGGCCACAAGCAGGGTGACAGTCTCGACCGAGTAGTATCCCCGATCGACATAATCCCCTGTATAGTACCCGTATTGTCAGAAACTTGAAAATCATTACCGTATCGTATTCTTTCTATTCTCGTCGTTCTCGCCGCGGGGGAAATCAGTGCGGGCCGTGTCATACCCATGAAAAGATAATTGGTGTCCGGGTTGGGCCCGCCAATCTTGAAGAGTTCCATCAAGTCGTGAAATTGGCCGTGAATGTCTCCGCACACGGTGACAGGGCATTTCTGAGAGCATCAGTCTCAGGGACGGGTCATCTCTTTTGACAGCGAGTGGCAGGGCTGCCGGGATGGGGAAAACCTACGACCGGTTGTACATTGGACTCTTCTTGCAACACCTCACGTGCCTGAGGACGGGAAACGAGTCAGCACAGAACTAGAGTAGGCGAGGCTGCGCAGGGCCGTGATGCTTGATAAGACCTTGATGGGACCTGGGCCATCAGAGCTGCAGGGGGTCAAGAGCTTGCCCGGCCAGTCGATCAATCATCCAAGGCGAAGCATCGAAACTCGAAAGCAAGGACGGGGTAGATAAAGGAGAGGGGTGAGTGAGCCGGGGCACCAGACCCCCCCCCAAACAACGTGAATGGACAGACGGACCTTCTCGCACAACCTCTGTACATCCACCTCGGCTAGCTGCTTGCACTGCATCAAACTCTCAATCCAGCCATCAAGAGTCGGGATCGTGGTGGGTTCGACGTTGGAGGGAGCTAGCTCGATCGGCACGCGTCCAACCTGGACGTCCTCCATGTTTGTATCCATTCCGGCAATGGATCTTGTGGGGTGCGGTGGTGCGATTTAGTCGGTCAGCCTGGCGATGGGTGTCTGCTGTAGCAGGACGTCGGCGGTGTCAACGGGTCGATCAAGCGGAGGGGTGATCGTCGGTGCGCTAAAGGGGAGGAGGAAAAGTTGTAGCGGTTTAAGGTAGATTGAGAGCAATGACGTTTGTGTCCACTGGCCACGAGCGGTTCCTTTGTGGTGTCTCTGGGGCGCGGCGGCGCGGCTCCAAAGTCTGGGTCAAAATTGGGCAGGTGGGCGGGTGGGCAAGTCGGTCGCCAGGGGGAGTGCGGGGGGCAGCAGCCTTGTTTCTGTTGTCGTCAAAAGGTCGCGAGCGGCTTTTATCCTCGGCCGATCTCTCCAAAATTGAGGAAAATTCGGGGCGACGGGAAGCTTGGCCAGTCAGGGTGCCGGAGCAAATGTTGTCTCTGGAAACTGAGGATATAATACGTCGAATGCAATCGGGAGGGCGTCAATGGAAGGCGTTGTTTTGCTGAGGTGCTGATGCCGGCACTGGCGCCTTCTCATTATTTGAGCGTTATTGTGGCCCGTGCGACGACAGTTTTCCCCACCACCCGAACTGGGCAGCTGAAAGCCAGGGCTCCACCCAAGAAAGACCCCCAAGCTTGGCAAACCTTGACAAAGAACCTGGCTCGAGCCTGGGACTTATTCTGACCCCAACATCATCAGTCTTCTTGGTGACAAAGAAGTCAAAAACGAGGAAAGAGATGGGAGGAAGAGAGCGGGGTTATGGGAAATTTTTCATGGTTTACACAGCGAGAAACACACAAGAACGTAGTTAATGGGCCTTGTTATACCTTGCCAATCTGGGCAATATATATTGTAGTCTACACAGCTAAGTACCTAGTTGGGCCTCTGGCGTACCGAGCTTCACGAAGCCTTGCCCATGACTAACCCCAACCCTGCCGGACCGTTGTTCGCCGGTGTTTCCGAGGCCGTTTTCACGTTCTGGCCGACGAGGTTTCGAAAATCCAGGCCAACCTCGGAAAGCATACCAGCGTGGTCTTTGGCAGTGTCCATACACCTCTTCCACGCCTCCCCGCCCTCTTTCTCGCCACTCAATTGCCGTGAGAGAATGGCGTTGAAGGCGTCTACCTCCTCCTTGGCCCACTTGACACAGGCGCTCATCATGGGCGGCGGGAAGCAGGCCTGGAAGCAACTGAAAGTGTTGCGGATGATGGTGAAGTAGACGAAGGAGATCTCCCAGATGTATTGATCAAGATTGCCTTGGAAGATGCATTGCCTGTGTGATGTTAGCGCAAGAGTAGGGACGGGGAGAGTGGAGGATGGATATTCACCTTGAGCGTTTTTGAATCGTCTCGCTTCTGGCCGCAAGATAAGCCTCCCGCGCCCTATCCTCCATTCCCAACCTCGTCAGCCAGGACACATTTTGCTTCGTCTTCTTCTGCTGGTTATGACTGCTGACGAGCTCCCTAACAATCAACGTCGCTAACTTTGCCCGGCGCTCATCGACCTTGAACGAGATAAAATCTTGCGCAATGGCGTTATTTTTCAAGCCGTACGCTAAGAGCTTGAGCTTCTCAATCATGGCCACTGACGGCTCGATCTGCTGCAGGGCAATGTGGATGTCGAGTTCGTCCATCTGGCCTTCCACCCAGCGCAGATTTTGCTGTTTTCCGTCGACCTCGATCAGCATGTCCTTAATGTCGGACAGGGTCTCAAGTAGCTCGGTTTTTTGTAACAGGCCTGGATCGCGCGAGGCAAAATAGTTGATAGTTTCCTTGGCCTTGTTATTTGCCTCCCGCTCGGATTGGATATTCCGCCGAAGCTCTTCAACCCGCTTCCGGATGTTCAGCATGAGCGCTCCCTTTTCCGGGCCCCCAGACTTTTCGGTCCGGTAGATAAAGGATTCATTTTGCCCACCTCCCCTAACCATAACGGCATCGGCGAGTTTGTTCCGACCACTAGACGACGAATCGCTTGACCCAGCCATGTCCACGACCTCCACATCTAAGAGATGCCAGCAGCGATCGGCAACAAGTTTTGTCATAGGAGCACGACCATCGGCCGGCATTGGTGCATCCGCCTTACGCTTCTTCCGCGACGCGATCAGTAGGTGGTCATTGAGTAGGAAGATTTGCATGGCACGTCGGGACCGATACGTGGCGTTGTCGAGCTCGACCCACGGCCCGGCGTTCTGAACAACATGGCGACCGGCTGTGTTGGGCAAAAACTTTTGCGAGCCCTCGACGTTTTTGTACAGAGCCTGCATCTGGGAGCTCCAGAGCGCGGTTCTATCGGCCACGGAGCTCCGCTTGTCCCGCCTGCTCATCCCGCCCCCGATCTGACCCCCCCCAAAGCCTGCTTCTTCCACCGTGTTTGACCCTGATCGCAAAGCGGTGGTGTTGGTCTTCAGTTCGAACATCAAGTTGCGCAAGCTGCGCATCTCACTCTTGAGTTTCTCGGCCTCCTTGCTAATCTTGATGAACTGCGTGCGGTTCTGATAAACGCTTTGCTGGAGATCGGTCGATGCACGACGCTTGAGTTTCCGCAGCGCCAATTCGTATTCGCGAATCTCGTCCTCAGTGGCTTCGCTTAGAATATCGGCAACATACTGCTCGGGGATAAGATCCGGGTTCCGGAGCGACCGAATGTCCACCTGCGGAGCCACTCCTCCACCTCCCGCGTCGCTTCGTCCACCTCTCGATGGGGGCGGCCGGCGTTCTTGTGTTTGTGCTTGTTCATATCGTTCAAGGCTGGGGAGCGCGGGAACGGGGTTCACGGTCGGATCGAAATCCGCTGGCAAGTTGTTGAAGCGCGTCGAGTAGCGACGTTTGACGAGATCCGAAGTCTGAAGCGGTGAGCTTTAGGTCAAGAAATAGAGGCCAAACTCATTTAGAAAACTTACCGTTGTACTACTCTGGGGTGGTGGCCGTGGACGCGGCGGGGCAACATCACCAGCTGTAGGACGTCCTGGCGGGCCGCGCTGGCCTGCACCTCCTTCCTGAAGGATGGGCCCTGAGATTTTTATGGACGGCCGGCCCCTTCTGTTCCCTCCGCTGCGTAGCGAGATATTGGACCTTTCTCCAGACATGACGGGCCAGATGGTGTTGGCGCTGTAAAAACAGGTGGCCCTTCCTCTTCGCGCAGCCGGTTCTGCCTCGACCTCCGTTTCATCGAGTGGGAGTTGACTGTGGGTCGTAACCTTATTTGGTCCGTGCGTCCTTCTGCCTGTGTCTTGGCGCTCTTATAGCCGAGATGATCTGATAAGATTACGCACCCACCCAGTTCCGGAACCTGGCCGATGTCCTCACACCACCTTCCATACCGGCTTGGCGCGAGTCCGGCGAGCTCGCTTTAGGACGATGACATTAGTTTGGAGCACGGCGAGCCGAATCTAGGACACCGCGTATTTTTCACCGAGACATAGGTACCTTACTCCCGAATTGGGAGGCCGAATATTAGACCGTCGAGGTCGAAGGTCAGAGAAGTGATGGATGGGGGATCATCTAAGTTGTTAATCCTTCATCACGAGTTACGCGGCCTTGCGTAGCCATAAGGGACAATATGCCAACCTGGATTCCCGATCGAGTCACCCCGTTGCACAGGCTGCCTCGCGCCGCTCGGCCGATCCGAGCGCAAGGTCGGCCTCGGAGTCTCCTAGATTGCCGGGAAACCCCATCCTTTCAGGACGCGATCTCCTGGCAAGTTGCATGGGTACTGCGCTGTGTATAAAGGACCCACGAACCGAAGGCCAACGTCCAACCTGGTGTCTTGATACTTCCCCATCAGCCGAAGACAATATTACTCCTCTACCCCTATTGCATTGTCCCTCATCCTACCGTGTACTTGAACGATCATGTCTGCCTCAGTCGCATTTCACCTAGAGGCATTGGCCGAGCGGTTTTCCAAGGCTGCTCAGGACCTCCGCTCGGGGAACCTCTCATTAGAGAACGACACCACACAACGCATGGACCTGCTGAAGGCCGGCAGCGACCTGATTGATATTGTCGGCCTACCTAAGGACAAGGCCCTGTTCTGGCTGCCACAATGTGCACACATCACTGCTATTCGCCTATTCATCAAGTGGAAGGCTTTTGAGGCGATCCCACTCAACGACGATGCCGCTATCTCGGAGTCCGATTTGGCTGCCAAGCTGGGTGCCAACCTATCTCTCATCAGTAAGACTCCCTGCCTACCTGGGAGGTTTATAACAAGATAGGATGCTAATTGGGGGCCAAGCGCGTGTCTCTCGCGTCCTCGTCGCGAATAACACCCTCAGAAGAGTCGGAACCGACAGCCTCGCACACACAGACTTCTCTAAGATCTTCACAACCGCCAATCCCATCCGAGAGATGACTCAGATTGGGTAGGTTGACACATCAGCTTCAGTAAAACGTGCCCGAAGCGGTACTAACCCCTCCCACCTCAAAGTTTCGACAGCCAGCTGAAATCCTGGGTGTCCATGCCGGAATATTTCGACCGCTTCGGCATCGCCGACGAGCCTACGGATCGCCTCCAAACCGTCATGGCCTTCGCTCACGGGCGTCTGGGCTCCAACGTCTGGGATGTGTGGCACAGCTCTGAAGAGCGTTTACAAGCATTTATGCTAGCCATGGGGGCCATCGAGGAGCAGATGCCCTCGCTAGGTATCTACGATCTGAGTTGGGCGGCAGCGGAGGCGACCAAGTCACCGGACCGCGTGCTGGTAGTCGACGTCGGCGGCGGTAGGGGCCAAGCGCTCAAGGGCATTCTTCGGGCGACGCCCGGAATCCCAGCTGGCCGGTGTGTGTTGGGGGACCTTCCCGAGGTCGTGGAGGCTACGAAGAGAGAGGTCCCCGAGCTAGCTGAGGTGAAGATGGTGGCTACGGACTTTTTTAAAGAGCAGCCAGTCAAAGGTGAGTTTGCCGCTAAACCCTAAAGCTCCCATCAAAGGAGACAAACTAATAACCCCTCAAGGAGCCTTGGTGTACTACATTCGCCGATGTCTGCATGACTACTCCGATGAGGAGTGTGTCAAGATTCTGCAACACATCTCGGATGCTATGGCAGCGGACAGCAGGTTGTTGATCGTCGAGACTCTCCTCGGTGACAAGCCGTCGGCCTTCCAGGCAGCTATGGACCTCTCGATGCTCGCCATCTCAGGCAAGGAGAGAACTCTAGCGGGCTTCCAAGAAATCACGGGGAAAGCAGCACTTAAGATTACCAAGGTTTCTCAAAACCCCGAGGGCAGTGCCGTCATCGAGTGTACGCGAGTTTGAGCGCGAAAAGGGAACTGAAACTAATGCCGGGCTCCAGCTCAAGATATGTACGATAGAGGACCGTGTTTTAACATATTAATCTCTTCTCCTTATAATTACAAATTCTGCGCTTCCGGGTAATTTAGAGGCACATTACAGGAACAGGTCGTTAACTACTTATGTTATAACGCTGTACCAAAATACAGCGACACCCCGAAATCGGGTAGTCATAAACTAGATGAGAAGAAAAAAACACTGAAGGAAGCTAGGAGTATAAAACTTATAACCTAGGCAGTAACCTGGCCTTTTTCACCCTTTACAGGGGTGGCGGCACTTTGTTGAAGTTGGGTCGGAAATGGAGTTTCCCTAGCCCATATCCTATGTGAGTGGGCGTAACCACCTGCAATTTTGGACCTCACTTTTTACTTTGCATTCTGTCCGTGGGGTGCTGCTTTCATCGCCGCCATCTTGATGCATCTGGGACATGGCTCGGAATGGTTTCCGTGAGGAGAACGATACGGTCTAGCACGGAAGATATCGCGAGGAATTTATCACACACATGGTCAACTTACTCTCAAGTCGACATCGAGGACCTTCAATGAAGTGGGGGGACAAGGCTGTCGAAACCCCCTGCAAGTGCCGCACTTGAATTGAGTGGGCCGCGATTCGCCCCACAGAAATTTTGGAGGCACCGGAACTGGGCAGCGCCAGGCTTGAACAAAAGCTTTGTCCGAGTCCGTATCAATCCGTCCGCGAAACCACCTGCATCTGCTACCGTTCTACCCCGTCAGTTTTTTGACACCGAACAGAATCACGCACATCACAATGTCGGCGCAAACATCACGAACCGCTGTGGTTGCAACGGCAACTGTTGCCGCTCTGGCCACCGGCTTGCTAGGTATGCCCCTCTTGGTTGACATCGGCATCGCGTGCTCCAAGTGCAAGCCTCCAAGCCAATGGTGGGGGGAAGTACCTGGGACGATCAGAGACTGACTTCGGCCTATTCTCGTCAACCGATAGCCTACGCTGCCTACTTCGATTACCGCCGCCGCAACAGCGCCGATTTCCGCAGGCAATTGCGCCGCAACCAGCGCCAGCAACAACGCGCTGAGAAGAGCCATGCTGAGGCGAGTGCTGTCGCCCAGCGCCAGGCCATCAAGGACGCTGTCGACGATGCCAAGGAGGAAGGCTTCCCCGCGAGCGCCGAAGAGAAGGAGGCGTACTTCCTAGAACAAGTCCAGGCCGGCGAGGTTTTGGGCGCTGATCGTATGTTGTCACGACCAACCCTTCCTACCCCTTGTTCTCTCACCCTGCTATGATTTCCCGGTCGTCGCCGAGCCACGCAATATAACGGAGCGGGTTGGCTAATCTTCTCTCCACAGCTTCCAAGGCTACTGAAGCCGCTATCTGCTTCTACAAGGCCCTTAAGGTTTACCCCACTCCTAATGACTTGATCAGCATATACGACAAGACTGTCTCTAAGGTACGAACGATTCTGGGCTTACCCAGGGCGGCTGATGCCCTACAGCCCTGCCTCGATTGTCGCTTTATGATGAAAACCTGGCCCCTCCACCCGTATAGTCCACCAGTCTGACCCTGCTTTTCGCATAGCCCATCTTGGATATCCTCGCCGAGATGATTGCGTACGACGGGAGTCTCCGGATCGGCACCTCGTATACCGGACCCGCGGGCGTCGATGTGGCAGAATTGATGCGCGAGATGGGGGCCGCCCCAGGCGTCGGCCTGGACTAAATCCGGATTCATGTACCACTTTCAAACCACCGTGGGCACCAGAAGTACGGCAGGCCGAGACGGGCTTCACAACGATGATTTGCCTTATATACCTGTCCGGCGTGTCGACACACACCACCTCGCAACTCCCACCGCAAGCCTCCCTCCATCCATCCGCTGGGGAAATAAAAAATCACCTTGAATTTGCTACGGCCGGATTGCTTTCGGCTAGGGGGAGGCTATAACAACGGCATCTCAACTGTATGATAGGGGTCTGCTCCCCTTGGCTGGCAAAGGGGACGGAAACGGCCCGCTCGTCCAACTATTTAGTGCGGACCACCGCTAGGATTGAGCCAGATGTAAGAAAAGAGATTTTGACAGATACTGTATACCTAAAAATACATCGTGTGGAGTAGGGCGTCTGCTAGAGCTGCTCTCAGCTTATTGGCAACACCTGCACCTTTCACGATCAGGAAGATGTGATTTAGCTTTGACATATTCACAGGATAGGTACTGTATGCAACGATACTATTTTTGTCTTCACTTTTGGACGACTAGCCCGCCCTACGCCGCTTCTATTGGCCGCCCCTTCTTATCGACCCTCTGGTCCCTCGGATCGAACCCGCCATTTCCCCAGGTCGCCCACTCGGGCGTCGGCGGGCCCATGTAATCCTCTGGCGTGAAGTCACCGTCGGGGCCTTTCTCCTCCAGCAGATCAAAGAACCGGTCATAGTCGATCAGCGTATGCCATTTCCCATCAACTCGGAACCGTTCGCTTGCCAGCAAAATGCAACAGCTGTGCGCATGCTCCGCGGCAATACCATATGCTAGCCCACGTCGACGCAGCGCAGCCTCCAGCGCCACTACGAAGTCGCACACTTCCTGATAAAACGGCACGTTGGCCATAGTCAGGCCAGCGCTGCCAGCCGTGGAGGTGCCGCAATAGGTGACGCCCTTGACTTCGACAAAGCAGGGGAGACCCTTCTCGACCAAGTCGGCATACCCCTCGGCCTCGTCCTCCACGTTGAAGCCCTTGACCAACGTTAGGCGAAACACAGTGCGCTGGCGGAAGCGGCGCTCGCGAAGAATGTCGAGGCAGCGCTGGAAGCGCTCCCAGAAGTCGCGGTGGAGGGGCCGGTCGATGCGGCGTAGCGATTCGCGATTCGAGGCGTCGATGCTGACGTACAATTGTGTAACATGGTTGAGCGCAGCGAGTTGGTCAGGATGTTGTGCGTTGCAAACGAGGAAGGACGAGATACGCTCGCTGTGCAGCATGCCTAGGAACTCGTTGATGTGTGGGTAAAAGATGGGCTCGCCGACGAGCGAAAGTGCACAGTGCCGGATGCGCATCGCCTCGGCGAACCGTTCGGCACGCACGCCGGGTACACCGCGCATCATCTTGATCTTCTTGTAGTGGTTCTCCTTGACTCCATCAAAGATGAGCTGTGGTGGGTCTACTACCCACCGCCAAGTCGTGCCGACCGGGTTGGTGCCGTGACGCCAGCAAAAGACGCATTTGTTGGAACAGGACAGGGACGGGGTCGACTCCATGCACTGGTGCGAGTTGATACCGTAAAAGGAGAACTTGTAGCAGGACCCTCGGCCGCGGAGGGCTGACTTGGTCCAGCGACAGATCTTGACCCCTGAGTGGGAGCCCACAATCGAGTACCCTTGTTTGGTGAGCGCGGCGTAGGTGGGTGAGCTTTTGGGAACCATTTCCTTCACAGTAACGGTGACGGCTTTCTTCTTGGGGATCGATTTTCCTTCGGTGGTGAAATCGATGGCTAGAGGAGCCGTTGTCTTCTTCTCTGGACCATCCGTCCGCGACAACTCCATAATCCGGCCAATATCTTCCACATCCTCCAGGCTCCCCGAACCGCCCTTCCCTTTCGTCGCTTTGGGCACAGAAGCCTCTTCAATCAAGACCTCCTCATCGTCTTCCACCTCTTCTTCGTCGTCGCTTTCGAGCGGGTCTCCCGATCCTGGGACACCGTCCCCAAGCGCGCCAGTCTTCTCCAGCTGTTTCAAAACGTCTGTCAAACCCGTTCGCCATTCTAACAGTCGCTCCTTACCATCCCTCTTCCAGTCGCCCATTCCAAGAGGGTATGCGCGTTTCCTTCCGCTCAACTTGGCCATCCATTTGTCCACCTCCTTAGCCTGGAAGCAGTACCCCTCCTCCTCGGTCGGCCAACCTTCCCTGTCCCCAAAACCAAACACCGAATAGCCTAGGATCGGAGCGAGCGGAGAAGTGTCAATGCGGAAGTCATGGTGCGTTTCTTGGAGGTGTTCGAGAAATGTGTCGTTGATGCTGTCAATGTTGTAGCTAGGGATCGCAAAGAGGTAGAAGTAGTCTGTCGGTTCGGCTTCGGATTTGGGGGGTGTAATAAAGTATTCGTCGAAGTCGATCTCGGAGATATCGAGAACTTGTGGTGGGAGGAATTTTGTGCCCGGCTTCTGTCCCCCTGACGCTCCAATGGATGCTGCCAACTCTTCGACAAACTGTTTCGTGATATTCGGGGTGGTGGCGGTCAAAGATGAGTAGAACATTAACACTTGGATTTTGCGTGTTTCGCTTCCACTGTCTGTACTCCCATGACCTTTCTTGGTAACATCGCCTTTTATCCTCCGGGGGCCTTGCCTCGCCCCTTTCTTTTCGTCAGCCACTTTTGGGCTCTCAGATGTCTCCGAGTCATCTCCCTGAACGGTCGCTTTCACTTTCTGATTGTCAATAGGCCTGTCTTGTTGCGGCAATTTCTCATACGACTCCGAGAAGGTCTGGAGCCCCTCCTTTTCTTGGGTCGAGTGTAGATATATCCGGAGTAAACCCAACACGAACAAAGTCGACAGTATGATAGGAATCCGATGCTCGTGCCACAATTCAAGGACGTCTTTAAAACAGTCAGTCATCATGTTGATTTCGCACAAGACAGCCCAAAAGGTAACAAACAGTGCGCAATCTCCTCGGTAAGGGACGGGCTCACGCCCCTACTATTGGGGAACATGGTGGGTAAGAGAACCCTAGAGGTACGAAGACGGTACACCCGAAAATCGCCAATGGGTTGTTTGATGTTGTGAAAAGTTTCAGAGGGGCCCGAAAGAATGCCCCGCAGCGGCGTGCCGTTAAGCTTATCAGGCCCTATCGTAGCACGCCACTGACCCACTGTATGTACGGGGACTGGCACTAACAGGGGGGTCGGATCACACCACAAGCATCTCCACTGAAATAGGTAGGGAGGGACGTTGGTATCGAAACGGTAATATTCGGTTTCTGTGATTGGGCCGGTCAAATTCACTCGCTGGCCAACCCTGTGCCGCTCGTCAGTCATGAAGACACAGGTCATTGAATGCGAACACTATGTGGCCTGGAGAAGTCTGTACCTTTGTACTTAGATAAATACTGGACGTTACATCGAGATAGGCATGTCCAACCCATTGACCGCGAGACCCAACATGTTGAGAAAATAAGAAACAAAACAAGACCAGCTTTCTAGATCACTATATCCTCAAATCCGCTAAATCCTCATCTTTATACCCATCGTCTACTTCATTGGCCACTCCTCCATTCGCATTCACCCTTGCGCCTAGTCCACCATCATCAGCGGAGGCCGGGACAGCAGCGCTTTGCCCGGCATCTTCTTGCGCCTCTGCCTCCTCCTTACCCTCATCCTTACGACCGATGATGACATTGCCTGCCACAAGTAGGGCGGCACCCAGCCACCACAATGGCGGCAGAGCCTCAGAGAAGATGGCAAAGCCGAGGATGGCAGTGAGTACGAAGTTGGCCGAGGTGTTCATGATGGAAACTTGTGTCGTTGAGTTGCCCCGGGCAAGCGCAGTTGTAAAGAGCGTCCACATCTACTGTTGTTAGCTAGCGCACGAGACATATGTGCCCCAGGAAATAGGTAGGAAGAGAAAAAGAACAAGAGAGGCCAGACATGTGTTCCTCAAGGAGTCGCAGTAGATACATGATCCGAAATGAGAAAGGAAAAAGTAAAAGACTGAAACTCGAATGCGCTTACAATGCCGTTGAAGACCAGGTTCAGCCCAAAGAAGGACTGGTTCTTTAATTAGCTTATTGCTGTTTCACTCATCAAAAAGGAAGATACGACTGAGAGACTTACACCACGAACGATAACTTCAATAACACCCTCCACATGCTCCAACCCCAGCAACCGCGCAAGGCCCATCGAGAGCTTTGTTGTTAGTTCCGTGGTAGTTCTACCATCAGGGCCGCCTTGTTAGCAACCCTAACCACTTAATCCCGCCCAAGGCAAAGCTCAGAACCACCTCAAACTCACAATTTCGCGAAAACCCCATTAAACGCCGCACACCCCCCACTAGCCAACGCGAAAACAATCCATTGGTTGCGCTGCGCCCAGGTCTTCGTTTCCGGCTCCCCCGCTGTCAATGGAGCCGTCAATGGAACTGGAACAGCCGTTGGGACTGCCTCTAGGGGCGCCGGAACCGCCGTTTCAGTACCGGCGAGACCGTCAAGGAGCGGCCGGCGTTCCTCATCTGACGTAACCGCGCTCATCTCATCCTCGTCGTCAGCGACCGCGACGCGTTTCTTGGACGAACGAGTAGCGGGCCTGTTTCTTTTGGTTACCGCTGCTGGGGTTAATGATGATGTTGAAGTTGCTGTGGTTTCTGACGCGGATTGGCTTTCCGGGTTGCGTTTGCGTGGACGGAGTGTTGGCATTGTTTTGAGTGGGATTCGAGCAGCAAGATCTGGGAGTTCTCTGTGGCACAGGGTGCTGCTCGCTTGGTGGGTCGGTTTTCTCCGAAGCCCGTTTCGTGGAGCTTACAGACGTTATATGATTGGGAAGTCGGTCAAGAATTACCTCTTGTGGTTTCGTCAATTTGCGTTAGTTTTTGCTAACATGAAGAAGAAACCGCGGTGTTTTGTCTGGGTTTGTTGTAAATGGGAGATCTTCGGTCCGCCCGATGAATTGAGCTAATGTGACAGGGGTCGTGAAGCTTCCACAGCGCCTGGGACATCGCCTTATGGCGACACATTGTACAGCTGATTGACTCGGGAACGAGGACTCGACAAGAGAGATAGTTTATATTGTTATACAGCAATACGCCCAGAATGAACCATCTCGTACGATGCGGAATGACCAGTTCCAGGTCGCGACCAAAACGCCAAATACCCTAAGGTTGTCCCATAACCGTGATTGCGTGAGTCCCAAACCAACGCCAGTCGTAAACCATAAAAGCAATCGCAAAGTGCACCGAGCCGTCAGGCCGCGAAAAGCAACTGAGGCCTCAGATGATAACTGAGGAAATTCGACCAAGGACCCCTGCATGATTTGCACGCCGACCCTTCTCGAAAGGGCCTTAACCGTCTAAGCTCATGCTCTTCTTCACTCCCATCGCTTCACAAATGGTTCCGGTTTGACCTGCAGGAGGCCGGGTTCCGTCTTGATTCGCACGTCACCTCTTAGCTGCTCCTCTGAGGTTTCCGGCTCCAGCTTCACCTCTTGCTTCACCTCTCGCTTCACAAATGGTTCCGGTTTGGCCTGCGGGAGGCCGGGTTCCGTCTTTATTCGCACGTCACCTCTCAGCTCCTCCTCCGGGGTTTCCGCCTCTTGCTTCACCTCTTGCTTCACCTCTTGCTTCACCTCTTGCCCCACCTCTTGCTTCACCTCTTGCTTCGCTGTTGGCTGTTGTATCGACACCTGTTCCAGACGGGGAGAATTGTCCTATTTCTCCTCGGTCTTCTTGGAGCTGCAGCTGACAATCTTGACTTTGTCGGCCTGAATCGTCTGCCCGCCGCTATCGAGCTTGAACGTGACGTTGCGGATCAAGAAGGTCCACACTTCGTCGCAGAACCGGTAGGTGTCAAGAGAGCCCTGTTGTAAAAGAAGCAGAGTTAGTCTCGTTGACTATTGAGACGTTTGTGCCTGCAGTCGTGAGGGGGGCAACGGTTTAGACTTGGTCACCAAGGGGCAGGTTTACCTTGAATGACAGCCTCGCCTTGACCTTCTCATTCAGCGTCTCGGCAATAACGCGATCGAACTGCGTAAGAACTTTCATAGCGAGCTGCGGGTCGATGCGCTCGTCGCCGATCAACTCGTCCAGCGCATCGGTCAAGGCCACACCGAGACTACCGTTTGTCAGCCAGCCAGAACCAAAGCCGATGCATCGCACGAATTGGACGCGCGGGCCCGTGAAACACCCGGTAAATGGCAGGTTTACCTTCCATGACGATACAAATCGTAGTAGGTGTTAGATGAGTTCGCCATTTTGCCTCTGTTTGGTCGCCGTGGTTCTGGGCGGTTGATGGTAAAAGTGATTGTGGAGGGGGAAGTTGCCTGTGTTCCTCGAAGTTTAGGTAAGCCCATAACTAGCCGAGCCAGCAAGTGTACAGGGAAGCCTTGGAGGATTGAATCACGTGACCTTGCTTTCGCGGCGGGCCTTGGCGGTTGGCCGCGCCGCTGGCTGCGTCTCCGACCAACCACCAACCCAGGAACATCGGTAGCTTGCGACTTGGGAGTGACGACTGACTGGCGCTCTGGGGAACTCAACATCTCGAACCGCGCTAAACATCGACCCTCCCGAAACACATATTCGATTGCGCGACAACGAAACACACAGCACCGGGCACAATGGGTTACTATTACGGGGCTGGCGGGATAGGGACTACCCTTTTGATTGTGGGAGCTTGTGAGTTTTGACGATTCTCGGAGGCCGGGGGATGAATTGGCCAAGCTGCTTGGTTGTTGGATGTTGTTGCTGACGACGCAATCTTGCGCGCCAAAACAGATATGCTCTTCACTGGCGATGGTGAATCATTTAATGTATGACAACCGATCGAAATGGATTTCCAGTCTTTCCCTCCGCGATACTTCGCGATAGCTCGCTCACACGACGAACCCTTCTCTCTTTAGGTCGGCGCCTTTCTCGAATCAGTCTCGCCTTACGCGTGGGCAGACTTGGGCATTGCGCTCTGCATAGGACTTTCAGTAGTTGGCGCAGCATGGTACGAACCCCCGATATCGACCCAATTCTTTCCACCACGGAATCGAGCTCGCAAGAACAACAAGCCATAATGTTAACCAATCAACTCTCACAGGGGCATTTTCATCACGGGCTCGTCCATCCTAGGCGGCGGTGTTAAGGCGCCCAGGATTCGCACCAAGAACCTGATCTCCATCATTTTTTGCGAGGTTGTCGCCATCTACGGGGTCATCATGGCCATTGTCTTCTCCGCCAAGATCAACCCAGTCGAGGGTGAGGCGGCGTGGTCACCCGAGACGTACTACACCGGCTACGCACTCTTCTGGGCCGGCATCACCGTCGGGATGTGCAACCTAATCTGCGGTGTTGCGGTTGGCATCAACGGCAGCGGTGCTGCGTTGGCGGATGCTGCTGATCCTACCCTGTATGTGCCCGCTCGGGAGGATTGCTTCGTCGTGGTCGGAGTTGCTAACAGTATCCTTTTCCCTGCAGGTTCGTCAAGATGCTGGTGATTGAAATCTTCAGCTCCGTTCTGGGTCTATTCGGCCTGATCGTCGGACTACTCGTGTCCAACAAGGCGACCGACTTTGGCAGCGTCTAGGCGCCCGGTTTCATTCACATCAAGATTCACACACCACCCCCCACATAAATTTCACCCACGCATCCCACGACTCTCGCAAATTGGATTCAGACTTCAGCGGCAAAGCGTGTCTGTGTAGCTTCTTCGTTATCAAACGGCGTTTCGGAAGAGGGGAAGGGACGGTCAAACTAGGCATGGTTGGCATCATCTCGCACCAGTTGTAGAAGTGCGAAGTGTACAGAAAGAGGTTCGTCGGGCCATATGTTATTTATTTACTTGGTTGTTATCTCCATTGATCGTACTTGAAATTGCGTTTCCTCTCTTGCCGTTTGTTTTGTTACATTACACAGTGCTCCGTAAGCTTCCCATCAACAGTGCTTCGACCTTGGCGCCCTTGGGCAACGGCTCCGGCCCGCTGGGCATACACAGCAACGCATTAGCACTCTTCAAGCTGCCCACCCGGGAACTCCGTTGGCCACCCGTGCTAGTGGCGGTTAGAACGCCGTCGCTTCCGACAGAGACGATAGCTCGGTGGTACTCAGGCCGCGACCTGTCGAGTGAAAAGTCGTGGGATAAAACAACCGAGATGCGTGGTAGCCCTGGTGGACTGATACCCGACATTTGGCGCAATGATGGGAGCACAAATAGGTGGAAGGTCACCAACGCTGAGGCAGGGTTGCCAGGCAGGGAGAAGATCGCCTTAGACACCCTCTCCCCGTCGTTCGTTTTCACCGGCACGGTCGCAAACGTGGTCGGCTTTCCCGGCTTCATCGCCACGCGGCCGAAGTGGATGGTCCCCCCGAGTGAACGCTCGATGGTCGGCTTGAGCAGGTCCAGCTCACCCATGGACACGCCCCCTGTGGTGATGACGAGATCGGTTCGACGCAACCCGTCCCGCAATACCTCCTCCAACGAACCCGGCCGGTCACTAGCAATGCCCAGGTCGACGACCTCAAACCCCCACTCCCGCGCCGCCGCGATCAGTCCCGGCCGGTTAGTGTCGCGCACTTCGCCCAGCCGAAGCGGGCCCTCGCGGTTGTGCTCTACGATCTCGTCGCCCGTGGACAGCACGCCAACCACAGGCTTCTTGTAGATCTGCACCTCCCGCACGCCCACAGACGCTAACATCCCAATCTCCCCACCCGTGGCCGAAATCTCTTCGTCTTTCCCCATGATCTCCGTCCCGGCCTCAACGTCGCTGCCCACCTCGCGGATGTTTTCCCCGGCATTGACGCCCTGCGCCAGGATCTCCACTTCCTTCTCCTCCACCACCTCCTGTCCTTCCGACGAGGATACCGATGGCCTCGTCGAGACAAGAACGGTATCTTCCACCATCACGACCGCCGTAGCGCCCGGCGGCAGTGGTGCCCCTGTCGTAATGCGCGCTACCTGGCCCTCTTTCAACGTCTCTGCCCCTCCGTCTGCTGGCGAGGCGTGCGATACCCCCACAACGGGGTACACACCCCGCATATCCGCCCCCTTTCCCCCGCCGTTAGGCACAACCACAGCATATCCGTCCACGATACTAGCGCGAAACGCCGGGACAGATTCGGTGGCGTGTACGGGGGCTGCGAGCACAGACCCCGTGAGTGAAGGTGTCACGGGGGCAGTGATGATGGTTGGTGCTGGGGTATGCTCGGCGATGAGGGCGAGGGCGTCGGGGATGGAGATCATAGGGTAAGGAGATGAGCGGTGACGGCGAGAGGGGCCAAGGGAGGGGTCGTTGGAGCGGTGGGCGGTGGCGAATGCGTCGGTGTGGCGGACGGGGGTGGGGTGGGAATGGCCGTGAGAATGGCCATGGGAGTGGTCATGGTGGTGATGATGGTGGTGGTGGTCATGGGAGTGGGAATGGGAACCGGGTTGGGACTCGGCTTGTGAATGAGCGGTGTTCGAACTCAAGCCTGCTTCCTTCTCTAGCTTCTTGACGCCACCGGCATGGAGTGACCGAGAGTCTGCGCCGGCGGCTTGCAGGCACGCATGGGGTAGAGTCTTGATAACAGCCTGGAGGTTCTCTCTCGCACCCTTGGGCGACCCCGGTAGGGTAAGGATGACAGTCTGGTTCCGCACACCGGCTACGGGTCGCGACATCATGGCAAACGGCGTGACGGCCAGCGATGCTGCTAGCATACCGTGGACGAGTCCCGGTGCCTGCTTGTAGAGGAGTACCGAGACGGCCTCAGGCGTGTGATCGGCCACGGCAAAACCCGTCCCGCCGGTGGTGAGCACCAAGTTCACGGGCCGCTCGGCAGCGGTGTCGGTCCATTGGGTGATTTGTTGCTGTATCTGTGTGGTGACGTCGCTCACGATCTTGGTCTCAACGACTTGCCAGCGGCCGCCGCCCTCCTGATCAAAGACATCGCGCAGAGCGGCGCCGGCAGCGTCGGTTGAGGGATCCTGGGCAGCGGTCGTCGAAACGACGAGAATGGCGGCCGTGAGCGGAACCGACGACATCGAAGTTTTGCTGACCGGGCGTGTGGTAGCTGCGGGTTATGGATGATTGGGAACTGTGAGCGTGGGGGAAGCTCAATAATTATGTATTGAGAGACGTGGGGTTCTCGGTTGAGCGCGGGGTTGTGGGGCCGGTTCCCAGCGGGGCATCACGGGCAGCTCCGTCAGCCACATGGGGGTAGTCACGGCCTCTAGTACCTACTACCCATTTAAGTAAACTGGGTAACTCTCGCATCGAACAAGGCTCCGTCGATTCCTAGTTTCCGGGAGGAGGAGAGCATACCTGGGATTATTGCCTCTGGGTCTTCCTGCGGTACCTAGCTTAGGTCGGGTGGTCTAAAACCAGTAAGCATACGGACACATGTGTACACTACATAGTACGTCGATTCCACGAGCTGCAAGTGAGGAGATAACCTACCTGGTAATTGTTTGATTCTGCATGTCTCGTTTACCCTTTCAGTTATGCCGAGGAGACCCCACTACCTCCAAGCTTGAGAGTGAACGCGGGAGTAAATACCTGCTTCATCCTCTCACCCTCATGATAGACCGTCAGTTATTTTACAACATGTGTATTTGATAGGGAAAACGCAACATAGTCGTTTTCTTTTTGAAGCCCCGGGTAGGTAGTGTCCGTCTTGTCAGGCTGTGCTGTTGGTGACCGAGACTGATTGTATGCTCAATGGCTTATCGATAAGGCCACTCGCTCATAACTTAAATTACGCCCTTGAAATAAATCCGCTGTATTTCTTTCCCCCAGCTTCTCGTCACAAAATCACGAATCGACCCCTGGCAATAAACAGGAGTACCAAGGAAGGTAAAGGAATGGTATAATCAAACAAAAACCATGGTCCGCCTCAAAGATCGCTATCTCCTCGTCAACATCATCTACACAGATCTGCCCCCTGGTCAGGCTCCCACCACAAAGGCCAACAACAACAACAACGCAACCGTGTCCGACCTGCTCCTTTATAACCAGCCGACGAGTAATTACCTACGCCCACAACTGCTGTTGCGCGCCATTCGCGCCGAGGTTGCCGTGTTATTCGGTGACTGTGGCGCGGGGGCTGTGGATCGGAGTCTTCAAGGTAATTTTCCCCATGTTTATTTACTCTCTTATTATCTGTCCACGTTACTTAATTCGCTTGCTCTAGTGAAATATCTATCCACGGCAACCTCAACCTTCATCCTGCGCGTCTCTCGCGCGCATTACCGATTGGTATGGGCTGCGCTAGCGTTCATGGGACACGTGCCTGTGTTCGGTAGCGGTGCTTCCTCCGGGAACGGCAGTAGCAGCGGTAGTGGCGGCCGGCCGTGTGTGTTTCGTGTCGTACGCGTTAGCGGGACGGTGCGCAAAGTCGAAGAGGAGGCGGTGCGGCGGGCGCGGTTGTTGGTGTTGGCAGCAAGAGGAGAGATGGAGGGTGGGAAGGGAGGTGAGAAAGGGTCGGATGCGTTGGGGGCGTTGCTGAGGGGAGGTAGTGGTAGTGGGAGTGAGAATGGGAGGGGGGATCAGGGGGTGGGCGGTGTAGAGGATGGCGAGATGGGGATGGAAGAGGAGGACGTGTTTTCGGAGGAAGATGGGTGATTTGATCCTTGGTCGGATGGATGGATGGGAGAGGACGACATTGGAGACACACAGCAACACGACGGCGACAGCAACATGATTACTTTTTCTTGCGCGCTACCCGGATCCCGCTATTAGCTACCGAAGGCCCCGACAAGGAGCCAAGCAGACTATCGCCTGACGACTCAGCAGCAGCCTCCGCCTGCGCCTGACGCAACTCGTCTTGCTGCTCCTCCTCTTTCCGTTCCATCTCGTCATACCACTCCTTATTATCAACCCACCGCTCCTGGATATCCTGGACCTCCATCATCGACGACTCATTGCGCATTGCGACCTGCCAGATCGTGTCGTTCGTACCCTCCGCTCCGCCAAACACATACCCGCTCGCCCGATCAATCACCCGCAAGAGGTGCATGATGCTCTTCTTGTTCTCCACCGCGAGCACCTCGAAGCTAACCAGCCCGAACCGCTCGACCAAGTCGGCCACCGCCTGGTTCAGCCGCCCGAATTTCTCGTTCCGCATCGCTGGTGACTCGGCCTCGAGCGAAGGCATGAGGTACGACAGGTCCTGCACCTCGGTGTAGTAGTCGAGATTGAATGGAAGCGGGTCGTAGGCCGAAATCTTATCGATTTTGGTGAGGACGTTTATGTGTGGCAGGTCCATCTGCAGCATAGCACGCAGCGCGAGGAGGATGTTGGAGATGTAGAGCGACGGTTGGGTCAGGCAGAAAGAGTCGGAGAGGTGGACTGCTACTAGCTGTTGTCTGTTAGCATCTCATCATCACGACAAGGCGCGCCGGCGCCGCTTCTCACGCCGGCCAAACATACCCTATATCCCATCTTTTGTAACCTAAAAAATATGTTGCGCAACGACGTGTGGTGCGTATACAGCTCGACCTGCCCAGGGCAGTCAAACAGGATATAGTCATCGCCCAGCTCTTTTAACCCCTCCTCGAGCCACTCCAGGTTGTGTTCCAGCTCCTCCAGCGCATATAGGATCCCCCCGTTCGGCCCCAGTCTGTCGTCCGCCATGATCTCTTCTAATGTCACAAGGTTACGGATGTCAAGCGCGCACGGGTAGTTGGTGTGGTCGTTGGCGGGGTCGAGGTTAACAACGGAGCATTGGCGCCCAATCGCCCCCATGAACTGGTGCACTATAAGCTTTCAGCAATCTTTATCATCCTGCCGTATCCAACGCGGCTAGTTATCATGGTGGTCCTTACTGCCATCGCAATATGTACTCTTACCCGCACCGGGGCTGCCGATGACGAGCTGTCCGAACGGCATTTTGGTTGGTGGAACGGCCGGGGTTTGGGTGTGAGATTTCAAGTAGAGCCGAAATTTGAAGTGAATTTTCTAAATGATGAATGCGCATTCAACAACGAGCTGTTTCGCCATGTGCTTCGAGCTCTAGAATGTTCGGGGTTGCGAGATGCCGGAACGACCCACCCCACCACCATGCTGCAGGCGACCGAAGGCACCCCACCATTGCACTCCCAGCTGCAGAAATTCGGCGGTGTGTCTTGGCAGAACTGGACCCTTGTTTACCTCTCCTTGTTGCCCGGGCTGCTTCCTGGCTCGCGACGTCCCATTTGACGGGAGCTAGTTGAAGCTCCCCACGTCAATTCTGAACCTCTTTCTATCTCCAACCCAAATCAGTCACCACCATGGCACCCGGTATGTTTGCTACTAATTGAACTTTTCTTCTTCGTTTCTTTAGTTATCCATGCTAACAACCATGTGCAGCAACCCAATTCGAAGTGGCGCAACCGCCCAAAGACGCCATTTCCGCCCTCGATTTCGCTCCCGGCGCATCTCGACGGCTACTAGTTTCGTCATGGGACAAGAGTGTGTATCTCTACGAAGTCGCCAACGGTGCGGAGGAAGCGAGTCTAGTTGGGTCGTTTGAACACCGCGCGCCCGTCCTAGATGTGTGCTTTGGTGCCGATGAGAACGAGGCTTTCACTGCGGGTGTGGATCATCAAGTCAAAAGGTGTGTTAGCGCATCACCACTAAACTCGGCGGTTGGGGGAAACACTAGCTGATATGATGTGTTAGACTCGATCTCAAGACAGGGGAACAGACTACTTTGAGTACACACGGCGCGCCAGCCCGCTCCGTCGCCTACAGCGCCCAGTATTGTAAGGATACCACTTCATCTCCCCCTCTTCTCTTTGAACCCATAGAAAGCCCCCAACTAATCGACTTGCCCCCCGCGCAGCCCTCCTCATTTCTGCCTCATGGGACAGCACCCTCCACGTCCATTCCACAACCGCCTCAGCTCTTCAACAACCCCAACAACCCCTAACCATCCCCCTTCCCGGCAAACCCCACGCCCTCGCCGCCAGCCCGACCAAGCTCGTCGTTGCCATGACCGCCCGCCTCGTCCACATCTACGACCTCCCCACCCTCGCCGCCGCTCTCTCCTCCTCCCAACCCACCCCGCCCCAGCCCTGGCAACAGCGCGAATCCTCCCTCAAATTTCTCACCCGCGCTGTCGCCTGCATGCCCAACGACGCCGGCTACTCCACCTCCAGCATCGAGGGCCGCGTCGCCGTCGAATGGTTCGAAGACAGCGCCGAGTCGCAGGCGCGCAAGTACGCCTTCAAGTGTCACCGGCAAGCTGCGCCCGAGGAAGACGGCGGCGGTGATGTCGTGTTCCCCGTCCACGCGCTTGCGTTCCATCCGGTCTACGGCACATTTGCGTCGGGTGGCGGAGACGGGACTGTCGCGTTGTGGGATGCCGAGGCGAAGCGGCGCATGCGGCAGTACCAAAAGTTCCCCGACAGCGTGGCGGCCCTGGCGTTTTCGGGTGATGGGCGCTTCCTGGCCATTGGTGTATCTCCCGGTTTCGAGACGGGCTCAGAGCAAGATTATACCGGAGAGGGGCGTGCCAAGGTGTTTATCCGGGAGCTGGGCGAGACAGAGGCAAAGGGGAAAGGCCCCAAGTAAGACCCCAGCTATACCAAGGGGGTGGTAGCTTTTGTATGAGTGGGTATGGTAAAACGGTTCACCGGGGGTTTGGCGTTGATTGGGTCGAGACGATCAAATACTTTCAATCTAGTTTTGACTTGCATCATCAGGCGCAGTTTGTGGCACATGGCAATTTCTTGATATTGAGTCAGCCCATTTATGTTGCTAGGCAAAGCTAAGTGGTGTCCATAAGCTAAGTGCAGATGCTACAGCATAATGCGCAAAATCACTCCCGTAACTTGCCAAATCGGCGACTCATTGCCCATGTAAGTGGCAGTGCCATCTCTTCGCCCATCCGCAAACTCCCAGCCACTAGTTAGAACCGTGTCCACTGAGCAAAGCAGAAAAACGGCTCCTGAGTGAAACTATCCTCCCCATAGCCCTTGATAGAATCCCTCTTTACTGCTCACTTGCCCTCCGCCGCAGGCCCGCTGGACCTCGCATAATCAAGCGGGAAGAACCGCGTAAAGGCAATGGCGTGGGTGTCACCGACCTAGCCCTAGCTTCCTTTTGAATATGCCGTAGCGGACTCTCTGGCACCTTTCTCTCGTCACTCTCATGGGCTTCTATTTCCACCGACGTAAGCCCCTTGCATGCCAAAGGCACGAGGCACCCACTCTGAGAATCGTCGCTTCTTTCAACCATAGCCGTGGTGTGGTCCTTTCTGAGTGGTTGATTGCTCTTGACGGGCTTTTCGGTCTTGTCCACTGCGTTAACCCGAGGTTTCTCAGCTGTTGAGACAGAAGAAACAAGATCCTGTGTTTTAGCTTCGGTGTTGTCACAAACGCTATGCCCATGCCGCCCCCCCCCCTCGTCTTCAGGTCGGATTTGTTGAAGCCGTTCATCCTCTGTTTGCGTTGTGTTATTTTCGTGCTTATCCTTGGCGGGTACGTTTTCATGGTCTTGATTCAGTTGGCCCGGTTTGTCTACCAACCTCGCTACGACCGTGGCAGTCTCCTTCGCCTTTAAGCCGCTTGTTGAGTCCTTTTCCGCCTGTCTAGCGGGTTCCGGTGGTCGATTGGCGTCCTTTGGCGCTAAAGGTCGTCGAACCTTCTTCCTTGGGGCCGAAACAAAGGAGTTATCCTCGAACGTAGCCCGATGAGCTTGTCTTTTTTGCTTCACTGGTTGTTCCTTAGATTGGACTAGGTCAAGGGACCCCACATGGGGATTGATAAGTGCCTGTCTCCCACTCCGAGTGAGGAGGTTTGATCCCTTCAATCTTACTTCCCGGCCTGAAAACCCATCGCCTGGGTGAGACCGAAGTGCGGGAAGAGTTCTTTCACCCTGGGGGCTGTCCCTCAACTGCTTGTAGCCCCGGGCCTCTGTCCGGTTGAAGATGAGAAAGGGTCTTTTACGGAGGCTTCGAGTCCCATTACCCGTGCGTCTGTCGTGTTTGGGGTTGTAACCTAATGGTAGCTTAGAGTAGACCATGAGATCATCGTCGTCTTCGTTGTCTTCATTAGCCTCATCGCCTACATGTCCGTGGGTGTCGAGGTTGGCCCCCGAGCTTCGGGGTGGGGAAAGGGGTGAGAGCACTGCTTCTGTCAGATACAATAATTTCTTGGTCTCTAGGTAGGATCTAAGGAATGTACCATGATCATTAAACACCAAGGCATAGGAGCTATCTACTCCGTCGAAGTCATCGATCGGGGCTGCACCGTGTTCATTAATCCCGTGTTCCTGATCCACCGCTTCATTTCGGCCTCCAACCGCTTTCTCATTTGTAAAAGGCGAGCTGGGTGTAGTGATCTCCCAAGTATTCGGATCCCCAACACAAACCGGTCGTGGCTTGCTGATAGAAAATTCGTCTCGTTTCGGTTTCAGTGGAGGGAGGGCTGGAGTTCGGCTGCTTCTGCCCCGATGTGAATAGGTTCTTTGAAGCTTAGTTTTTGTGGAAGACAAAAATAATTCGTGCCGAAACCTTTGTATTTCATCCGGTGGATTGGTCATGGGATCCATAATGCTAGAGGAGAGAAAGAAGGGGGCAAAGTCAGGCCGCCCAACTTATTGACAGCACTTTTGGGGCAGCACACAGCTTTCTGAACATGATCACCATTCGATTATTATCCAGATGCAGAAATGGGCAATTGCAGTTATTGACTAAACCTACTGCAACGAAGTGGCAGGCGCTATGGGTTGTCTCATTGCTCGTGAGGAAGGAACTATCAACCGCACAAGTCGGCGGCCGAGGCCCGATGGGCGGCCCCTATAATCTAGGTCATCCGGGCCAATCGCTCATTCGAAGGGTCGGGCATACCCTGTGTATTACGTTTTGAAATAGCTAAAGGGCTTTCCTCTACTGGAATTTTGTAACTTCGAGGCTCTGTCTCAACCGAAAGCATAGCAGTCGCACTAAGGTGCCCCATGGCTTAGGGGTGAGGCGAGCCACAAGCTGACAGGAGCATGGCTAGGGGACAAAAAGGACTCTTCAGAATTGAAAGTTACCCATTCGGGATTTAACCCGCCTCCGATTGGCCGCCGAGAGCTGCCCGGGCGGCACATCGCAGAGGATGGGGGTACAAGAAATATATCCGGTATTAAATTAGCAAGACAACCGTGGACGAAGTAAGTAAGGGAGGTGAGGCGAGGGCAGGCCCAAACCAGTGTGTTGAAAACTTGCGTATCCGCCTCATGATATTTTCGTTGTTCTTATCTCATAACTAAATTCCAGAGACCTGAAATATCCTCATCGCTTGGGTTGACCGATATTCATACACCACATGTCATACATGCTATATACACACTCCTCTCGCTTGCGCGGAGACGGAGTGGCCGACAGTGGCAGCGGCGCCAGGACCACTTTAACAAGTCCACACGCCCACGACGCCGTCTCGGCGGCCCTCGACCATGTACCCATCACGGATACGCACACGCTCCACGACGGCAGGCGTCTTATCTTGTTCGGCCTCGGTGATGCCGGCGCCACAGTCCCAGTGCCGCCCCTCGACTTTGTCGTACACCTTGACCACATCCTCACCGGCAGCAGAGACGATGCGACGGGTGTCGAACATCATACTTGTGACGGGGTTGTCGTATGCATAAGCATCATAGATAGAGCCAGTACGAAGGTCCCATATCTGTATCCTCTGTTAGTATATTGTTGTCAAACACAGGAACCGCGCAATTAGTAATACATACCCGAATGCTCCTGTCCAAACTACCTGTGACTAAATGCACATCATCGAACTGGAGGCATGTCACAGGTCCCGTGTGGCCGACCAAGCTGCGGGACACCTGGCCGCTACGCAGATCCCACAAACGGACCATGCCATCCGCCGTACCACACGCCAGGGCCGACTCAAACACTTGCAAGGCGCCAACGAAATCAGCAGACCCGTCCGCTGCGCGGGTAGTTTGCCGCCAGCCGCCATCGCTTGATGATAACGCGGAAGCCTGCGCAGCGGCCCACATGACGTCCAGCGTCTGTACGCACCGCCCCTTCTCAAGATCCCACTGACGCAGCGTCTTGTCCGCAGAACCAGAAACAAGCACGTTGCTGCGGAAATGAAGTGCTGTGATCTCGTCCAGATGAGCCTCCAGTGTGAACAAGGGACATGCGGACATGCTGCCGGGGGGCGGGTCTACGGGCTGGTCATCCGGATTTTCAAAGGCAATAGCGTCTTCGTCGTCCTCCTCCTTGCCGAACTGGTGTCCCTGCGGGTCATAGTGCGCCTTGCTGAGGTCCCATAGTCGGATTGTCGCATCCATGGAACCCGTGGCTAAGAAGTTGTCTTCAACCTGGAGCGTGCGGACCGAGGCTGTATGACCTTCGAGCATGCCAATGCAGCGACCCGCGTTGAGGTCCCACACCCGGACGGAATCATCCATCGCTGCCGAGACCAAGAGACCAAAAGGGGCGTCAAAATCGAGGGCCGTGACGTTATCTTTGTGGGCGCGCATAGAGCGAATCATGCTGCCTGGTTCGAAGTGTTCGTGTAGGATCGGCATGGATTTTCGTCGGATGCTACGAGGCTTCTTCTTGTCGGAGGATGAACCCTTCGAAGAAGGAAGTTTCTCGTAGACGGACTGCGACATAAACCCAGGTGCGTCCCCCTTTTCAGACGCTGCATCGTCTTCTGACTTTGCGGGCGTTCGTACTGCCACCGACTCGGCCTCCTCCACCATTTCCTGCGCCTCTTCTAATCTACTCTCAACATCGACAACTGCGGGCCGTTAGTATCTTCCAGGATCATTATCACAGAGAATACAGGGGTTACATACTGTCGTGCTCAAGCAGCGCCTCGTCCTGCTCCAAATTAGCCAACCTGTCCAAGATGATCCGACGCATCCCCGCCAAATTCTCAATCTTGGCGTCAATCTCGCGAATCTCGCTGCTCGCCATGTTCTTGCGAATGCCAAGCATTTCGAACTGATGCATCATCGAAGCCTTCTCTTGCTTCAATTTCCGCACAGACTCGGGGGTCCCGTCAGGGATTATGGGGCCTTCGTCGAGCATTTTCCTTCCCCGCGAAACGCGCCGCCTGTGCTTCTTGCCGTTGTCGGTAAGCTCCGGAAAGCTCGCCTGGAAGCCTTGAAACAACGAATATGAACTGTCGCCTTCGGGTATGTTCTTGAGCAACTCCTCCGGTACGTAAGACAGAGCACGCGACTGTATCTCCTTCGTCGACAACCGCGAGCGCACCAAATCCGTCGGCGTCGTGTTAGCCATCGAAAACATGGCTCGCTGTAGGCCCGGCCGGCGCAGCTGTCGATGCACCTCCGTCATGGCGTTCTGGTAGGTGGGGTTCGACGACGGATCGGATCGTGGAGCCATTAGCTGCGAGGCTGTTGTTGTGACCTTGCGGCCGAACGCCTCGAGGCCTCGTGTCTGCCATTGTTGCAAACACAGATTATTAGCGCTCTTGTTATCTCGACGCCGAACGTAGGTATTTTCTTTTTCACCTCGGTGGCCATCCCCCGCTCGAGTTGTGGTCAATGGGGTCATTGAGGGTATTGCGCTTACCGAGATCACGGAGGACTCGTCGTCAAATGACGACAGGTCCGGGAAGTCATTGTCGTGCTCCGTGTCATCCATCCGTGGGCACGGCACAACAAAAACTTTTTGCCCCCTTCGACCGGGAAGAGACGAGACGGCGGGGGGACGTGCTCTTTTCGCCGCCGATAAGGTACAGTTGAAGCGTTGGGAGTGGAACAATGGTATCGAGAAAAGTGGCGTTCAGAGGGGCTTTGTCGTGATGTTGGAGGAGCTCAGGCAATGCAAGCGGAGGCAGGCAATTGGAGCAACGCGAGCTACTGCCCCTCGAAGCAGGCGGAAGTGCGGCAGTAACAAAATTGTTAGGTCGGCAATCATGCGGCGCGCCCGACGTTGCTAGATTGGGCCAGCAGATCAGGGCCATGTGCTCCAGCTCGATGCCAAGCAAGCCAAGTTGGACAATATGTGGGGCCAACAGAGGCAAACAGGGGGCTGATGCAGTGGCCACACACCAGAGGCTCCAGGTGGGCGCTCCAGGCGGTCCTTGCCATTTTGATCCCGCTGGTGCGTCACACAGAGGGGACAACTGAGACTTTCATTCCGCTGTAAGTGGGCTTCGTACTCCGATTCAGGACCGGAGCAAAGGCCACCTGCAAAGGCGGGTTTTAAAAAAAAATTCCCCGGGATACGCTCCGGAGTCATCACGGAGACTTCACATTTACTTAACAACACGGACTTCCCCCATTTCTCAGACCTTTTAGATTGTCCAAGTTTTATATCGACAACAGCAAGTGATAAACAGTAATACTTCCTCCGGGCAACCAGCCACCATATCACCATGGACTCGTTAATAGACCTTTCGGAGTCAACAGACGCCCTGGACTTGTCACGTATCCGTTTCCAGTTGATGTGAGTTTCGTCACCGAAGCTTTTGCCTCGGCTTTTGGATAGCTAGGCACAAAATTTGGTTGTTTCGACACTAACACTTAACTCGGCAGCCGCCTCGAGGACACCATCACCTTCCATCTTATCGAGCGTGTGCAGTTCCCGCTCAACAAGAACATCTACATTCCCGGCGCCGTGTCGATACCCAGCAGCAACCTGAGCTTCATGGACTGGTACCTCCAAGAGCAAGAGAAACTTCAATCGTTGATCCGCCGCTACGAGTCGCCCGACGAGGTGCCTTTTTTCCCGGACGCCTTGCAGAAACCGATCCTCGACTCTCTCAATTACCCACGCATTCTGTATCCCAACACAGTCAACGTCAACGAGAAGATCAAGAAGTTCTACACTGAGAAGTTCCTCCCCAATGTCTGCCCAGATTTTGGCCACGGGGACAGGGGTGTCTCACAGGAAAACTACGGGTCCTCGGCAACTTGTGACATTGCCTGCCTCCAGTCGATCTCGAGACGCATTCACTACGGAAAGTTTGTGGCTGAGTCCAAGTTCCAATCCGAGGCGGATAAGTTTACCCGCCTCATCCGTGCTGGAGACCGGGAAGCCATTGGCGATGCCATTACAAACAAGGCGGTGGAGAGGAAGGTGCTAGCACGGCTTAGGCTGAAGGTGCAAACATATGGAACTGACCCCTCGCTGGGGCCCGCCAGGTGGGACGAGAACAAAATCAATGTGGATGCTGTGGTATCGATGTACGAAGACTTTGTCATCCCGCTGACAAAGGAGGTCGAGGTCGAATATTTGATGCAGAGGTTAGATCCGGTGGATTAGACAAAAGTTAATTACTTTTTTTCCAGTTCACTCCATTTGTTTATTTATTTGGGTTGCCCGGTTCTTTTTTCTTCTTGAATAGCCCTTATATCATGTGGCCGTGCTGATGTATTCGGTGATCGCTTGTACGGCGCTCTGGAACTTGCTCGCCTCAATCAGCATCATCAACCCGCGCGGCTTGATGCCCATCTCCTGAAACGCTCGCTTGCTATCCGCAACAGACTCCCCTTCCTTTGTAAAGTCGTATGTCCCCGAGGCCACGGCATGCCTGCGCATCTCCTCGTCCTCCGGATGGAAGTACTGCAGCCCGGCTTCCTCCCTGGCCTTTTTTTGTTTGCGCTCGCCCTGGTCTAATGTCGACGCCACCTCGCGGTAAGTTCGGGACACTACTAGGTAGTGCGAGAACTCGTAGGGCTCCTTGTCTTCTACTGCAGCCTCGATCTCGTCGATTAAGCAATTCCACATCGGTGGAATCACCTCAGCGGGCATGTTGAGCAGCCGATCCGCCAGCACCAGCCCCACATGCTTATCACTACCCGCGGCCAGCAGTTCACTCACGGCACCCGCCAGGGCCTCGTCGCTCTTGGCCCGCTCGGAGAGGTACTCGACTAATTGCGCGACGGGTGGTTTGGCGCGGTGTTCGTGTAGATTGAGCACGGTGAGGAAGGCATAGGCATCGTTGGCCTTGTCGTCCACCTTACAGGTCGACCCAATTGTGTTTTGCTCGACGATGAGGTCACTGAGACCGGACAAATCGAAGAGCTGTGCGTCCGTGTCGAAGAGCTGCCGCAACAGCGTCTTAACGCCGTGGAAGTCAATTTGAGGGTCGTAGTTGAATAGCTCAAAATCTACGTTTACAATGTCCATATCCTACAATGCGCCCGGAATTCGATTAGTTATGTTAGTCCTTTACCAATTGGGGGAAAGTTAGTGCGCTGTCCGCTCACCTCGTCGTCAGAGCTATCGTCGTCCTTCTTGGGGGTAGGGTCACCCATGCTGACATCCCCCTGAGCGTCGTTCTCTCTTGAACGTTTTTTTCCCATTGTGTCGTATGAGTCGTATAATACTGGCTAACGTCTCGGTATTCGTTCTATCCAAGACGGTGAACTGCTTGAAAATATTACCTAGTTAAGTGAAGAGGTCTCCAGGCCTGGCCGCTGTGGGGACCTTGACGACCGCCTCAAAAATTTAAGCTGTGCCCCTCGTCCCGATAAGGAGCCAGAGCTTATCGACCCTAACCCTGATAATGTTAATTAGACGCGAGCGCATGCAGGAGACAGTATGACGAATGTTGCACAGCATTGAACGGTTTGGGGGATCATTAGTGCATATCCGGGCACATTGGGGCCGTAATATGTATAAGCAAAAAGGGTGTCCTTGACCCATTTCGGCCAAAGCTCGTTCGTATCGTCCGACATCGATCTGCTGTTGACCTTGCGTCTCGGTCCACACCAACCTAAACTCTTTCTCTGGACAATCTTCTTCAACCCCTTAGTCTGAGTTGCGTCTTCCTACATCACTTTAAGCGCCCCGCCAAATCCACCTACCATCCCCTCCCCTATTTCTTACATTCGGTGCATCGATACCCTATTCCTCATCCTTGGTCAAGTCCGGATTGGTGGGATTGAGCCCCCACCATAATCCCTTAGACCTGCTCGGCGCCCCAACCAGCATCCGCCTCGCGCATGTTCGCCGGGGGCTCAATGGACGGAACAAACTCAAGGGCGACGTAGCCGACACCGATCAAGCCGACAATAGAGCCAGCGATAATGTGAAGAACCTTGTCGTTGAGCAGGATGCAGCCGATGAAAACGTAGACTAGCGGAACAGTATCAGCCCAGATCATCATTTAGATCATTGCTTGAAGTAGGATGGAAAGGGGAGGTGGGACGTACAGATACCACGGCCGAGGAAGGAGAACAAGAACGACGCGTAACGGCCAACTTGGGGCGGGATCTGGAATTCTGTGCATTGCGTTAATGTTTTCACGACATTTTAGGCTCGTCAGTCGTCGCAATATCATACCAAGTAGACCGGTCACTACGCGTTCAGTTAGCGTTACATCTATCCACATCCAAATCACAATATCAGGAGAGAACATACCGAGACCGAAGATGATCACATAGGCGCCAATGATCGCAGATTGGCTACCATTCCGTCAGCACCGCATTCGACCACGCGCCATATCCCACGAACAAGATATGGAAGGCCAATAAGCCAGGGACGGAACCTACAAGGTAATCGGGAAGAACTGCAAAATACCCCCAAGGACCATCAACACTGCGACAACTAAGTTGACGATACGGCTAGAATCAAGCAACCACACGGACATCGTTAGCAAAGGGACACAGAACAACACAGCAAATATCTCCACCATCGTGTCTTGCACAATCCATCCTTTCAAAATGCGCCGTATCTCCATTAACAGCCGGATCCACCTCTTTTCCTATTCCTCAATCCGTCCCCGCGCCAGTAGTTCCAAGGCCGCAACCCGCGCGCGCGCTAACCACCTCTCAGTCTCGACTCGGTTGCGCACAGGCAAGGTCACGTCAACCAGCCAGCTGCGCCCGATGGCTCCGCGCGGGGCGCTCAAAGGCGCAAAAATATTTGTTGGATCACGCAGGGTTCGAACACGTACAAGATGTCGGAGAAGTCCATTGCGGTCGTCTGTTTATTTGTTTTCTCGTATGTTGGAAGTTTGAAGGGGAGCTCAACGGCTTGAAGTGGTAGGATCGATCGACCGATTCGTGTTTTGTCCGACGCTCGATGCGCAAACCTAGAATCTAATAAGTATCAAGGCGGGAGTGGCCGGGCCGCGCGTTAGATTTCGTTTTGGATCTTGATGAACGAGGTTTGGCTTCGAAGTCATAAACAAGGCGACGAAGCACAGGACACTCAGCTGCTGCGGCCCCAACGAGCTTGCGAAACAGTGAGTGGGTCCCTTCCAGGATTGGATGGGAGACGACCACTCAGTACGGAGGATAACCTCTCCTTTTTGAGGAAGCGTACGTACTCTGCCTCGCTGTGACCAAAAAAACGGCATACCAAGTCCCTAGATAACTTACTTTACTACAAAAGTGAAAAAAAGACCAAAAAGAATAAATCAAAAAAGTGAAATAAGACAAAAAATAATAGCTCAAGAGAATAAAAGAACGACGAAAAAGAGGAAATCAATCAAAATCTGGTTATCTATTATAGTCTGCCGCTTTTTTTTGGCCACAGCGAGTCTGCCTACACTACCGTAGTTTCCTAAAAACAAGCAGTGTAAACCTTATTTCGACGCCCCCCTTTTCAATAGCTGCCCGCAGTCCCTCATTTCTGGCGACGGTAGGTTGCGATGGTAATCCATAATCCCCCCCTTGCTAAACATTCACCAGACCTCCCCTTAACATCAAAGCCCCAGATGAACCATCAACTATGCAACTCTAGACTCCATCCTTGCTCTCTCTACCGCTATAATTACCAAGATGAATTTCCGTGGCAGATTCAGCAACGTATTCCCCTGCTCTTGCTGCCCCGGATCTCGCGTGACGCGGCAAGGTAGGCAACGACAAATGTTCTCCAAGCAAACCTCTCAACCCCCGTGTTTCCTAGCGGCCTTGGATAATATGGGTCGTTCAGACGCCATGCTTCTACCGCCAGCGCGACCCCATCATCATCCATCGTAATCGCCCGGACCTGGTTGAAATCCAGGACGAAGAGTTCCGTGATGTGGTCGAAGTAGCCCTCAGGCTCTTCAACTCCCGTGTTGTCCTTGTTTGTTGAGCTCCCGAGCACAAATTCGACATCCCGTGCGTCTGTTTTAGCGGCCCAATGAAGGACAGCCAATGCAATGCCCATCCTACGAGAAAGTGTCTTAATGTCAAGCTTCAGCTCTATCATGTGGTTGAAATGGGGTTTGAGGTTGCGAAGGGAGAAAAACAGCCCCCCAATCTTCCCCTGCATTGAACCCAAGTAAACCCTGACAAGACAGTCTTGATTCGCCGGGTCAGCATGTGCCTGCTTCTTAATTCTCGGTGAACAGTATTTCTCGATCAACTGATGGCGGGTCTGTGACGGAAGCGGCGGGATACGCTCGGTGATGAGAGCACAAGTTGGGAGATTGCAGAGATCCTTCGCTGCATCAACTAGCTCGGGGTTGTTGCCGAATCTTCTCTGAGGGATGAAGTAGTAGCACTCGGGCACCTTGACCTCATCAATGGCGAACCTATAAAATTCACGTGCAATCCTCTCATGCATGATGCGGTCATTCCAGAGCTCATCGTTGTCGACTTTGGCGAGCTTGTAGACCACTGACTTTCCATCTTGTGCGAAGATTAAGCCGCACGCGCCCGCCCCGATCTTGCGAAAAGGCCCTGATCCCGTCGCCTGAGCCTCGTCATCCCGTTCAGCGGCCGTGAATAACGTCGGAACTGGGGTATGGAGCGACAGCATCCGCGACAGTTCCTGGTTCTCGGGCACAGGGTCGGCTGAGTTTTCGGTGGTAGTGCTCTCGTCTAGGAGGTCGAGAAGTTCAAGGTCCTCCATAATACTTGGTGGGATTGGGTCTAGGCTGCAATCTGACGAGACGGGTCGTCGGCGTCTGTCCTGGGTCGATGGCATCTTGCGTAGTCGAGTTTGAGTTGTGAAATGGTAGGTAAAGACGTTAGAGAAAGGCGGCAAGACTCTTATGATTTGGTTCTGTCGGTCTATCTTAAAAAAAAGAAAGTGGTGGAACTTTGAACATTTTGGGACGGGAGGTGCAGCGCTCAGATTAAAATATAAAGACTGAGGTAGGTACATAAGGTTCCTATCGGAATGTAGGAGATAAGGTACGCAACTTAACCACGAAAGCTTTCGTCAATTATACCCGAACTTATTTTTCCATTAACAGGAGAGAGGAGAAAATGAACGGGATAGGAAATGAGATTGTTTTAGAAAAAGGCATAGAAAAGTGAAAAAATAAATGAAAACAGGAGGGAAAGTTAAAGAAAATAATAACAAATATAGGAAGAAAAGAAGAAAGCGGAGAAGGAGAGATGAAAGAAGTTGAAAAGTGAGAAAACGGAATAGAAAGAAGGAAAAAGGAGGAAAGGAAAAAAAGAAAAGAATTATAGAGGGAGGAGAAAGCAATAGAAACAAGGAAATGGGGATGAAATGTATTAAAAGGCTCTAACAAAGGAGTGTACTAATCTCCCTTGAACCACAAAATGTTGCTAAGCCTCCAAGGTTATATCACATATCATCACATATCACATACGTTATAAATCAGTTTGTTTAGCCTGGGTATCATATTCCATCAATTCTATTCATGTCATGTATCTATTGGGCGCCTAGAGACCACGCCTGATATTCATCCGCCCAGCTCAGCAAGTTCCCTTTCCTTCGCCGCCAACAATTCTCGCATCATCTCTCTTTCACGCTCCAGAATGGCCCGCTTCTCCGCCTTGGCTTTGTCACCCTCACGGCCGAGGCCCCCAGGCGGGCTCGAAAGTCGTTGTGGGGCCAACGTATGGCTGTTTGTGGGAGGGTATACTCCTGAACTGGGCGAAGAAGCCGCGGTACTTCCTGGCGTAGAGAAGTAACCATGACGCTGATTGTGCATATCATCAGGGCCGGGACTCATAGCAGTGGGGTTGAGAATCGATCGAATGGATGAGAGGCGCTTCGGTTGGTCGCTATCGCTCTGGTTCTGAGGCTCCATTTCCGCAGCAGAGAACGACCGTTTCTGTGGGGGCGACAAGAAAGAAGCCGGTGATAAGGACGACTGTCGGTCATTCCCCACCGGAATCGATGTGAGCGGCGCAAGTCGGTTTTCGTTGATAAGGGAATCAGGAATTTGGTGGTGTTGGGGCTGGGATTGATGGGATGAATGATATTGTCCCAACCCGCTCGACGGTAGTGGGGACGTTTGCCGGTTCTGTATTAGAACATCCTCGGGGACCAGTGCTAGAGGCGGCTGTGGCTGTCGTCGGAACCCAAGGTTCACAGATCCATCCTCGTTCATCGACCCCCTCTCCCTGGGCATGTCGTTTTCCGAAGGGGGCGAATCCGCTCGCTCGCTCGTCACGCTTTCCGAGTCTTGACCGGCACCCGCAGCGGGTATGACCCGTTTCCTTCGCTTAATAATGGACTTCTTCATCGTGACGGGCCGATGTACGCCGTGCAGTTTATAATAAAGCCCTAGTAGACTGTTAGTAATAATTCGTGACCAGGGCCTTAAAGGAAATGCATACCGCAGGCGTTGCAGATTGTGTGGCCCGCCTCATCCCTTCGCCAAAGAGGAGTAATGGTAGTTCCGCAATTTTGGCACGCAATGACAACCGTCGTATTTTGGTTCTGAATTTGCAGGGCTGCAATATCTATCGGCGTCGGATCGTCTGGGCCGCCGACTGGTGGTTTAGACGCGCCTTGGCATTTTAAAACACTTATGCTTGCGCTTTTTGAAACACGGTTGTTGTACGCCGGGCAACCGCTGCATCCCTCGGCACCGCCCGTACCATTACATCTTCCACCACCTGGGCAAGAGCCGGACGGTGTCTGGTCGGCGGCTACATACTTCGCCACTGGAGCGTTGGGCAAAAGGGGGACCTGAGCCTTAGGGGACAGTTTGACTTGTGATGGTTTGGCGGCGCTTCCGGGCGCAGCGGGGGGTCGTTTAAGGTTGATCGGGCGGGACGCATTCCTTGCTTTCAAATACAGCCCGCATGCATTGCAGATCGTCTCGCCTTGTGGCGAACGGCGCCAGAGCGGTGTTCGAGTTGTGCCGCAGTTACTGCCGGGAGTCAGAAAGCAGAGACGAAAAAATTAGGTTATGTGACCACTCACCTGCAAACCTGACCCGTGTATCCTTGGTTTGGGCCAGCTTGCGGTTTTCCTGGATTTGATGGGCTTTCAGCTGTGGACCGTGTTGGACTTGGCGGGACAGACGTTGTCATTGAGGCGTGGGTTGGTGTTGGCGAAACGCCACCGTCTCCAACGGGTTGAGCTTGCTGTTCGCGAAGCACAGACTCATCGTGCCTTAAGTGTTGTGTCATAACTCCAAGGTCTCTGACGGAGGTGGGCCGTGATGGGAGCGCGGTCCGACGGGGTGAAGGACCGGTTTCTGTGGGAGAACGCGGTGTTGAGATACGGGATGTTTCGGATAACGCCATTTCCTGGGTTTGAGACGCGACGACAGTCGCAGGGGAGATCCGACTCGGGATCAGAGGACACGTGAATGGTGAAAAGAATTGGAGTCTGATGGAATGGACATGTAAATAGTTTTTAGATGTTGTGGCCGAGCTGAGCCGATATCGCCGACCGTTGTCGCTTTGGGAGGCCAGTGTTCTAACCTCTTTGAAAACCAAGGTTGATGACGGGATGAACGAGAGGTCGCAACTTGGGTCGAGGGGATAATCAAGCCACGGCCCCCAAATCCAGTCGGCGGGGCGCACGGTGTTGTGGTGGGAGGGAGGTGGTTATCGACGTGTTGCGACGGGCCAAAGCCGAAGGAGGCATATACAGAATCTGGATATGGCTGGAAGGGAGCGGTCCTTCGAGGGGACTGCTAAGGGGAGGGGATCAAGAAACCCTCGCCCGACGGTTGGAGGATGACGGAGCAGAAAAGAGAGACGGGTGGATGGCTGGCTGCCCCGTTGTTTGCTCCAATTTTTGTCTCGGCAGAATAGAATCAGTTATCAGATCTCGCCCCGGTCGAAGAAACAGATCCCGCGTCTAGGGTCCCAGTCGCCTTGTCCGGGGAGGATTTCCACGAGCTGTGATGGAGGCGGTGGGCAAGTAGAAGGGGGGAATCCCAAGGTTGCAAAGAGAGGGAGGGGTTCCAGGTGGATACCGGGAAGGTCTAAATTGGGTGAAGAAAGGGCGTCCAAGTCCGCGCTCGGAGAATTGTGGTGACTGGTTGTTGAGCGACGGCGATGTGGCGGCGTGATTGCTGCAGACAAAGTGGCACATGGCCTTCGATACCTCTCATCGACTTGAGCGCGCCCATCAGGGTGAACGCCAGATTGGCCCACTCCAGCATCTATAGCCAATCACAAAATCCGTAATGTCAGCACACAGGACTTGACAGGGGCGCTGGCAGGCATCAGGCCTGTAAATTACGTAGGCCAAACAGTCGGCTCCTTCCAGAAAACTCCCCCATCGGATTGCGCAGCGGAGTCAACTGTCTGCAACTTTTGCGACCTCACTTCTAGGCCATTTTGTGAAGCTCCTGACAGAGAGGTTTTTCGAAGAAGTCTCACAAAGCTTTCATGCACCAATGTATGCCACATTCGGCCACATCTCTTGGCACAGCCATGATCTGCAAGTTTGGAGGGTCAGCCTTCCACCGCCTGTTGGTATTGGACGATGGCGCAAACGGTGAGCTAAAACGGCAATCTCGAGCCAATCTTGTGGGTGGGCTCAAGCACGAACGCATGGAAGCCGCTGTCTCAGGGTCTACGGGCCTTGCGCCGAGACACTCCCGAACCCAGCAACATCCTGCAGCTCGCACGGAATGCGGATGCTTTAGTTATCAGACGGCCAGCCTCATTTAAAATCACGGTTTTCCCCTTTCGAGTCCTTTCTTCGTTTTTTGTCGCCCAGGACTTGGCAGTTTGGAAGTGTGAGAAAGGTTGTGGTACGTACCTCAAAGCGAGCCAAGGGAGCGGGTGCGCTGTCTGCGCCCCAACCTTTTTCGTGCCGAAGGTCGGGTGTCTCGCGATTTCGGTTGGCGTTCCCATTGGACCACAGAATCCATCAGTCCTGCTGCCAAGCGTTTTTATCTTTCCCGATGCGACACGGCGATCTTTGCTCCACGGCCAGTGAAGAACGAGGGGGAGACAAAGAATTCGAGGGTAAGCATCCGAGGAGAAATCGGCTGCGAAACATTTGTGATTCCCGAGTGACGGGAATCGGGAAACTTGTGTCATATTCCTTATATGCCGCTCCTTTATGCGTAAGCTTTGTCAGTTTTAAGTTCATATAACGGAGTGTGAGCTGGTCGTTTCGGCGATAAGGTGGCTCTCCTGCTCCCCACAAACACCAGGTGGAATAATCAGAAACTCGTTGATTGGCTTCACAAACAGAACTTCACAGGATCCTTGGAGTGAAATCAATCAGACCCCGAGCCCCACTGCTCTCGGGAACTTTCGACTTCTTGAACCGGATATTATTGGGCGCGGGAAAGAGGGAACCCGGTGTAGATTTCATATGCAGCCTCCGTGGCCGAAAAACACCATTGAGCTACCTATTATAGCAGCCATCTTTCATCGCCTTATCGGCATTTCGTTGGAGCAAGTGTTAATGTATCAAATCAAAACCAATCCCAAAATACTGCGCCTCCACTGTTACCTTCTCTGACACCGAATCCGTTACCACCAGGGGTAATGCCCAGGGGTTGCTGTCATCTCCTGACTCGGCCATATATGTCAGCCGACGGATATCAGCGACCTTCCCAGTCAATGGCTTCCCCTCTATAAATCGGGATCATCCTCATGATCCTCCTCATAACGTACCAGAGCACCAGTCCCCCACAATTTGTCCAGCGCGTCCCTCGCCAGGTTGATGGGAAGAGCGATGGACAAGGCATTCCAAAGCCATTGTCCGCGTTCATTCAGTTGGACCTGGTCTAAGACCACCACCGAGTTGTTGGCCGAGGCTGGGTCATGGCTTACCACCATCACGACATGTTGGATGACTGCGAAGGCGTAGAGGGTGGGGGGTTGGGGAACGTGGCTGGTTCCCTTTTTTTTTCGCAACAAACTGCGCCATTCCTGACCCAAGCTCCTCAGCCTCTTTTCGAGATCCCGAGAGACAGCGCGGGTGAATCGCAAGGCACGCCGTTGGTCGGTTTCGTCGGAATCCAGATCGTACCTCATGTCCTCCTCCGAATCATCGTCGCCCCGAAATTCAGGGGGATATGCCCGGACTAACATGTTGAGCTGTGACTTGCGCTGGTCCACGCCGAGATCCCTCATGGCCCATTTGATGTAGCCCCGGACACCCTTCACGACAGCGCCAGCGATCTTTTCCTCAGAACCTAACTCTTCGAAGTCCGTAACTATCTGGGAGAGGTAGAATAGAGACTCCACAGCCTTTGTGGCTGTAACGGCGTTAGGAACAAGAAACGGCAAGTGATTTGTTAGACTTGGAGATATACTTACCTGCCATTTCGTTGCCGTGGGCGTGGATTGCAACCCGCTTCCTACTATAATTTGGCGCAAAAACGTCGTCAAGGTGCGGCTGCGTGACCCCCCACATCTTGAAGCTCATTCTCCACCACGACGGCATCATGGGATGAAGGCCACGCATATATATCAGTTTGTGTAGCTTCTTTTGGTCCTCATTCCATTCGTTGCTTCCATCAATGCGTGACACGGCCGTGTTGTAATCGGCTGCGGTATGGCCAAGGGGCCCATAGCCTTCCCAGTCGCTGCTATTGCTGTCGCCGCCGTCTGATCGGTCTTCTAGGTCACCGTAGTCCATCCCCGCACCAGAGAAGCCCACATCGCTGTCCTCTGTGAAGGACTTTTGTCGTGATGTAATAGCCACCTTGCGAGCCCAGGCTAGGTTTGGGGGCGGGAAGTCTCGTGTGACCACGATGGTGTCATTCTCAATTGAGGGTCGACATGGACTGTCGTCTTCGTCCATTTCGGAGCTTTCCATTTCCTCGTCTTCCGCCTCAGAATCATCCGCTTCGGAGCCCCCCACCTCGGAGTATCCCATCTCATCGTCGTCCATCTCGGAGTCGCCAATTTCAAAGCTGTTTGTTTGATCATCCTCCATCTCGGGGCTGTGTGCCTTAACCTTTGTGCTTCCTGAACGAAAGCTTGACATCGTCAAGGAACCTAAAGCGGTGATTGTATCCAGCACTCGCTCGCGAGCCGGGGATGGTGTTGTGAAATCCATCGTCATGAAATATTGCAGAAGACAGGCCGTAATAAGAAGAGAGGTGTTGCTGGTATGGGCCGATTCAAACAGTTGACTTTGTTTGAGCCAGAGGGCGATGAGGCGGGGGTTGTGAATGTGTGTGTAAGAAGAAAACACGCCACAAAGTGTGAATGAAAGAAGATCAGTTGCACTTGCCGTTTCCGTATTCTTCGGGAATCCCAGCCAGCGCTGGAGCCAGGGACAGTACAAGTTAAGCGGCACCTTCCTTGAAATAAAGAAAGATTTGGGTACCAACCTATTATGGTGGGTTGCCAGTGCTGTTTCCGGCAGCCACGATAGCAATGAAACCACGAGGCTTAGCGAGAGACAAAAACCCGACGAATAACAATGGGACAGCGGAGAAAGGCACTTCATTTTCAAGGCTTGACACTCGCTGCCCAGCAGAGGGCAAGAAGGGAGGCTGGCGTGGCATCTCGCCCGTACCTGCATCGCTGTCACCGCTGTCACGCTTCTGGCCTTGCAGCAGCCCAACCAAGTCCATCCAGAGAAGCCTTGGGCAGTTTGCGGAGCCATCAATGCCAGATGGAGGGGCCAGGCGAACTGTTTGAAGGGCGTGCAATATGGACTTGTCACCTACCAATAAGTTTCTCAGGGGTAAGGCTTACTACAATTCCTCAAATAACACTGTGTGGGCAGGTAGACAGAAAATCTTAGTCTTCATACTCGGTGCAATCCGGATGCAGGTGTTCATCAGCAGTTTGCTCTCCTTCAAAACTAAGTTGTGGGGCCATGGAAATCCAGGGCTGCAGCATCATGAACAGCTAGGCCATTGCAGCTGTTGGGCCGTGCGCTGGAGACGCGCTCAAGATCCCTGTAGTGAATGACCGACACAAAGTCGCATCGGGCAACTTTTTTGCGTTCTTGCACGAACTTCACCCCAACACCGTGACGCGCATCTCGCAATCTGAATATCTTGACGATTGCCACCACCAACGACGCCCAACATGGCGACGGACTTTAGTCGGTTGACAGTCGTTGAACTGCGCCAGGAGCTGAAGCGGCGCAATCTTTCACAGGCTGGAAAGAAAGCTGATTTAGTCGACCGCTTGACGACATTCGAGAGCGAACAAGCAGCCTCCGAACCCGAGGACCATCCTATGGAAGAAGCCCACGAGGCGCCCCTAGAGCAAGCTGGGTCGGAAGCCCAGAATGGCCAGACCGCAGACATTTCTCAATCCGGCCAAGATGCAGTCTCCGCTGTTGACGAGGCGCCGCAAATTCCGACTATCAGCGACCAACAGCCCGAGGACGCGCCAACCGCGGTTGGCGGGGCTTCCTCTGCAGAGCAACCTTTACATCTACCACCCCAAGACCCGCGCTCCGATGCTGTCACTTCCACGACCACCCCCGCTGAAGCGCCCTCGACAACCGAGATGGTTACCGACGCTGTGAGCCGCAAGCGCCGGTCACGGAGCCCACCGCCCGAGAACGAGGCTTCAAGGAAACGACTACGACCCGATGATGAGCAAACTGGAGTAGGCGGTGCGACTGCTAGCCAGGGATTGCATCAGAAAACTCCAGATCAAGACGTTTTCAAGACCCGCCCGGAACCGACCTTACAAACGGCCCCGGATAATGAGCTGGCTTCTGAACAGGCGCCGCATCACGGCCGAGTAGATGAGCCCGCCCCGGCTGAAGAACACGATTGGAGACAGAACCGACAGCAATCTTACGAGGAGCGGCCAGGTGGCGGCGTCGACGAGCCAATGGCAGACTACGACAGAGACGTTGCGCCAGCCCAGCATCCTGCCACGCCTGCCCTTTACATTAAGAATTTTATGAGGCCTTTGAAGGAGCCGGTCCTGCAAGACTACTTGATCGACCTCGCTGCGCTACCCGGCACCGCGCCCGACCCGGATTGCCTTGTCCATTTTTACCTCGACCAGATTCGCACCCACGCGTTTGTCAGTTTCTCCAGCACCTCAGCCGCATCCCGGGTCCGGACAGCTTTGCACGGCATCGTGTGGCCCAACGAGCGTAACAGAAAGGAGCTCTGGGTGGATTTCATTCCCGAGGACAAGGCTGTGGAGTGGAGTGAGCGCGAGCAATCCGCAGAGGGGCGAGCCTCATCAGGTCGCTGGGAGGTCCGCTACGAGCCGGACGAGGACGGTACCATCACCGCCAGCCTCGTCAACGCAGAGATGGAGCCGGTCCGCCGCAACTCTACGAGACAACCTCTCCCCCCGCCGGCAGTCCCTACTGGGCCGTCCCGCAGCTACCCCGGCGTCGAAGGGGCGCCTTTGGGCCCGCGTGGCCGGGGCACAAACCACTACCGACAGGCGCAGGCATTGCCCGCAGCCTCTCTAGCCGCTGCCAATGAGCGCGAGCGCAACGAAGACTATGGCCGAGGCGGTCGAAGCGGTCGAGACGTTCGCGATGGCCGCGACTATAGCACCACCCGCGCCAATCCTCCTCTTCAGTACAAGCCAGCCTCCGAAGAGATCGCCGAGCGCCGTCTCGGCCACCTGAAGGCGCACATCACCCGCGACCGCCGCCGCGACCTAGGCCGCCCGGACGAGATCAACCGATACACCTTTGAGGACGGTGATATCTTTGTCGACCGCGGCAAGGAAGCTTTCATTGGCATCCGCCCGCCACACCGCGAGCGCGAGCGTCGCCGGATGGGCATTGGCCCTGGACGCGGCGGTAACCGTGGCCCTCCCCGCCGTCGCACACCTTCTCCGCGCCGTGGACCCCGCGACGATGGTGGTTTCCGCGGTGGTGGTGGTGGCGGCGGCGGTGGTCGTCGGGATGATTTTGGCCGTTCATACCGAGACCGAGACGATGACCGCCTTGGCCGCTTCCGTGACGAGCCTCCTCGTTCACGCTTTGATGGCCAGCCTCTCCCTACTTTCTCTGGTGGCGGTGGCAGCCGTGGCGGTAGATGGGGTGGTGGTGGTGGGGGTCGCCGGGACCGCTGGTGACCGCCTTTTCAAGCGGCTCGTCGTCTCTGACGGTGTCTTAAGCCACTGGGCTAGTTATCTGCCCTGAGTGCAAAAACATCCACATCGACACGAGCAATACCAGCTCTCACCCGAACGTAACCGAAAAACAAAACCCAAAAATTTAGTACAAACTAATTGTTACCCATGTCTTGCCCTCGATCGGAGGATGGAACGAGGCTTCTCGAGAGAGAAAAAAAGGAGGCGAGGCCCGATAAATAGATGCGGGGTAAAGGGGGGAGTTGGCCGAACGATGCGAACCCCGCCTTCTTGAGAGCTTTGGCTCTGGTGAGGAAGAAGATCCGGTTTATAATGCCGCGTTGCTCTCGTTCTCTTTCTAGGTCCGATCGATCCCGAGATCCTCTTTCCCGGGAACTAGAGTGGGGGGAGTGCCGAACCCCAGAAAGGAGAAGAGAATTTTGTGGGAAAATTCGGGGAGTGGGAGAATGGTACGATAGGGAGAAGAGGATAACATTGGGACCAGTACAACGGCAAGGGGGCTGTCAAGTTCGGCCTTCGCCAGATCGTCGCCGAGGACAGGGCGAGTCTTCGTCCCATCTCTGCGAGGGATAATTTTTGGGAATGACGTTCTTCCCCTCATTCCTCCGCGTCCTGGCCACTACATTTTTTCCTCCGTCGCACCGCTTTCGGTACCCTCGTCACTGCCAGGCGCTTGGCCTTGCGAGCGGGTTTTTACCGACGACTTTGTTGTTGACCTGTAAGTATATCAAAGGAGAGGCGGACATGGCACACCCATCTAGGTCGTCAACCACGACACGCCTCCTCTTTCTCATTGAAGAGTTGGGCTGTGTGGAGGAGGATAGGCGCGGGTAGATTTGGGGGCAAATTTTGTGCATGTCCTCGCCCTTTCTGTACAAAATAGATACCCTGATATTGCCAACCTTGCATGTGCCCTCTGCTGTGTGCGTTGAAGGGTTATTCGTGCCTAGTATGTGCTCATGTTTTGTTGTATTGTGTTGTATTCTGGGAATACTGGAGTTACATAAAGGTTCAGTAGGTTTGATGTGTTGCAAGATAATTAATTCTGAACTGGTAGGAACGGTAAACTGGGAATCGGAGGTTTGTGAGGAAGCAGCCAGTACATGTTCTAACTCCGAGGTGGATAAATACGAAGAGAACGAAGTCATTTACGATTTTAAGGACTAGCTATATTTATTTCAAGAACAAGTCCGCAGTACTCAGCTTACCACTCCAAGAGCAAGATGCCTCAGGATCATATAGACAGTTCAAAAGGAGAAAATAAAACCAGAGCCTATCCGCAGTTCACCCATACACCGAAAACCAAACCCAAAGCCAATGCAAACCCCGCCAACAATACCACCATTCCCTAGACAACAGCTTACGGCGCGTTCGAAGCAAGAGGCGAGGGTTCAACGCCAACACGCTCCTTGCTAAGGATGTCAATCATGAGCTGAGACGGCCGGTTGTCGCGGTAGACCTTGGAGTTGCCCTTGTACAACTGGACGTTCTCGAGGTACTTGTCGAACAGGTAGGAGCTGTCCATAGGCCCGCCCTTCGCCTCCGGGTGGAACTGGGTGGAAAAGATGGGGCGAGTCTTGTGCAGCATGCCCTCGTTGCTCCCGTCGTTGAGGTTGACAAAGTACTCCTTGAACTCGCTGGGCAGGGTGCTTGCGTCAACAGCATAACCGTGGTTCTGGCTGGTGATGTGGCATTGACCAGTGGTCAAGTCGAGGGCTGGGATGTTGTGGGCGCGGTTGCCGTACTTGAGCTTGATGGTCTGGGCGCCAACGGCGAGGGCAAGGAGCTGGTGGCCGAGGCAGATGCCCATGATGGGAACTGACGAAGTCTCCATGAGGCGGCCGAGGTTGTAGACGGTCTCTTGGCAGTGAGTCGGGTCACCCGGTCCGTTGGAGATAAAGACACCGTCAAAGTTGTCGGCGACCTTGTGGATCGGGTAGTTGTAAGGGAAGACGGTGACCGAGGCGCCGCGGCTGACCAGGCTGCGCAGGATGTTCTCCTTGACACCGCAGTCCAGTAGAGCGACGTGGAAGGTGGCGTTCGGGTTCGCGACCACGAAGGGGGCCTTGGTACTGACACGCTTAACCAAGTTGATCGCACCGGGGTCAATGAAGCCCTCATCCTCGTCGGCATCGTACTCGTCACCAATCGAGATCCTGGCCAGCGATGAACCCTCCTCACGCAAGTGGGTGACAATGGCCCGGGTATCGACGCCGGAGATGACGGGGACGCCCTCGCGGGCGCACCACTCGCTCAGGCTCTCGACGGCGGTCCAGTGGCTGTACTTCTCGGCCACATCGGCCACGACGACACCGGCGCACTGGATGTGGGGGGACTCAAAGTATTTGAGGAGGTTGTACTCGTCGCGCTCATTCGAAGGCACACCGTAGTTGCCAATGAGCGGCTGGGTGAAAACCAGGATCTGGCCGCGGTAGGAGGGATCCGTCATGGACTCGGGGTATCCCACGAGGGAAGTGGTGAAGACAGCTTCACCGGAGATGTTCGAGTTGGCGCCAAAAGCGGTACCATGGAACACGGGGCCGTCCTAAAGCGAAGCTAATCAGTCACAAATTCAAGGCATAGCCAGGTTGGCCGTGACCAAAGGATAAGCCAAACGACATACCCTGATAGTCAGGGTGGCATCAACACCGGACGCCGCAGCGGTAGCCCTTCGGTTAGTGGTGGGCATAGCGCGGCCCTTGCTGCCGTCAACGGCCAACCTGCTCGCCAGGCGGGTTTGGCCGGCAAGGCGGAGGGGCGCCCTGCGGGCAGCATGGCCTAAGGCGCTCGGAAGGCGGGCGGGAAGCGAGGTGAACATCCTGATAGGCGGAGTTGGGGGGACGTAAAGAAAGAAGTTCGGGCTCTATTGTTTGACAAGGGGTGCTATTAAGCGGACAGGGCTCGCCAGAGATGGTCTAAAATTCTTGTCAGTCTCGAGGTATGTTTGAAGCGGTGAGTCAAGGCCCAAGTGGAGGAGGAGATTGGGCGAACCTGAGAGGTAGTCCTAAAAGCGCCAACACATTAGCACCTATCCACACCACGTAGATGAGAGTTGTGGGAGCGCTAGACGGCTCGCAACCCATAGAAAGGAAAAGAAGAACATCCTCCACGCCGGAGCCGAGAAAAGGGGCCGGTTGATGGTGGGGTAACGGAGCACACGACCCTTCGTGGAGCGCCAAAACGTACCTGAGAAGTGAAGATGGAAGAGCGACCTTTCATCAGCGCGGTTTGAGAAAAGGGCCAATTCAGTAGGAAAGGATCATGTGTGGTGATCTGTGTGGTATTGGTGCGGTATGCCGGTTGGTATTCGAGATTTCTTCTCAGTTGAATTCCTCTTGATGCTGGTGTCAAGGAAAAGGAAAAAAGACGAAGGGACCAGAAGAAAAAAAACGCCCGTTCTGTCGTTGACTCCACCGATTTTTGCACCCGGGCCAATTGGCCCCCCTGCTATTGGCTGGGGGCTGTGAGACACAGGGCCGAAAAACGGGAGGCGGAGGGGTCAACTTTTCTCAATCTGGCGGGTCTTTGCTTGCAACGCTGCGGCTTCGGACGGTGATAAGGTACTGGATGGAGTCACACGTACAACATCCCGAAAAGTCGACTTCGTTCGACGCCGAAAGCAAACAATCTCTTTTATTCTTTACCTTTTGGCCTTTCGGTTCAACCCCCCAATTCATCTTGCCAATACGAAACGGGCGTCAGCTCCACTCCAGGATGACTGCTGAAGGCAAAGAAACCCCTGTAGGGCGATCCTCTCGATGTCGGCGCCGCTTTTGTCGACTGCCGTGTCAAACATTGGCCCCTGGTTTATAAATACACACAGCCTAGGAAGTGGCACAAAGACTGAAATGCGCCACTGTTACTCTCTTGGGTTCCTCTAATAGAACATAGTAACAAACCTGACTACCTAAAAGTTAACCATGTTATAATAAAGGCTGTTGAACCTCTTGTGTGACCCGATATGTTGTACAAAAAACACTAGATAGCGCCGAGTTCCTTGAGTTTCGAGATGAGGCCGTCCACATCCTCGACCTTCCCACCGCCTTGTCTCGCGGGTGGTTCTGCGCGGTGTTAGCAACCGAGATGACAATGGAAACATACGGGCGCCACGGCGGGGCTCTTAAAACAACAAAGAAAACAATGCACTCACCCGTAACCTTGAGAACCTTGAGACGCTTGTCCGCCGAGGCGCCAAAGTCCGCCAGCGTCTTCTTCTCCAGCGGCTTCTTCTTCGCCTTCATGATATTCGGCAAGCTCGCATAGCGCGGCTCGTTCAACCGCAGATCCGTCGTGATGACCAGCGGCAGCTTCGCCCGTACAGTCTCCACGCCACCGTCCACCTCGCGCGTAACGCTCACCGCATCGTCCTTCCCAAACTCGACCTTGCTCGCCTGTGTCGCCTGCGGCCACCCCAAGAGACCGGCCAGCATCTGACCCGTCTGGTTGGCGTCGTCGTCGATGCTCTGTTTGCCAAGGATGACCAGGTTGCTCTTCTGCTCCTCGGCGGCCGCCTTCAACAGCTTGGCCACAGTGAGCGGCTCTAGGTCGTCGCCTTCCTTGACCTCCACGTGAATCCCCCGGTCGGCACCCATGGCCATGGCAGTGCGCAAGGTGTCTTGCGCCTTGGCAGGCCCCGCGCTCAGCACGCAAATGTCCTCCACGCCGCCGGGCGCGCGTTTCTTTTCGCGGATCCGCACGCTCTCTTCGACCGAGAGCTCGTCGAAGGGGTTCATGCTGTGCTTGACACCGGCGGTCTCGACGCCTGTCTGTGCTTTGTTGACTCGCGGTTTGACCTATGCATCGGAAGAGAGAGGTTAGCCGGGCGGTCGTAGGGGGGTTTCGAGGTTTGAAAGGGTGCAAGCGGCATCGAGAAAAAGCGAAATCGTGAATTTGGCCGCGGGGTTGATCTCAATGCCTAACCTAAAATCCCGTTTCTTCAAGCTGTGGACTCACCGCATAGTCAATCACCCGCTTGACGGGCACCAATATCCGGAGCGCTGACATGTCGAGATCGTGGCGTGCAATGGTGAGCAGAGGAAGTAAAGAAACAGGAACCGTTCCGCTCCGGTACAAGCAGCCCGCCCACATCAACTGCGGTTCCGGATTGTGGGCATCCCGGCTAGGACCGGTTCCAACCTCGGCCAAGCCAGCCGCAGCGTCATGGCCTTGCGTTACCCCTAACCCTAAGTTTGCTCCACATCCACCCGTCCCTCTAACACGAAAACAATACCATGATGAGCGAGAAGTTAACTTCAAGTAAACCAGAGAAAAAGTGTATGTTCGGTCAAACATACGATCAATGAAAACGCTAGATAGACTCTACGCCTATATGGGTTACCATAACGCCATCTTTTCACCCACCACCCATCCCACCATGTCAATTCACACCTCCCATGTTTCCAACTCTCACACTCCGTTCTCCGTTCTCCGTTCTCCGTTCTCTCCTACCCCTTGATCCAACACTCACCAATCATCCCACTCGTCCTTCTTACTGCCCGCTGCTGCTGGGGCGCCCGCCTGCGCACCCCCACTACCACTCCCACCACCAGCACTGCCCCTTACTCCCCCCTTCCCCATGGCAGCCGTCCCAATCGAACTACCGCTAGTCTTCCGCTGGTCCGCCACCGCCGAGAAATCGTCCCAGAACGCCCGCTTGCTCTCATCAAAGTTGCTGTCCTCGCCGCCCTGCTGAACGGGGCGGTACACACCGGGCCCGTTAGACGGCCCGCCTTCGACAAACCGGTTGAAGCCTTCTTGCGCGGTGCGGGCACCAGCTTGGGCTGAGCGCGCGGCTTGGGCGGCGGCGACACGGGCTTGGGCTGCGAAGTCGGATTCAGAGAGCTAGAGATTGGTGTTAGTGTGAGGATCTAGGAACTTTGGAGGACCGATCATGGGCCGTGGAAAGACATACCTGCTTCGCAGTGGGCTGGATGAAGCCCTCGTTCACCGTCTTAGCTGTCTTGGTCACCGTCGAGGTAAACCACCCGAACCCCTTGCTGAGCGCAGCCACCGGGTCTTTCTGCAGATCATCAAACCCAGGCAACGCTTGGTTATTGTCACGCTGTGGTCGCGGAGCTGAGCTGCCGAACCCGCTGTATTTCCCACCCTGGCTGGGCGGCAAGTCAGCCGAGCGCTGCGCGTTGCGTTCGCCCAGCTTCGCGAAGTAGTCCACATCCACCTTGATCTTGCCTCCACCACCCGCAGCAGCAGCACCCGCGGCGGGACTATCACTCCGACTCCCGCCTAGCGGCGCAGCAGCGGCATTCCCACTCCTCGTCGGCGCCGACGACGGACCGCTCCCACTGGGCGCCGGGCTAGCCGTAGCACCCGCCTTTTCCCCGGGCACATACTCGCGCCCTTCCACCTTCGCGCTCAGCCTCTCCTTCCACTCCTCCCCGACCTCCCCCCCATACCGCTCCGCAATGGTCGCATCATCCCACCCGACCCCACGCATCTTCGTGTCCTCGTGTGCCTCGAAAAACTGCCTCCAGTTCGCGTTACCACCCAAGCGCATGCGCTCAATCTCAGCCGCCTTGAACGCGTCCATGGAGATGGACCGGACAAACGAGATGTGCACGCCCAGGCCGCGGTGGACGCCGGCGCAGGACAGGCAGATAAAGATGCCGAACTTGGGCGAGGCCCATTGCGGGGAGGGGGCACCGCAGTCGCAGCAGAGGTTGTTTTGGGCTTCGGCTTGGATCGTGACAAGCTGGAGAAGGACATAGGAATACAAATGTCAGCTTGGTTTGGCAACAACGGCGGTCCTGATTGACGAGATGGCGAATAGTCTTGGTAGATTTAACCCGCAGAACGCCTGGGGGACAAACAAAAACAATGGAAGTGCACCCACCTTAGATCTCGTCTCGGGATCAACCTCCCACATCGCCTTGGAAGCCATCTTGGGCGACCAGTCGTCAAAACTCGCAGCGCGCGAAATCAAGGGGAGTTTGATTCGGTTGTGATTGTTGAGGACGGTGGTTCACCTCGCTGTCGCGTGGAGGATTTATTTGCTGAGATAGGCGGCAGCCCGGGGCTTTTTTTATTATTTCGGTTCCCGCAATCTTACCCGATCTACCTCGCAGTGTTCCTACGCAGTGCAGTGTAAAAGCACCCTTTGTCGCCCGGTCGGCTGCGCAGCGGAATAGTCGATTGCGTTTGAAATTCGAGGAGCGAGCCGATCGCGACAGGACAAGTGGTTCTGGACTTGGTTGGGCGGGGCCAGCAATACGCCGCCGCCATGCCTCGAGACCCCTGCAGGAACCACTGCGGCGTTCTGGCCACCGTTCATCAACCAGCCCGATACAGGAACAAATCGCTCTTCAATGGTCGGTCTCTGACGATTACACTGCATACCAGTCGGAGACGAAGTACATATTCGTACGGGCATGAGGCAACATACACATTGAACAGGGCCGGCATTGAAATAAAATGGGTTGTAGCAGCGCACCATACTAGTTAGCCATCAGCTATCATTGTTGAGATGCGAAACAACTTTTCCTGCCCCCCCAACCCCTCGACTCCGGCGAAAACTAGTGTACACGCCAGAAGGTGAGAAACGAAAGAAAAGGGCATGTCCTCCGTCTCCATGTAGAAAGAACGTAAAAAAGTAGGTCATGAGGATATTAGCGGATATTGTTCTGCAGAGAGCCGCAAGATAATGGATAGTCTGTCCCCCCTTAACTCTACCCGCCATGACCCCCCTTTTGAGAAGCCCGCGCAAAATTCCAGGACGCCAGGAGAAGTATCCCGCCGCTTAATCTCGCCTTCGTGAAATATCCCGTCTAGCCATTGGCAAAAAATAAAGGAAAAATATCATCCACCCATTTCCGGTCGTTAAAAGAAATGCACGCGCCCAAAAGTAATACAGACGAACGGGAAGTTGCCGAATAGAAATAGCGCGTGCATTCGCATCTCCATTGATGTACGTAGCCTGCTCGTCAAGAGTGAAGCGTCGCAATCTAGGCCACAACATCGGTAGGGGCAGCGGTCTCAGCCTGCTCAAGGCCAGCGGCCTCCTCCACCTCGGCACCCTTGATGTCATCATCAGTCTTGTCAGGGCTGTCAATGGCAACCTTGACTGCGATCTCGCGACCCTCGATCTCCTTGCCGTTCATCTCAGCCACGGCCTGCTGCTGCAGCTCCTCCGAGGCCAAGGTGACGAAGCCAAAACCACGGCCCTTGCGAGCCTCACCGCGAGCCTGAAGCTTCTTGATCATAAAGCGGGGAATGGGGCGCAGGGCAATCTTGGCGGACAGGGGCTGGTAAGCCTCGAATAGCTCCTTGAGCTAGAAGTGTGTTAGTGACATGTGGGCAGGGTCAATGGGAAGCGATTGCAGCCATAGATGTATAGACTTAACGAACCTTCTCCTCGGTCAGGTCATACGGGAGGTTAGCAACCATGACCTTGGTCTTGGAGGGGATACCATCGACCGGGGGGCCTCGCTCCCGGCGCTCACGGGGACGGCCTTGGCCCTTGCCGGCCTTGCCATCTCTGTCACCAGCGGCCTCGTTGGTGACGTCCTTCAGGGCCTCATGCTCGACCGTGGTGTCCGCACCCTCAGCAGGGGCAACACCGTCCTCGTCCTTCTTCTCATCCTACGCTTGCATTAGTCACGCCTGCAAATCCAAAGCTACCAAGTATTAACTTACACCGCTGCCACGGCCGCCGCGAGCACGTCCACCACGGCCACGGCCAGACCGGCCACGACCACGAGTAGACTGGCGGCGGCGGGTGCCTTCAGCACCGCCCTCGGCGTTAGCGCCCTCAGCCTTGTCGTTCGACTCGGGCTTGCGAGCGAGCTGAACGGAGACCTTGCGCTCCAGAATCTCCTTGCCCGAAAGCTCAGCGATAGCACGCTCGGACTCGCTGGGGGTCGACAGGTCGACAAAGGCATAACCAACCGGGCGGTCGGTGCGAGGGTTTTTCGGGATGGAAACAGATTCGCTACAGAGGAAAATTGGTTAACAACGAGGTGACGATCGAGATGGCACTATGCTAGAGGATGGGTGTATTTTCAAAGGATGGCCGGTAACCCGAATTTTAGGGCGGCCCACCCAGGGAGTATTGTATAATGATTGACCAAATGTGGAATGAGGCGACGATGGGAGGAAACTGGGGTTGCCAAAAGAACCCCCGGCCAAGGGGCGGTGAGGGCATCGCAACGGGTTGCCCGCCGCTCGCCAGCGACAAACAGGGTAAGAGGGGAAAGGGACCGGAAACTTACACAAGGTAGCCCTTGAAGAATTCTTTCAACTCCCCCTCGGTTGTCGGGTAAGCCAGGTTTCCGATGTACAGGCGGCGACCTTCGGCAGCGCTGGCAAGGACAGCGTCATTGTTAGCCGACTTGTCGTCGGCGGCCTTGCCAGAAACAGAGGTATTGGCCAGAGCGTTGGTAACGTCATTGACGGCAGCGGAGGCAGCGTCAGCAACCTTCTCGACGGTGGTAGTCATTTTGAGTGATGAAGGTGGTGATGTCCGAATGGAGAAGCTTGGGATGGAGTCGGTCCACAAGTTTAGTGTCGGGTGACGTGAGGCGGGTTAACTCGTCGTGTAGGATGGATGAAGGCGCCAAGTTGATGCGAGGTGCCGACGTGAACAGACGAGCGGTGATTGAACTCTGGAGGCTGAGGGGGAGTTAGAAGGGTAGCTACGTGCCCTAGAAAAAAATTGGCGGGGGTTTGGTTGAAGGTTGAGGGAACTTCTGATCGATCCTCGATGGTTTGACGTGGAGAGGAAGAAGGGGAAAAGAGCTGAGGCGGCGCGGGCCAGAAACAAATATTTTTGCCAGGCCTGCGAATTAAGCGAGAGGGAAGGAGTGGCGGCCGACCAGGGTACGTACCTCCCTTGGTCTGATTCTCGCCGTGGTCAGGTGGGGCAGGGGCAGTGCAAGGGGGGTTCAATGCTCTTGAATGTGCTTTCCCATGCGGTGTGTCTGTGTATGCTGCATCCAGTATCGAAACTTTCGATTTGACGTCTCACTTACCTCAGAGAAGTCCGTGCGAATCCTCTAAAACGCGGGGATTGACAGGTTTGTGTGGTGCGAGAGGGTGGATAACGGATAACTTCCGGCGGTTAGCTGGACCCAAGTGCTGAGGGTTTTGGGAAGAATGTTGCGCAAAGTCGGGATTACTCTGCGGGAAACGTAGAGTTGATATTTGTGGGTGGTTGGGGGTTCACGAGATGTAGCTTGTTCTCGACTTAGTTCTGAGGTGGCATGAGAAGAGTTTGTGGGAAACGGGAAAGTGTGAGCTCACAAGTTCCAGGACATGGAGACGGGTGTTTTATAGTCTCCCCTTCCTAGATTGGGATTGATACCAGGCAACAAGGCAAGGACTAAAATATGGCGTGGTTGCAGGAAAGAATAGGTAGGTCCTCTACTATAAAAAGGAAGGAACGAATGCCCTGTGAGGTTTTATACCCAGCCTAAGGTTCTTCTCGGGCAACTACAACACGATGACAGATTCATTTCAATCCGGAATCGTTGAGGTTGTTTGACCATCATCCCCCAGCTTCAATGAGCGACCGGACGTCGAACACGGTGTGGATCTTGTAATTAATCGTAATTACGTGGGTTTGTAATAAATGGTCGTCATGAGGATAACTCCCTACTCCTCCATGAGAGAAGCCTCGTTCATATCATCATGTAGCGCCGTTGATATGTTTTTGACGTACCGGTGCAACATCGATTGATACGTTGAAGGCCAACAACCCCCGGCTTGGGATGGAGCTTCGGCCCGCTGCTCACCCCGCAGCAAAGCGAAACGGATGGGAGCTTAACGTCCTCTGCGAGCAAGAGTGAACGTTTCCGCCAAGTGTTAATATTTTTATCAACCTGAAAGAAGAAAACGAAACCACAAATGGATTTGTTTCCCGTCTTGCGCAGTCATCTAGACCCAAAGTGTGATGTTTGCCTATCGGAACAGATCCTTGCAGGGTTGCTGATGTGGCAACTAGATTGGCGGGGTACTAGGCACTTTCCAAGTGGTTCCATGAGAGTCTTGTCTTGCTCAACGCTCGGGGAACTCGGCGGGCCGGGCGAGCTTAGCTTGCCTGGAAAGCCCGGCTGGTTCTGTGACGTCTCTAGCCGTGACGGGACAGTATCCAGTAAACAGAATTATAGCTTCGGCGTCTCCAAGCAAGAAGCCACCTATGATATTCTTCCCTGAGCTCAAGCCCGGCAGCCTTCGGTGCCAACAACGAATTGCAGCACGCAATTCCCACGAAACAGGCAAGTGTGTGTACTAGATCACAGTATCTCAAGGCAACTAGGTAGTTGACATTCATAGAGAATGCCTCAGTATCCCACCCCGGTGAAGTCCAGGCGAACTTCGGTCATCCGGTATCTCATCTCGAGCCCGCATTACCGATAGAACATGTGACAAGCGGGTAACATTTGCGTCATGCAGTTTGGAGAATGCCCGCCAACTTGCCCCTTCCCTTTCCCAGGCGCGGTTGGGTAGACTTATACGCCCAGATTAAAGATATGGCTTCTTCAGTGGTTTACAATATCCGAGCGCCGAGTCGGCCGACGATTCAGAGCTGGTGGTGATCTCCGTGACTAAGAATGAAAGCCGGTTTCGGGCCTGATGCACCCCACATTAAACCTTAAAGGCGCTGCCGCTTTATTGAGACGACATCCCTCCATCTTTGAAATTGAACAAGAGGAAAACATACACCGGTTGGCATTGCTTTGAATCACGCTTACGAAATAGAAATCTAATCAACTTGACGTATTTTCCAGTATTTTCTATTACGGTACATTTATTTGCCTCTGGTTTGTGGCTGGAAGGCAAGTTTAAATTTTGCTCATATGCATCGCATCACCTTTGAGGATCCCAGTCGGTTCTTGCCACAAGTAGCTTACTACGTGCAAATCGAATTAGTTGACTACAGTGTGCCATACTACACTTCATAAACGCCCAAGCCGATTATCTTACGACGGTCTGAGCGAGGAAGAACGGGAAGGCCGGATGCACCCCTGCGTCGCCATAAAACATCAATAGAGATGGGCAATACTGACGGCATTGGGCGCATAACGCAGCCCGTGGAGATTCCGGGGAGAAGCATGATCGTCTTGTATGGAAGTGAAACTGGGACTGCTGAGGATATCGCCGGTGAGCTGGGCAAGTCAGCCGAGCGGCTGCACTTTCGGACAACCGTCGATGAGATGGATAGCTTCAAGCTGGTTGGTCTTTTTCTCTGTTTTGAGCCATCATTGCCAAACTATTGGATACAATCTCACAAAGACACTCTACAGGCGGATGTCCTTCGTTCCTCACTGGTGGTGTTTGTCACCTCCACCACTGGACAAGGCGACATGCCCAAAAACACACTCAAATTCTGGAAAAATCTGAGGCGTGAAAAGCTCAACAATACCAACTGCCTCAAGTCAATGCGGTTCACCATGTTTGGATTAGGTGATAGCTCATATCTAAAGTATACGCGTCCCTTACGAGATTACCCACACGAGCCTCTGCTCTGTGGCATGGCGCTTTGCGTCCCTCCTTATCTACACACCCGACTAACAAATGCACGCCTGTAGGTTTAATTGGGCTGCAAGAAAGCTGCGGGCTAGGCTCTTACAACTCGGCGCAACAGAGTTTTTTCGGCCGGGGGAAGGAGATGAACGACATGACAATGGGTAGGCGTTCCCTAGCATGGGCCTTTCGATGTACCCCGTCTTTCACGCCGGATCGAGCCCAATGCACCTGCCTAACCTCGCAGTGCCGCTCGCATTTTGTGGCTTGTGCCACTGGTGTCGTTTCTTTTAGGTCAGGAATGCAAGAAAATACTAATTGGTCTTTAGGATTGACAGTATTTATCTTCCGTGGTACGAGGAGTTCAAGAAAACGCTCCTCGCCGACCACCCACTCCCGGACTCAATCCTTCCCATTCCGGACGGCGCACAACTTCCTCCTAGATACCCAGTTGGGCTGGTATCGAAAATGGGTGCCAACGAGGGGCCCGATGGCAAGGCGAACGGCGTGAAGATCACAGAAGAGCGCATGTTCCTGGGTTCCAGATCCAAGAATGCCGCGTGCTCGCATATCGACAACCCCCAGACCAGCGAAGACCAGAGACACGAATCCTTGCTGCGCCTTAAAAGCACGTTCCCTACTCATTCAGCTCGGCGCGATGTGGTTTATGAACGCGAAAACCCGCGAGCCTACGATGGGTTGGACAAGGATAATCAACTCAAAGATCACCCCGAAAAGTATTTACTCAATAAACAGCCAGAGCGGCGGGTTGAATTTCCGCCAAAAGACCTGCTCTACATCCCCGATACGAAACCGGCCATTCTGAGGAGCAACACTCGAGTTACCCCCGCCGACCATTGGCAAGATGTGCGACATCTCACTTTCGAGGTCTCCCTGAACGAAGCATCTTATAGCGACCTCTGCCGCTACATCGGCCATTTAACCCTCGTTATCTGGCCCAAGAATTTCCCAGAAGACGTCGATGAGTTGATCCACAGCATGGGCTGGGAAGCCGAAGCAGATGCTCCCCTCAATGCCCCCGCGGTCCCGCGAAACGTTTACACGAACGGACCGATCACCACCCTTCGCCACCTTCTTACCCATAGCCTCGACATCACGGCGGTCCCGAAACGTAGTTTTATTCGGGAACTTGTACATTACACCGAGGACGAGAGAGAACAGGAGCGACTGCAGGAACTTGTGGAACCGGGAAACGAGCAAGAGTACTACGACTATACGTGTCGGCCGCGGCGTACCATTCTTGAGCTGCTTCAGGATTTCAAGGGTGTCAAGATCCCATACCAACGCGTCCTCAGCCTGTTCCCCGCCATCCGCGGCCGTGAGTTCAGTGTCTGCAACGGCGGAGCTTCTCTCAACGACGTGGCGGTGGAATGGCATATCAAAATCGAAATCCTGGTGGCGCTGGTCGAGTACAAGACCATCATCCGCAAACCGCGCCAGGGTCTCTGCTCTCGCTACCTCAAGCACCTCCCTGTTGAGACCCCCCTTGCCGTGTGCCTGAAGCCCGCGACCGGGACAAACCTGACCTTGAATAACGACCAGGCCAAACGACCCCTGATCGCAGTCGCTACCGGCACCGGCGTCGCCCCAGTCCGCGCCGTTCTCCAAGAGCGCGAGGATTACCGTCACACGGGCGACACCATCCTCTTTTTTGGCTGCCGCAATAAAGCGGCCGATTACCACTTCGAACGAGAATGGCTAGAGTACCCCAACCTCAGGGTCTACCCGGCCTTCTCGCGCGATAGAATCGAGCCTGAGGCGGACTCGACCACGTCCCAAATCGTACCCGACCCCAAGACCGAACCGACCTCGCTAACGATGGGCCTGCTGTCCTCCACCCAGTACGATAGCAACAAGAACTATGTCCAGCACTTGATCCGCCATCACGCGGAGGAGGTCGGGTTTTTGCTGGAGAGGCGGCCGTTCATCATGATCTGCGGCAACGCTGGGCGCATGCCTATCTCAGTCCGGAATGCCTTCCTGGATGTGCTAATTTCTAGCGGGATCTGTAAGAACCAGGCCGAAGCGGAGATCTGGTTTGGGAACTCGAAGAATGTTACCGTGTGGCAGGAAACCTGGTGAAATGGGTCTTGGTTCGAAATCAGAACTTAGCCTACGGGCTTTCAGAACGCATGGCCGCATGGGCAGGCTTGCGGAGAGGAGAGAGGAACGGGTTCTGGGACAAGGAGGGTAGCAAAGAAGGTTTCGGCCTTTCGTTATGGACAGACTTGGCACAGCACGGGCTATGCATAGCATGCATGGATGGGTGGATCAATTGCTATTAGATGCTCGATATGTATTGTACCTGTATGTACCTTAGATAGGTACTCGGTATGCCTGCTTTTACAAAGTGCGTCTCGTGAAAATGATAATGGGTGACTAAACCGTCAAAAATTCCAATAACAAATACCAAACCAACTCCCCGGTATAGGATATGAGGGGGAAGTAATAAGTTTCAAGTCCATTCGATTCTCCTGCCCTTCCCCTATCCCGCTTATTGCTTCAGGTATCGAGATCGGGGTAATACTAACACCCACAACCAGTGCAAACATAGATACATACATATAAATCCATAGGTACACACAACAAAAGCCCCCCCAAAAATACACAAGAAAACAAAAGGTCGGTAAGCGGTTGTCGACGAATACCCAACCATACATCCATCCTGATTCGGCATCTGCTTCGTCTCCACGCCCCACCCTCGGAGATGGCCATCACCGCAAGAATTAAACAACCGTATGTAAGCTCTCAGGTCATCCCAAGACCTAGGCAAGGTAAAAAGGCACCCCTTCCCCAAAAAAAGAAAATAGGGAAAAGAAAGAGCACAAAACGTGCTACTTTTTGCTTGATCCACACACAACGAAAACCACACCTGAAAACAAGTAGAGCGGAAGAACTTGGGGTGTGTGCAAAACTCCCATGCGCCGACCAACCAACCAACCAACCCACCAGCCCCCAGCCCCGAACCTTTCTTTCCTTTCCGCCAGAGAACACCATCCTCCACCGATCCATCCACCAAACTCTGCACCAAAAAAACAGGGAATCAACCAGCTAGAGAGTACACCTCACCCCCAGCCCCAACAAATAGAGTCGAATAAACGTTTTCAAAAAAAACTCAGATGGACGCGTGTAAAGAATCGTCCAATCCGAAATACCGCCGGTAGGTAAGCCGTCTGTCCAGATATAGAGACGGGGGGTATCACTATACCAATGCCCCGAGCAGCATCGCTACCCCAACACCCCACCCAACACCCATCAACCACGGCCTGATCGCACCGACCCCATCCTCTTCCCCATCACCCCCATCCGCTCCATTCCCACCTTCTCCCTGTCCTAGTCCATTCCCATTCTCATCCACACCATAACTCCCTTTCCCCGTAGCATGTGCGCCAGGACCACCACCGGCCCCAACACCCGGTGTAATCACCGTCGTCATACCAAACGGATAATTCAAACTCAGCGAGCCGACAACCACACCATCGGGCGCCACAGTGACCGTTTCCCCGCCCACAGCGGTCGTCGTGGTGCCTGTGCCGGGTCCGATGGTGTAGGACACGCCGTTTATGACGACGACCGAGGCACCGACTTTGGTGACGGTGGCGCCGCCGACGAGCGCGTATTGCGTGTCCTGCGGGCCCGAGGCGTGGGAGCCGCCGATGATGATGGAGCCGTGTTGGGCGGTCACGCCACCTGGGCCGAGGGTCAGGACGTCGTCGTCGATGGTGACGACTGTGATGCCGTCGGAGTCGGAGTCGGTGCCGGTGTGTGGCACGAAGGCCTCGGGCGCGGCGTAGGTGAGTGTAGTGCCGTGGATGACGAGGACGGATGAGCCGATGGCAGTGATGAGATCGCCGCCTGCGACAACGACCTCGGTCGGTGAGGGTAGTGTTGGTAGGGGGAGCGTCTGGGATGCTCCTGCGATGGTGTTGGGGCCGATGGTGAAGGTCTGGCCTGAGACGACGGCTGTGGTCGGAGTGGGGCCGAGGGTGAAGGAGGAGCCGCCGATAATGGCGACGGAAGAAGAGACGACGACGGGCACGCCGGCGATGTTGGTGCTGGTGGGGGATGGTAGGTAGACACCGCCTGTGGCCGATGGCCGGTCGATGGTGGCACCGCCGCCGACTACACGTGTCGGGTTGATGGTGAAGGTTTCGCCGGCAATGATGACGACCTGCGTTGGTTGTGCCGGGTTGTCACGGATGGTGTGGCCGTTGATGACGACGCCGGTCGGCTGCACGGCCACGGTGATGGGCGTCGGTGTCGGTCGTTGGGCCGACTCGGTGATGCCCTGTGGCCCGCCTGGTGGGCGGTAGCCCGGCCGCGATGTAGGCGTGCCGTTGCCATTGCTGTTCCCATTTCCGTTCCCATTCCCGCTACCGCCGCTGCTGTGGCCGCCGCTGTGATCACCATTGCTGGCCCCTGTGGGCGTGGCATGATCATCGCGCGTCTCGGGCCCCTGGCTTACGCCATAGTCCGGCCGACTCAGGGTGGAGTAAACGACGGCCGGGTTCTTGTCCGTTGTCAGAAACACCACCTGTGGCGTGGCGCTGGTTTGGATGCCAAACCCGTAGCTCTCCGTCCTCGTCGTCAGGTCACATGTCAGGTACTGCGTGCCCTCGCCGGTCGATGCGCACACTGAGATGGTGAACTTGGGCGGCTCGACCGGCACGATACAGGTCGCCGGCGACGATTCATCGGGTACCGAGATTGGCGGGTACGGCTGCGTGTAGTCGTCCGGGTTCCCGTACCAGGTCACAGTTGTCGTGTGCACAACGGACCAGCTCGTCGGCGCTGGCGTGACCTCCGACGGGTGGCAGTACCGCAGCGTCTGGGAGGGTAGATTGGTAAATGTCTGGTTACCAGAACGTATCGACGTCGCAAAAGTCGTATCGCCGTTGTTCGTTGTCGGCTGGCCGTACCCCAGATCAACCGTCTCGGTTGTCGCCTGGGTGATGCTGGCCGAACTGCCCTTCGTTGGCGCTCTGCTGGGTCCTCCCCGAGGGGGGCCACCACGCGGCGGTGTCGCTGTGGCCGCATCGGGCGTCGTCACGTCGGCCGCTGATGTCGAGGAGCTTAAATCTGGAGCCGACGGCGGGGTGAATGGCTCCAAGGTCGACGTCAAAGTCTCGCCCACGCTGATATGCTCGGTGCCTGCACTTCCCGTGCTCCCTGCATTCTCCGTCCCTTCACTCTCTGGCTTCCCTACTCGCGTTGGTGGCGCCTTGGTGCTATCGGTAGACGAAACTGGCGGCGGTGATGATGATGTTGATGACGCTGCGAGGTTCACTAGACTTGTCTCGTCCAGGTCGCTCGCGCTGGCGGGTTTCACATCTGGTATTGGCGGTTCCTCCGTTCTTCCCCCTACGATACTCCCCACCGACTCTTCCGAGGACGTAGCGCGGCGCGCTACCGTGGCGGGTGGTTGCGACACTGGAACCACCTCTGGTTGTTGACGCGATATCGCCCCATTGGCCCCGCCATTGCGCCCGAGTTGGCCTGTTATGAGTTAGCTTTCAATGTCTTGCCCATCCCCGTTCTTGTTCCTCATTCTCTCTCATTCAACCTGCCCAATGGATAATAGATGCATCAAACCAAGAGACGGAAAAGTAAAAGAAATAAGGGCGCTCACCTCCGAGAGCGTTGTCGAAACCGAAACCGGAGAGCGCTGCGATCGAGAGCAGCACTTTTCTCCCCCCAACCATCGTGCTCGAGTCCGTGCGAACTCTCTTCTTTGTTGTTGCTGTTGCTGTTGCTGCCGCTGCCGCTGCTGCTTATCCTCCTGCTGCTGGTGCGTGCGATTCGCTGATGCGGCCGAAAAAAGGTCCTGATGCGGGCCTGTTCCTCCTCGCTCAAGCATTGGGTACTATCAGGGGCCCAGAGGTCCTGTCGTCGTCGTCTTCCCGCCTTAATGTGTTCTAGTGTTTCCTCCTGTTGTCCCCTTTTACCAGAGCTTCCTCACCATTGCCGTTTGCCCCAGGACTGCATCACGGGACTGCATGTACAAGGGATGCAGGACAGAAGGGTAGGCGGGGGGAAACGTAATTGAGGGAACCCTCGGAAACGAGAGAAAAAACGCTCCCTCCAGTTTGTCTTGGGCAGGGTGGCCTGGCAAGGATGTCGGGAATTGAACGGGGGGATCCCGCTGAAGATCCGTCCAAGATCCGAGACAACAGAACAGGCAGCGAACAGCACGAGAGTGAGAACGGAAAGTGAGTGAGAGTGAGAGAGGGAAAGCCACCGCGCATCAGAATAATAGTATGCAGTCGCCCAAGCGCCAACTTAATTTCCTGTGCGAAGAGAAGTCTCTTCGCGTCCTGTTTCTCTGTCCCGCTGTCGGTCGGGCTAGAACCGTCTTTTTACGCTGGGGTAGCCAACAAGATTACAGGGCAATTTGTGCGCTGTGTTAAGGCTAATAGTGCCTATTTCCCTCTCGAGCCTGTGGGCGGGACAATGAATTGACGAGCATGTACGGAGTACATAATACACTGTGCCCGTCCTCCGTAGTATGGAGCAACTCCACGCTGAGGGCCACGAGGAAAGTGTCCAGTTTCTCGAGACGGGGGAGGTGTGGCAGCACCGGCAGGGGGCGGAATCCGGGGACAAACGACGAAAGAGCCGTCCAAGCCGTCCCTCGCAGAGTGCCGGCCAGCGCGTGTCTTTTGGTGGGGCCAAGATAACCGGTGGGAATCGAGCAAGGGATCTGGATGAGGATCTGTCATGCGCAGGGATACCCCCCGGCTCAGGCCAAGCCTCCCCGAGGGGATGGGACTTGCGCGAAATCGGGCGAGAGGAGACACCAGACAATCGCGATTCCTTGCCTGCGCCGCGCACGTCGTCTCGGGCGGAATGCCACGCCAGCTCCCGACGGCGTCTGTTGATCGTTGCAAGGAAAAAAAGACACCAGGCGGCGAGCACGTAGGTTTCGCATTTTCGAGGGTTCGACTTGGGGAAAATAAAAATAAAAAAACAAGACAACACGAGGTCCTCCTCATCGGTGCGGGCGGATCGACGTGCATGTCAACCACGAAAACTAGCGCAAGGGGCAGCGCGCCTCGGTCGCCAACACACTCAATGTTAACGTTAAGTTAGTGTAGTGCAGTCAACGTTAACGTTATCGCAACTCCCAGCTTCCGGTTCAGTGTAACGGAAGACTGATCGAACACCGCTGGGCGAGCCACCACAAAGGAGTCAAGTCTTCCGCCCACCTGTATCTTGGCCACCGGCCCGTCCCCTGGGTTGACAAGTCGTGATTTTTGGAACGGAACTGTTGGTTCATTGTTTTTCGTTCGAGATTCAAATCGTGGGCTGGACGGGTATTTCCTCTTTGTCATGCGCCACAGCCGTCGAATTTGGCCCTTCACCCATTCTGCCGCAGAGATTGCCAGGCCGCGGGTCGAAAAGACTCAGTTGGATGTTGTGTTGTTCCAGTGAGTCCTCTGTCAACCCTCTTGTAGCCCCCGAGATGATGGAATGTCTTCGGTTCAATGCCAACTTCAACGCGGGATTCTCATGGTTTACACTCTCCTTTCCGTTGGACGCCACCACCGATCGCCCCTGTGGCCGTGCCGGGAACCAAAACGCCAGGTGTCGGGGTGTCATGGGCCCCTCGGCAATTGGCAATTGGGCCCCTTGCGGCTTGAACGGAAAGGAGCTGTTGGCTTGGTTCCTCGAAGCAGCCGACAGGTGAAAATCGAACCGACAACCTGTGGTATCAGAACCCTGACTGGCTCGCAATCAGCCGCTGACTGACTGTAACCCTAACCCTGCCCCGCTCCCACAGGGGATATTGGCTAATATCCACATATGCGCTCACCTGGCAATGTGGTTATTCCGTAATATCCACATCTACCGCTGATCGGGCGGTTCCTGGCCCTCTGATTGGTCAATTTGAGCTACCGCGATGGTGTTCTATATCATCGATGCCCTCTGGATGCGCTGTATTGCCTGTATCTTCCAACCCTGTATCCTATGTAGGCTGTAAGATGGCCCGCCGAACCCTCCGTAAACTATAGCCGGCACCGGTGGCGACCGCGGCACCGGCGGCGGCGCGAGCGACCCGGCCGTCTATTACAGTACGTACTGGGCCTTTGGAACCGGAAGAACTGGGCCCCGGCGACGTGGTTGCGGTCACGGCGCCCGTGCGCTGCGCTGCGTGGAACCGGAACATTACCAACGACGCCGAGCTAGAAGACAACCTCTACCGTATATATACTACTATCTACGCCGAGCGGCCGATGACTACCAAGCGGGCGTACGCGCCAAAGCAGGCGGAGTTCTGGAGCTTCTGCCAGGGCCGCGGTTTCTAAGATGGAGAGACCGTTATAGAGAGTAAGCTGCTTCTGTTCCTTGAAAAGGAAGTTGTATACCGCCTGCTCTGAGGTCTAAGCCGGAAGCTAGCGCCCGGTATGCCGGCTACCGAGGCCCGGTTATACTGGCGGTCTATCCGGGTATATATTACGGTGATTATAGATCTATGGTAACAGTAATAGACTCTCGGTATAAACAACCACCTGTTGCCCTGGGAGACTATAGCCTGGGAGTATATATAGACCCTGTAACGGCAATATATGGCCTAGAGCCGGTCTATCTATACCGATAAGGGCCAAGATATACTTCTCGATGGCTATTCAGAGCCAGAGCTCTAGAGGATTACTAAGAAAATGTAGGGCCAGACCGCTAAGACCCCAGCGAATACTGAGCAGTGCCTCTGAATGTTAACGGACCTCCTCCTTAGCTACTATATACTGGCCTGGGGTAACGACTGTAGGGCAGCTGAGCTCTTAGACCTTTTTACATTCGAATTCCCCGGTAAAGGGCCGACCTAGTATATACCTCTGATCTTTACTACCTACGCCGGGAAGATAAACCAATATAGCCGGCTCAAGATAGCCAGAGTACTTCGGAGCTGAGACCCCAGGATTTACCTTCTCGGTATACTTGCCTTCTACCTCCTCTTCCAGTAGGACCTCTCGCCAGAGCCGTTCCCAGACTTCGGGAGCCCCCGGCGTTGGTATAGCACCCGCCTAATTAAGGCAGCTGGTGCCGATCCATCTACCGGGATCTCCTACAACACTCAATGGAGCTAGGTTAGCTGGGCTTTCAGCTATACCGGTATAGTCTCTATAAAGAAGACCTACACCGGGCAGAGCTCTGGGACAAAGACCGCCGAGTTACAGGGTATAAGTGAGGCATAAATCCAGCGTACCGGGCAATAGAATCCAGACTAGATAGTTGGGTATTATCTTAATATACTACCCTATAAGTTTATATAGAGTATTGCCAGCCACCTAGCGTAGATAGGGTGTTTCAACCTACCCCAGGCCATGCTGCTGCCGCCGGCGCTCCTCTCGATGATCTGGCTGGAGCTAGACCAATAGGCCGATAGTACCTAGAAGCTGAAAGACCTGGCTGGTATAGATGCTATAAACCTCCTTATCTATCTTTATAAGGTAGTCCTCCAGGACTTAGCATTCCTAATCGACCGGTACCCTAAAAGCCTAGTATAGAACCACCCGGTCTTCTAGCATCCTGAATATCAGCCCTTTATATACTGGATATTCACCCAGGCTAATAGCAACGAGGAGCCAGACCGGCTTACGCTACTTATATAGGTACTCCCATAGTTCACGGAGCATCTATTAATAGCAGAGGCACAGTATATAGTATAGCTTATAGAGGTAATAGCCACTCTAACTACCGAGATAGCCAGGCTAGAAGCCCGGCTTACAAGCAGTTATACTAACCACCTCCGGCAA